ACAATTGCTGGATCGCGCTTGCCGCCCCCGCAAGTGAAGCCACCGGGCGTCACTCGCTTGGGATACGATTTGCCGTTTTTGCTAGCCTTTGCTGCGGTTTTCCAGCGTGCTGACGACACGTTTTCTACTCGTTCGTCGTCATTCGCCGAAGAAGATTTTTGAAGACTCTGTGTATTGTTGAGACTTTCCGTTGTGAACACGTGGATAATTTTACGAAAGTGCAGTGTCGCAGGAAAAAGGCACAACGCGTCGAAAGGAAGGGCTGGCGGCGTGTTCAAAGCATCCTTGGCACGCCGAAGTGCCGTGTCTCTGTGCCTTCGAGCGCTTGGATACCGACCAAGAACCGACGCCGTGTGAATGTGTTTAGCGAGTGCAATGTGCGTGAAGACGTATCAAAAGGTACAACTCGTCGAAAACGTGTCGCCGGTGTCGCGGCGTGATCAAAACTTCCTTGGCACGCCGAGTGATGCATCTTTGTGCCTTCGCACGCTTGGATACCGGTCAAGAATTGACGCCGCGCCAAAGTTCTGAACGTGTGTCGCGCGTAGATGCCTTTAGATCATTTATATATATCGGCCACGGAGTTCTGGATCGTCCAGCTGTTCCGGTGAGTTGCTATCAATAAAAGGGGGAGATCTGTACGTATTCTTATGTACTATATTAACCATGGCTATGTCCCAAATCTACTCTAATAGATTCCGTGGGAGCACGAATAGGGCAACGTTGTACGTGGAGCCAGGGGGGTTTTCGAAAGCAAAAGTACAAGACGGCGAGAATGAAAATCTTTGAAGCGCGGCCGATATGGTCGTGTGCAATCTGTTGACCAATTACAATTAGGCGAGCCGCGCTCAAACGTCAAATGCAATTAAGTAGGTTGATAATAAGCCAGCACTGATCAGTGATGAGGAGCTGTTGTGCACGGTATTGTGTAAATCGTCTAAGGACGAAAAAAAGACGTACCTTCTCCCCATCTTCCGTCGCTAGTGGACGCTGGATTAAGCTCGTTCCTAAACCGCGAGGGGAAAAGACGCTGATCCAGAGGCACGAACAGCTTCACGCACATTGCACTCGCTGAACACATACGGCGTCGGTTCTTGGTCGGTATCCAAGCCTGCGAAGGCACAGAGACACGGCACTTCGGCGTGCCAAGGAATCTTTGAACACGCCGCCAGCCCTTCCTTTCGACGCGTTGTGCCTTTTTCCTGCGACACTGCACTTTCGTAAAATTTTCCACGTGTTCACAACGGCACGTCTCAACATACACAGAGTCTTCAAAAAATTTCTTCGGCGAATGACGACCAACGAGTAGAAAACGTGTCGTCAGCACGCTGGAAAACCGCAGCAAAGGCTAGCAAAAACGGCAAATCGTATCCCAAGCGAGTGAAGCCCGGTGGCTTCACTTGCGCTGCAGCGAACAAGCGGGGAAGCGCGATCCAGCAATTGTCATAGAGATCAGTGGGGATAGACTCTCCAGGGTTTCCCGTGCGCCTGTTTGCTGACGCTGGTCAGTGCGCTAAAAATGGTTTATTTGTCTGCAAACGCGAAATGGCTAGGGCAGGATCATATTGCAAGTGACGGAGATGTTGATGCCCGTTAGTAAAATGAGCTCGCGGATATTTAAAAGTTGCAGAAACCTCGACTTGCGAATGTGGCAGAATATTTTTGAGGGTGATGAAGATACCGTGTTTGCGCTTTGCCTGGCCATTAGTGCTGTAAAATGTGAGCAGCGCACGGTGACCGTGAAGCTTCAGAAGAGCAGCGTTCACAGTATTGACGCCTTCGTGTCACAGGCTCGCAACTCGATGCTTACCGTCTCGCTTTTAGTGTATTGCAACACATGATCAAACTGCTCTATGGTTATTAGGGAGTTTTAGAATAGCGCGCGCTAAAGCTTTGCGTGCGCAAAGAATAGCGTCGTCGCCACTGCGCATGCTCCGAACGCAAACCAGATTTTGCGCTTTGCGTGCGCAATTTTAGCGTGCGCTATTTCTCGGAAATAGCGTGCGTACGCAAAGATTCTTTGCGCTTCTCCAAGGAGGATTCGTGATGAGAAGTTGGCTAAAGCCAAGACGAGCAGAGTTGAAAAAAAATGGCGGCTTCCAGGATTATGTCAGCGGCTGCTTTGGCGACGTCGTGAGTGCGACGTCGGCGGCATCCTCGCGGGAGCGATTTTCAATACGGGACGGCATTGTACTCGGTTTGCCAACGATCACCGACAGCTTGGTGCTTGTGACGCGCGAACATTTCTCGGCGAAGGTACGATGTGCGAAGGTCAGTACACGAGACCTCTCTTGCCGAGGCGACGCAAGCGGACACGACCGGTCAACCGCTCGCGTCGCATTATCACGTTTAAACTAATCTAAAATAATACTCTGGACCAAAAAACTTTTTTTTTTTCTTAAGTTACAGCATTTCGTGGGTGAAATAAAAATTGTGACTGTGTCTTGGTGGCGTCGCAGGCGCGAGATGCTTGGGCTTTTGCGTCGCGACGGAGAAACGCTATTCTAAAACTCTCTCGCGTCGGGTGCGCTAATACAAGCGCTAAATTTAGCGCTAGCGTGCGCTAAAATTGCGCACGTTATTCTAAAACTCCCTATTGATAGGAAGTTTGTTACCGCAGGCTACCGTGCGTTGTAGCATTACAACCGGAGGCTCGCGCTGCTCCTTTGAAGCACAATTCTCAGCGCGTGCCAGGAGCGTTGCCGTGCTCACGGTAGCCAACGGTTGCCTGCGGTAACGCTATAACTGCCTATTACCATAATCGGCGTGTTTAGGGGTTTTATTTCTTTCTCTACCAGAAATGCATTTTTTAATATCTGTACATTTTTTTTTTTCTTTTTTGTACCGTTTTATTTGCAACGTTGTGGCCCCTCTCGCAAAAACTGCCCGTTTTAAGTTTTCGTCATGAACGGCTGGCTAACACAGACAGGTTTAAGATTCTTCGGGAATTTATTTATTTACTTACAATTGCCTGAAAGCAAGTACGCGTATTCTATCTTTTAAAAGTGCTTTGAGTAAATGGTCATGTTCCTACGGCCTTAAAACGCAAAGCCATTCCCGACGTGTATTGCTCGACATATCGTTGCGCGACCAGTTTTCTCCTACTTAGGACAAAGAATAGACTTTTCATAGACCGAACGCTAGAGCTCTACATTATTAGCGGGAGCGTTTGCCGTCGCGTTGAGCACAGATCGAGCTGGCGGTCATGCACAAGACCAGCAATCGACAGCGTGTGCGATATACGAAAAGTCCCTAATAAAATTAAACATCCCGGTCCTTCGTGCAACGCTGTTGCGTGGTGGAGCATAAGAATTCCTTTTTTAACGCGCTCACTTTTTTCGTTACAACGGTTTCACGCATCAAGGCCGACAGCTCGTGCCACCTTTTCTGCGCCGCCGCCGCCGCTGCCGTCCCCGTTCCTCTGGTTCTCCGCTCGTCCGCGGGAGGGCGAGCGGCGCGCTGGAGTTGCGAATATTTCAACATAGCTCTTGTATTTTCTTATTTATGAAATGGAATGGGACAGCGAATGCATCGACGATACAAGATTATGGCTTCAGAGACCATGCAAGTTCATCCCATTAATCTAATGTTTCTCTCGCTAATAAAGGGCAGTCAACACCATTGCGACATATCCAAATTTCAACTGACTATCCAGTCGTGTTCTCGTTGCATGTGCGCCCTCCTTTCACTAAAGCCGACCCGCATGTAAGCGATCGGCGTGCGACGAGACGAGCTACGGCGACAACGACGAAGATTTCTCACTGCCGCCTGTTGCATCGCTCGGTTTTTTAGGTTTCTGGAAAACGTCGCTCATCGTCTTCGTCGCCTGCTCCCGTCGCTTCCATGCGGTTTGCCTCGTCGCGCGACTGCCCGAGCGACAGCGAAGCGGGTCACCGTCGCTTGTCTCGTTGTTCGCTGAATCGTTTGCATGCGGTTTATGCTTAATATCGAGGCGCCAATGGTTCAATCCTGTGTGCATAAAAATAGAGTATACACCGCATGTAAGCGATTTGGCAAGCGACCACATAAGCGACGACGACTCGCTTCGCTGTCGGTCAGTCAGTCGCGCGACGAGACAAACTGCATGGAAGCAACGGAGCAAGCGACCAAGACGGTGAGCGACGTTTTCTAGAAATCCCAAAACCGAGCGATGCGACGGGCGACGGTGAGAAATCTCCGTCGCTCGTATCGTCGCGCGCTAAATCGCTTACATGCGTGTCGGCTTTACGGAAACGAGCGCGCACATGCAGCGAGAAGCACGACTGCGATAGCCTTACTGCGTCAGTTGCAATTTACATATGTCGCAATAGTGTTGACTGCCCTTTATTAGCGACAAAAACTTAAGAATGGGATGAACTAACATGGTCATTGAAGCCTCATCGTCGACCCATTCGCTGTCCGATTCCATTTCATAAATAAGAAAATACAAGAGCTAATGTCGAAATATAAATATCAAATGATTAAATCAATGTCCTAAATATCAAAATGGCCTAAATCAAACACAAGATTTTAACGCGCAACACGAAAAATAAGCTCCGGCAGTGGCTCGTGCAGCACACAACGCGGAGCAACGACGGGAAACTGAAGGTCGGCTATGGCGGCCCGGAAAGCGCGCGAAGGGCGCGCCGACTGGTGGCAGCTCCAGTAACTGACTTGCCGGTATTGTTCGTGGGACCGATTTTTCGCAAAATGTAGGCAATTCGCGAAATTAGGTCTCTGAAAATTAGGTCTTTGCAAAAATTAAGTCGTTTACAGTATTCGGTTCTTTCTGAACCTGTGATGTTGATTTGCTGCAGCTGGTATGCTTTTTAGCAAGTGTTTACTTAATTGAGAGTCAGCACTTGTCCCGTGTACCTCCTTATTCCGTGTCCTCATTCATTGCACGCTGCTAACAACTTTTGTGACAACAAACCAACCCGCCCACACTGACTTTTTGGCAAGCACCAGTTTCCAGAGGGCAAAAAGAATTCCAAAACAAAATAAAACAGAACCAGCAAACATTGATGTGACTTGTTTTTTATTGCGTAAGTTCCGCCTTCATTCACAACTTGCGCTACATAAAAAAAATAAAAAAACAGGAGAAAAAAAAAAGTGCTGAGTGGCTATGCTATGGCAGTTTCTGTACACCTCCCGAATGAAAGAAGGGGCTTAGGAAGCCTCTGCCGCCAGCTTCTCTGCCTTCTCGTGCACCTCCTCGATGGGGCCCACCATGTAGAAGGCCACTTCAGGCAGGTGGTCCAGCTCACCTGAAACGGCGAGTGGCTCATTAGTAGGGCTCAGTGGTATTCGTATAGGACAAGGGTCTCAAACACGCGGCCTGCAACTCACTGGGACACAGCCCGCAGGAAACTGGCTACGAGTCTCGGTCCCTAATGTCCCGAGAAGGCATGCGCCATAGTGATCTCACCTCGCCGATTCATTCTCGCTCAAAGAGTAGCCCTGCTTTTTCAAGGTATTCACATAGTCCATACTTATGTGTTCATGTGCCCATCGTTTCGCTTCATATTTTGCTTCCCAACTTTCTGTAATTTAGAATAATTTCACTACTAGGCTGCAAGCGCGAGCTATTCGTTGAAGGATGCATTTCGGCTGCACAAACTTCTCGATCAGCGGGAGCAACTGGCAAAAGATAAAGGTTCAAGCTCAAAACTTTCACCTTCAAAAAGATATCTATAAAAGACAAGTGTTTGTTTGTAAAAACCATCAGGGGAAACAACTTTCATATTAACTGATTATTTGTAGAGACATGCTGAGCTTGGTTAAGTCCTGGGTGAACTGAGCAACTGGAACAACAGTACTTGTTCTATTAAAAATGCCAGCACGTTGGCAGAGCGGCGTCACTTTTATTCTTACCACATCAGCAGATCAAGGCCCAAAGTAGTCTTATAAGCAAATCAAATCTAAAGATGTCACTGGCAAGACTGAGTTTACAAAAAGCATAAAGCACGAAGTCTTACCCCACCCCCTCCCGCGTCTTACGTTGGCCCTCCACCTTTCAGGTGTGGATATCTGGCCCCCACACAAAAATGAGTTTGAGACCCCTGGTGCTTCGGCAAAGAATCTAGAAAAATTCCAACCAATAGGGTGGTCGAGGGAAAAAACAAAAACTCTTCAAGAACGAAGCGCCAGCCACGCCGAGGATCGCAAAGAACGGAATGGACTAATAGCTAAACCATTACCCGAAATTCACTCAAATTTTTGATCAGTAAAAATAAACATATGGTTTAAATTAGGAACACGACTAGCACCGCCGAAAACCCCTATATCGGTCAACTTTACAAAGACTTTGGCGCATCTCCAGGCATGTGCAAAGCGTGGAGGTGTTCTAACCTTTCCACTGGGGCAGTGCAAAGCTGCGGAGATGAGCAGTATTTCAAATAGAAGTTAATAAATACCTCTGCATTTAATATCATTTTAGTACAGTTAAACCTCGATTTAGCGAAACCCGATTTTACGAATTTCCTGAATTAACGAACAAATTCAGATCCCGTGCGCAGCTTATGCCCGCGAAATGACTTTCGATTTTACGAAGTTCCCAATATAACGAAATAATTAGCGGGTCCCGGTGACTTTGTTAAATCGAGGTTCAACTGTATGTTGTATTTCATACTTGGTTACATATTGGGGAATATATCTGTCAGCTCTATTTAAATATTTCAAATTAAGTACCTTAAATACATGTATTTCAAATACAGCCCCAAATACAATTTTGGTTACTGATCTTTGCAATCTAATGTGATAAAGGGACACACTTTGCAAAGGAAGTCACATGCAAATAGCATGAAGCTTGTTGCACCTGACACAGAATAAACATGGAAGAAAAAGAATGAAAGAGTAGAAGGAGAAACTAATGGGAAGAGTACAATTACAGTGCAAACCACTAATAATGATGCCAGATATAGCAATGTACTGCTTTCAACCATCAGTTTCTAGAGTTTCGAGACTAGAAACACTCAGTTTCTGGTTCAGATACGATGATAATTGGTTATAACGATTGAATCTTCGGGTTTTCTCATTATTGTTATAAGTAGATTGTCTTTTTGGTTGGACGATTTATTGAAACACTTCGAATTAATTGCATGTTTGAAAAGACTGATACATCAACTCTGCCTTTTAAATTAATCTTACAATAAATACATTCGTTTTCCTCAAGTTGCATCCGCCTGTAAAGTTATGACAAATTTTATCTAGAGCTGCAACATTGTTTATAATCATTTGATTCTAGGTATACAAGGTGTTTTACGAAAGGTGGACAAATTTGATATTGCGAAAACTATGCGTCGCAACAAAAAAAGGCTTGTGTCGTTTTGGTCCTGGGCCAGGGGCCTATTTAGGAAAATTATCACAGCCCGGGATAATTAGATTGTTAATTACTTTTGCGTAATTAACTTCTTAAATATTGGGCTCAAGGGCATGGTTTCAATTAGAAAATTGCTCAGCATCACCAAAAAACACAAAATCAACAAATTGCAGAACGATAGAAGGCACGCAAAGCATTCTACGGCTTTCTGAAAAACCGCACAAATTCGACAGGTTTGTTAGTTTCGGTTTGCTATTGGAGCACATCTCGGCCCCGACGGCACCACGCCCCATGGAGAGAAAGTGCAACCAACCTGTGTTGTGCTGTCATTGCATGACGCAGCAGAGGTTTGTTGCACTATCTTTCCACGGGGCGCGGTGCCGCCTGGGCCAAGATGTGCTCCGATAGCAAGCCGAAACATAAAAACCCGTCGAATTTATGCGGTTTTTCAGGAAGCCGTATGATGCTCCATTTTGCACATAACACCCCATACATACCCAAGCTCAAGCTTAGTAAATATACAAGACTCCAGTCTAAGATGGCAATCTTTGATAACAAAATGTACCTGAAAAAAGTAATTGAAGATGATCAAATACCTTCGTATTTCTATTCTGAAGTGTGATCACATCATAATGTCACCTAATGACATGCAGCCTCCCATCATGTGGCACTGATGTCACATGACATCAGGTTGTAACATTATGTGAACAGTGTCGTTGCGTGACCCTGTAATATTGTGTGGTCATGTGACCCATGAGAGCAATAAACCGCAGCTAAATTTAGAGGGAAAACATTCTCACTAAACTTAGCGGTTTGTCGTGAGAACTTGTGCTATATGTTTTCATAATGACGTTATGGCCTGGTTTCGGAAACCATCCCACAAAAAGGATCCTGCTTTGGCCCTTCCAAATGCTATGTACACAAATGTGTACATCCTGACACTCACTTTTGGTAGGGAATATACAGTGTTTACTTGCATAATGAACGCACCCCCCCAACAGGCATCAATATTAACTTTTCTTTTTTCTCTCGCGTAATGAATGCACCTCCTATTTTCAGCTCCGCCAGTCTTGAACCGCGTCCAACTCAGCTAGCCACCGAGCCAATTTTCTTTTGCCGCCAAGCGGCCAGGCCAAGTCAAGCCATGCCAAGCCGCTCTCATAATGGCCGCAAGTGTGTAGTTGCAGAAGGGATCAATCGTGAAACCGAGTGGCGCACACACCTAACAGAGCTGGGGTTGAGGAATTGCCCAGCCCCAAACATGCTCCGCTTATCGGATACGTTTATGTCAACAAACACGCCGTTGTGCGCGGTTCGCTTTCGGACAGTCAAATCATGAAAGTGGTTAGGCCTAAGAACGGTCGCGTCGTTCTTTGTGCAGAGTGAGCTTCATCGGGCGCTTTTTTTTCGGGAGAAGGCATGCCAAAAGCGCCCTAAAAAAGGTTTGCAATTTAGAGAGCATGATTACTGTGACGCGCTTACGATCAGTTGCGGGTGCATTTCTGTCAGTGGAGCCAAAGTTTGTGAAGGAAATGTCTTTCACGATGGTTAAGAATGCCCTAAACCCATGAAGCATGTTGTCACGCCACCGTCGAAAGGAGGTAGACCGCCAAAAGTGCCAGACAAAGTCAGCTGTACCGAGGGCAAATGAGCCCACCTTTCAGGATCTGGTTGAAGCCACTGATGGTCTCGTTGATGGGCACAAACTTGCCGGCCTGGCCAGTGAAGACCTCGGCCACTTGGAAGGGCTGGGAGAGAAAACGCTGGATCTTGCGGGCCCTGGACACCGTCAGCTTGTCCTCCTCAGACAGCTCGTCCATGCCCAGGATGGCAATGATGTCCTGCAGAGACTTGTAGTCCTGCAGGAAAAGACGCAAGCACACGTGGTTAGACTTCACAGCTGCAGTGGCGATGACTGAAAAGAATGACTGAAGTTCACACACTTACAACTGACTACGTCCAAGAGCATTAAAAACCCTGGCGATCTCTTACGAGAGACCACACTGGCGCCGTCTATGAGGTAGCTGTGGAACAATTGTGATTTTCCTACATCTACTTTTTTCTCGCATCCTTCTTTCTTTTCTGGCTTGAAATGTTACAAACGACTGTTTCTCATAAATAGTAGGCACATCTGATGTCTCGAATACTTCAAACACTTCACTTTAGTGAAGTGCAGTTTCAGTGCTAATTCATAGATGGTGCCGGAGTCTTCTCTCGTCGCAAGAGATGACAAGGACTCGGCCCCAAGCAATTACGAGTAGGTGAGCCAGCCTTAACTGTCGCAAGCTTTAACCTATTTTGTTTAGTTGCTGGTAAGTGACTTCTAACCAATCTATAACAAGTTGGAGGATTAGAAGAGCTCTAGATACTTTCCGGGTGCCCGTTCAATCCTCTCTCCTACAAACTGTTTTTATGATAATGCTTAATAAAATGCACATTCTTCTATAAAAAAAAATATCCCACTACAGCTGCAATTTTTTTTTTGCCTTACGACTTGTTTTTACTACATGTTATTACACTTTGCAACAATCTGACCTTTTTAAAAGGAAACTATGTGTAACTTACATTGGGTCTGAAGAGGATATACATCCATAAATAGCACAAGTTAAACATTGCACAAAGTAACGCCGCTCCACCAAAACCACCGTGTCGGGGGGGGGGGGGGGGGCACACCTGTAGAATTTTCTGCACCCCACGGGCAATGTCGTAGTGCTCCTGCCCGACGACGTTGGGGTCCATGATACGGGAAGTAGAGTCTAGGGGGTCTACGGCGGGGTAGATGCCCAGCTCGGCGATGCCCCGGGACAGCACCGTGGTGGCGTCCAAGTGGGCGAAGGTGGTGGCCGGGGCCGGGTCCGTCAAGTCGTCGGCTGGCACGTAGATGGCCTGCACCGAGGTGATGGAGCCCTTCTTGGTGGTCGTGATGCGCTCCTGCATGGTGCCCATGTCCGTGGCCAGGGTCGGCTGGTAGCCCACCGCCGACGGGATGCGCCCCAGCAGGGCGGACACCTCTGAGCCAGCCTGGGTGAACCTGCACCCACGGGGAGAAGTTGCAGCTCGGTCATTTGTTTAGAACCTATTTAGTCCCCCAGTTAAGGCCCGTTCACACACTTGCGACCTCTTAAACCTGGGTTCCTTAAAACTTCTTAAACCGGAGAACACACTGGCGCCATCTATTGGGAAGCAGTGTAAACTCGGCGGTCCGGCATATTTTTTTTTTATTTCTCGCGCATTATCCTTTCTTTCTTGGCTCGAAAAACTTTTTTTCAATGTTATAAACAAGCCTTTCTATGGGTATTACGCACATTCGACCTTGGAAATCCATCAAAACCTCCGCTCTTGTGAAATGCAGTTCCAGGGTCACCGCATAGATGGCGCCACAATGCCAGTGTGTTCCCTCATTCTAAAAACATTTAAGAAGTTTTAAGAGATCTCGTCTCTCTCAGTCGTACTCGGTCGCAAGAGTGTGAACGGGCCTTTATTTGCACTCTTAAACAAATAAACTGGTTTAACAAATCAACCAGTTTATTTTCTCAAGAAGAAATAGTATTGCTGGGAAAGTCCTCGGTGCCATAGTCGCCGACCAGGTGCGGACGGGGAGGAGCAAAACTTGTATCTGCTTTGGAGTAAAGGTTTCGCACTTTGACATTCGAAAACCCACCAATGTCAAACATTGCTCAGTTTTTTTAACACCTGCTTATTTTCCAGATATGCATTTCCGAGCAGAGCACTTAATGTAAATGCTAACATTAATAATTATAGAAGTCTAGCAGAGAACAATGTTGCTTCACAAATGTCACAAGAGCACAAAGCCATATTTTGTAACAACTGAAAAAACTGCAAGCTTTGTTTCGTGAAGACAACTGCGAGAATCCTATAAAGCCCATAGCGTCGGCCTAATGTGGCCTTGCCACACGAACAGACGCAGGATGAATTTATCCTCTAGAAGCACAAATTAGCGCTTACGGCTCTGACAAACGGCAGAGTGAAAGAAAGGTAAACTAAACAATCAGAGAACTAAGGCCAGTTCACGCACGCATTGCAGCATTAAAGCAATGCTCAAAGCAGCACAGACGCAGCACCGAATCAATGCCGCATCACTAATGAAGTGTGAAGTCAGCACTACATAAATTAAACTAAGTCTGTGCTCTTTCTAGTGCTGACTGCTTGTGCGAGGTAGTGCTGTGGAGCACAGTGCTTAACGAAACAAAATGCCTCAGCAGAGTGGGTGACCTTGTGAATATACAGTTACTCTAGCCATGCCTAGAGCAACTAAATGGCAGAGCCATAAGAATACTCTAGGCAAGTGTCACTGTGGACGCTATAGCTGTATACAGTGGAGCATGGGTTCTATAATTGAATGAGCCCAAGAGTTCTCCAAGGTACCCATGAATCCCCAAGGGTACCCCCATGGGTTACCCAGAGCACCTATATGAATTCCATGGCTACCCTCATGGATTCCCCAGGGTATCCTCATGGGTTCCCTTGGGTACCTTCAACATTTCCCTAGGATACCCCATAGGGTCCCCGAGCTCCCAGATTTCCTCGGCTGACCCTGCTCCCAAGGAAAGAAATTTTTACGTTTGGGCACTAGTTGAGCAGATCTAAATGAATGTGGCCTTTGTCCAGTTTCGGTTCATATATTTAACTTATCACTTGCATCTGAAACATTTCCTACTGCTTGAAAGCACTCTGTTGTTCCATTATATAAATCGGGTGATCGATCCATGGTTAACAACTATAGGCCAGTAGCTACAAAGGCCGCTCCACAGACTACAAAGGCCAACTATAGGCCTTTGTAGTTTTTCTAAAGTTTATAAAATTGTTTTGCACACCGGCCTTTATGCATATTTTTGTCGGAAGATTATTCCTGAGCAACATGGTTTCATGAAAGGCCGCTCCACAGAAACAAACCTATGTTCCTTCCTACATCAGATTGTACCGTCTGTCCATAGTGGAGGACAAACGGATGTAGTCTACTTTGATATGAGCGAAGCTTTTGACAAAGTTAATCGTCGACTACTGTTGAGAAAACTCTGTAGTTACGGTCAGTCCCTTAAGTACTGTCGTCTCCTCGATAGTTACCCATCTCATCGGCTGAACTTTGCACGAGTATCCGGTCGATTATCTGCTCCTTTTTTTTTCTACAGGGTGTCACAAAAGAAAATTTACGCCATTTTTTTACCGCAAAAATAAACTAAGCATCGCTGAACGCTCATTCTCTGCCCAAAGGTAGAGCTAGAGGTCACAACCAGATGCCAAAGTTTCAGCCCGATCCGATAACTTTATCAAAAGTTATAAGTGATTTTCTGAAAATTTTAGTGGGAAAAAGGAGTTCATTTTTTCTCGTTTTCAGTTTCAGGCGCCATAGAGCCCCATGTGTTCGAAAGCTCCGTCGGCCGCCATTTTCCCATTGAAATTTTCAGAAAATCAGTTATAACTTTTGATTAAGTTATCGGATCGGGCTGAAACTTTGGCATCTGGTTGTGACCTCTAGCTCTACCTTTGGGCGGAGAATGAGCATTCGACGATGGCTAGTTTATTTTTGTAGTAGAAAAGACTAAATTTTCTTTTGTGACACCCTGTACTTCTCGGGTTCCTCAAGGCAGTAACCTCGGTCCTTTGCTGTTTTTAATGTTGGTGAAATGATCTAGCATCTGTATTAAACACAGAATTGTCATCGGGCCTATGACAATTTTGAAAAACGGTTGAGTCTATGTTATGACAATTATTGCAAATAAATTATGCAGATCAAAATGTTACAACGGCGAATGACGCAAAAAAAAAAAAAAAAACCTACGGGTTTACATTTTTTTAATTTCTCAGTTTACCTTTCTTCTCACAATATAGTGTAACAAATAAAATAACATTGTTTTGGTTTGTGATTCCTTCTGTCCAATTTTCATACTGTAACGAGAAAGTAACGGCGTTACTGTTTTTGGAATAACTGTAACTAACACGTTACTTTTTGAAACCGGCAACTGTAACTGTAACAGAATTACTTTTTCCCCCTAGGTAACTGTAACACTGTTACTTTTTTCTGGTAACGTGCCCATGCCTGGCACCAGGTACCTCAAGCTTATACGAACTGGTGCCAAAGCGCAATTGTAGTGCAAAACTTTTTTAAGCGGTGATTCAAGAGCATGAACAGGGAAGCACGGTTTACTACAACCAGACATTGATTGGACGCTCGTAGAAAGCATGTGCAGATACAAAAAAACTCCCCACAAAAAGGAGTCACAAGGTAAATAGTGAATTGGTAGAAAAACTATGAGCAGCACATGCACGCTAAATACGGGAGTGTGACCGATTCATTCGACTGTTCATGCACTGGAAGCACGTGTGTGATAACCAAAAGTACTCACGAGAAGATTACGGACACAAATGAACAATTGCAGAATAAAGGCGCTAAATGGCACTTTTAAGAAAAGGTTTACTCTCAAAACGAAAAAAAATACTGAGGTTTGCTTTGCTCATCTTGATAGCCTGTGCGTCGTACTTCCCGCGGCCAGATAGCGAGACCGCATGACAACGCACCGGTATCATGCAGTCACAAATGACAGCGTAAAGTAATAGGGAAATTGGGAAAAGACCACATATCATAGATATAGAAGGGTACTACAGTTGAAATCCTCGAATCCGGCGATTGCTTGCGCCACCCTGTACCTAAGCCACCCATGCCCTTTTACTTTACTACGACGGGATTAAATGTTGCCAACCAAGTTTTCGTTTTCCTTTAAATCTAGCATTGCTGCAAATTTTTTAGTTTGAGTTACTTTTGGCGCAGTGTGCCGCAATTTCGACCGATTTTAGCGCCACTAGGCGGAGAAACTTGGGTTCGAATCAAAATTGCGCAACTGGCGCAGATGTCACACCCCTGCATTCACCAGTGCCAGTGATAAATCAAATTTACACGAGAAGCATTTTTCACTCCTCTTATGATCAGACTGCTTTTTGCTTGTTGGTGGATTGAGTAGAATACTAGGATTAAGTAGAATACTAGGATTGAGATGATATCGGCTGTTTTTGCCAGCGCATGGAGAGGATCCATGTTCTCCGTTTTTGGGCGCTGTGTAAAAAAAGGTTAGCGGGGACTACCGCCCCCTGAAGTTTCATTTAGCACTGTGGTTGGGTAATCCAACATCGATTAGAAACTAAGGTGGGCTGCAACGTAAGAAGTCTATGCAAAACGTTTTTGCTAGGAGCCGCACCGTGGCGCCACTGTCTCGTCGCACGCTTCCAATGAGAACCACTGCTAGAGTAACTGTATATGCTCCTAGCAAAAGCCCATTTCGTCTTGTTGAGAATGGTGCGTGTAAACATGCCCTTTGAACTTCTTGCACAGATGAACGAGGAGAGACGCTGCAGCTCACCTGAAAATGTTGTCGATGAAGAGCAGCACGTCCTGTCCTTCCTGGTCACGGAAGTACTCGGCCACCGAGAGACCGGTCAGAGCGACACGGGCACGGGCGCCAGGGGGCTCGTTCATCTGGCCGTACACCAGAGACACCTGGACGGAGGCGAGCAAAGCATTGGAACGGCCCCGAAGCCAGGGGCGGTTTGCTAGTGAATGGGGCCTTTCCTCCAGGCGTTAAGAGGAGTCTTTATGGCACGTGACTACCTCGAAGGGCAGGAAGTACCTAGCATTGCACGCGACTCCCCTCACCAGACATAAGCCTTGCCTCTTGCCATTCTTGCTTAACACAATCTTATTCACAAATAATTTGACAAGCCACCCCTAAAGTACGCAAATGCAGTTCATTTCACTTTTATTTCAAGCCTGTTCACCCTCTTTTTGCGCACAAAAGCGAACCCGAATAACCGAAGGGAGGGTAGACTTACGGGAACAGTCCTATCTCCGCATCAACTATTTTGGGCTGCAGAGTCAAGGCTGGTACAGCAACAGTGCTCTAACGATGTCGTAGCTACTTGCGCGAGCGCGACGCTTTGGTGCTGGTCACTCCCACCAGAGGGCGTGCGAATGAGACTCAAGATGATGCCCCATAGAAGCTACGCTTACCTTGACAGCGTAGCATAAAAAAAACTGACACAGAGTTTGTTTTTATAGGTACCGTGCCCCCATGATGTGACCAGAAAGTCCCTCTCGTGGCGTTTTTAGCCACTGGGAGATACTCGCATTCACCTGGGCCGGTTTGCCGGCGAATGTGGGTATCTCTCCCGGCAAATATAATAGTTAGAATAGCCGCGAGAAGGATTTTGAGCTCGCATGGCCGATTCCAAGGGGTCAAGAAACCACAGGTACCCAGCGTTTCAGGCGAATGGCTGCCGCAAGCTCGTTACCGCTGGGAGAGATACCCACATTCGCCAGCACACTACCCCAGGGGGGTAAAGACATAAGCAGAATGAGGCAAATCGTAGGCGCCGACATCGGGAGAAAGAAAAAGAGACAAAAGCAGAGAAAGAAAGCAGACAATAGGTTTGGCGTGTTCCCTTTGTCGCAATGAGTTGAAGTTGTTCGAGGAGTTTTTGGTGCTTCTTTGTTTATATTAGGGCATCGCCGGCATGATGGGCCACTTGGGACCACCCAGGTTTGCATCGATGCCCTGTCGTTCCAAAGCAGCTGAAATGGGTAGGACCTTTTCCTCTAGATTGTTTTATTAACTCTATGCCTGAAGCGTGCTTTAAACCAGGTTGAAAACGAGACAAGCCATAAATGGGCCAAGTGTGCCTAGAACTACAGACAGTAGATTGGAAGCTACATGCGGTCTATCCAGCCTGCAGCACGTGACTATGTGCTTTGTGCATGGTCAAAAGCCTGATAGCCAATTGTTCCAGTCGATTCATAGTTTACTCTCTACTGGCAGCTTACACGTCTACAGGCAGCTTATGTATAGAAGTGGCTTGCCCGAATCACTCGGGCAACTGTCGGCAGCTTGCAAGACCAAAACCATAGCTGCCGTTGACCTTCCACGATTGCCGAAGAACTTACTACGCAGTCTGTTGTAGGATTTACTCAGCTCTCCTCGAAAGAAAGTCAAGTCTGCCCATGGTGCAGTTGAGAATGCGACAACCATGAACTTCCATTGCGCTCTTCACATAAAGGATCCAACTTGCTCACCGCAAATGATACATAGCCAGGATCGCAACACGCGACACCAAAGCAAGATTCCGGTTGCGACGTCGTGGATCGGAACCGTAAGAGGCTGCCACCGAAGCATCCCCCCGCTATAGTCACTGACAAGAAGAGAAGAAGTTTCAATGGCTCCCCCCTCCAGTGCAAACCCCTTACCTTCGGTAACGCGTCTGCGTCTTGAGAGCTTTGACAGTTTGTGAATAGCGAAAGCACTACACGAGGCAACGAGCACGTGAGAGACCATCCACCTTGCAGTTCTCATCCAGTCAGCGATTATAACAGCCCCTTTACGATCCTATGCCGTCGGCAGACGGGCGGTACGACGCTCACCTTGGAGGTCTTGTCCTTGAGACTGATGACGCCGCCCTCAATCATCTCGTGGTACAGGTCGTTGCCCTCGCGGGTGCGCTCGCCGACTCCCGCAAAGACTGAGTAACCTCCGTGGGCCTTGGCCACGTTGTTGATCAGCTCCATGATGAGCACAGTCTTGCCCACGCCGGCTCCACCGAAAAGGCCGATTTTGCCTCCCTGGAAGAGGAGACCGAGTGCTTCAGAAAATATTAACTCTGGACTGATTCGAGTAATGGACTAGTTTCCTCTCTGCTTTCAGCATACTCTCTAAATTCTTCTCCGAACGAATATCTTGCTATTCTGAGTTGGTAGATGCTCTGCCTATGGTACCCGTTTGCTTATTTCTACGGGGTTTTGGCTGCGCGTGCAACATGGTATTCCCTTAAAAGCTCGCGCTGGAGGCGGAGCGGAGCATCCACTGAATTTTCAGCCTGTCGCGAACTGTAGAGTGGTTCCGCAAAACGCCTTTTCCTCTCATGTAAGCCGTGCTCTGCCATGTTTGTGAGCAGCGTCCACCGGCTTCGCCCTTTGCAAATTGAGCGGTTTCGTTAATCAGAGGTACAGTCACAGCGGTCGCTTCGATGTTTTGTTGAAACCCTAGGCATCAGCGCCTCGTGGCATCTTGACAGCGGAGTTTCTTCGCTTCATTCTGAGCACGCGCCTCACTGTCCTACCTGCGACGAACGGCAAGACACATCAGCATCACTGCCAGCGCATCACTCGGCGTCTCGCAAGAAGCGCGACGCTATCACGCAGCGACGCCAAGACGCACGCGTCTGCCACTTTGCGCTGTAATCTTGTAAAGCTTCAAGGCGTTTTTCCCAGTTGGGGCGGCTTGGGGACCCACCAACGGTGACGTAATGCGCAGGCCCGTCTTCTACATGCTATTGGACGGATGGATACAGCTGAACCCTACTAATCCCGCAGCGGCTCAGGCCACCCAGATGCGCATGCTTGTTCCACAAATATATAGGGTGACCCAAGTCACCAGGCTCGATCTAAAATGGATTGTAAAAATCGACGCTTGCAAGTAGCAATCTAAACTTTGTCAAAGGTGTATTTCACGGATCTTTTTTCTTGTAAAATCCCTAAGAATAGCTCCCTTTCTGTAAAAAAAAAATAGGACCAAGAAACTTGTCAGGGTCTATGGCGGAGGGCGAGGCAGACGACCAAATCGAGTTGCGGGATGCATTTGGCGCGCATATTGATAGATGGCGTTTGGAGCAGCGTCCAAAGGTGCAGCCGACCAGCAAAAGAAAGCAGACGACACGCAGACGAAATTCATTGGCAGCAAAAGCGCAGTCATTATGCAGAATCGTGTCTTTCTGCTTTAAATTTTGCTTTTACTGTCCGCATTTATTTTTTAACCAAAGGTACATTTCAAAAAGATCATGTTCACAATAATCGCGACCATCAAACCACGGTCACGAGCCGTCGCGATAAGGAGGTAGCGCCATCTATCAATACGAACGCCACACACACCCCGCTACTCAACTTGCCATCCCCCCCTTCTGGGAAATTGAAAACTACCCGCATATACTCAGGAAAACCTCTTTCCCGCTTACATTTCGAGCCAGAGGTATGACACAAGATATAGGTTACGTACACAGGCTCCGGTAGACCCCTTTTCTGCTTCCCAAAGCAACAGAAACAAACGAAAGCTGGGATACCTTAGAGTAGGGGGCGAGCAGGTCGACGACCTTGATGCCGGTGACCAGGATCTCCTGCTCCACGCTCATCTCGACGAATTCGGGGGCGTCCTGGTGGATCGAGAGGAACTTGTCCGAGGGAATGGGGCCCCGCTCGTCGATGGGCTCCCCGATGACGTTCATGATGCGGCCCAGGGTCTCGGGCCCCACGGGCACCATGATGGGAGACTGCGTGTCCGTCACCTTCTGGCCCCGCACCAGGCCCTCCGTGCCGTCCATGGCAATCGTGCGGACCACGTTCTCACCTGAACGAGGGCAGACGACGCGCACCCTCGGTGAACGAGCAGAAATGCCGCGGCACAAGCACCCGCGTCTCCAGATTCGGTGCGCAATCTGAGTACGATCAGATACTGAGGAAGCTGGGAAGCACGGCACACTTTCGCTTTGCACGCATACCCAAAGAACAATGGGAGCATTCAGTTCGGCCACTTCGAGCATCCCTTGAACGTCTTCGGGAAACAATGGTGCTCAAAAAAGGGTTATTCGGGAGAAGGGAAGAGAAATTAAGGTGTCTACCAAGTTGCTTCCTTCAAATTCTCCAACTTTTTCAGGTTTCTGCCCGAATATTTGGATAAAATTACCCGGACTGTTACAAAAAAAGAGAGGGCCGAGGACAGGTTAGCAGCGGCCGATTGGGTTGTTCCCGCTCAATCCGACGAATAGGAAGGTAACTTGCGCTGCCTAGCAACACCTCGGGCAACTGTCGCTTGTGTCGCTTGGTGCAAAAGCCGTCCACTCTGCCTTGCGCAGCACCTTCCTACCTCGTAGCGTCTCGTAGGTCATTTTCCCAAACTTAACCGACTTTCTGACGACTTCCCCGACTTCTCCAGAGGCATCATAATTCCACGACAATTCCAGGTTTTAACAAAGAATCTGTTTGAGGGCTAGAATCCTAGAAGAAAGTGCAACAAGACACTACAGAAACCGTTACAAAATGTGCAACACTTACTTCAGAGGAAAATATGAATAGTGGAAAATTTGAAAAGTAACGAAATTCTTAACGTGCCCCAACGGGAATCGAACCATTGACCACGTGGTTGTGAGCCCCAAATTCTATCACTCCACCAATTAGTGTGTAGATGCTTTGTCTCCACCACGGTGGTCTCTACTGACTAAACGTTAACGCCAGCATTTAAATCAAGACGTGCCCACCATCGCATAGAAAAGGACAGAGTTTGCATTGATTGAATGATTGATGTTTAATGGTGCAGCAGCGTCCAAGGCTATCATAATGTGCCAACAGAGTTTGGAGTAAAAGAGTATGCTAACTCTAGGGTTCAGTGAACTCTGTATTCATTATCTTTTCAAATTCGAGGGTGTCCTTTTTGGGGGGAGGTTTTTTACAGATTCACTGTTTGTTTTTTTGTGATTGGTTACAACTTCAATTTACAAAACAAACACCAAATCAGTCAAAAAACAAAAAAAAAACATTTGAATTTAAAAAAACATTAACACTGAAACAGAATTTTATAGTCTGTGACAAGTTAAAGGGGCACTGACAACCCAAGGGTCGTATCTTATTGTCTAAAACAATGCACATTGTAGTCATAGAAAAAAAAAAAAGAAACGCATTGCAAAAAAAATACGTTTACGCGCGCGCGCGCGCGTAAACATTTTTTTTTTTTTGTTGCTTTTTTTTCTTGCTTTTTGTCTCCTTGCTTCTTTTGATTTGTGACGTCAAGAATCATAAAATTTAGAAGCTTTGTAGGCGACACTTCTATAATATTTAATAACGGCAATCGTAAAACATGTTTTTTAACGCAATTGCAAACGCACTTCTTTTTGAAATACCATAAAATCGGAGTCCGTTGTGGTGCCGCTTCCTGGATTTGTATCCTCTCACGGAGAACAGGCGACACCGCTCAAAACCGATCCGCCGGCGCTCGCTCCTTTCCTCCTCGCTTTGGGTCGCGATGGCAACAGCACAGAGTGGTGGAAGGAAGTGGACTCTCAGGACTTTGCAATACTTGACGTCAACGCACCGGTGCGGGAACTTCGAAGTCGGCATTTGGAAATTGTTTTTTTACTTCACAAATACTGAATTCCCAAGTTTCGAATTTTGAGGGTAATGTCCCGGCATCGTTTTCAATTGTTTCGGATAATAAAAAAAAGATATGAATTTGATGTGTCAGTGCCCCTTTAAGTGTTCAGGGCAAGGGAAAGGAAGGCTGGGGAGGAGGAAGCAAGCAGACTGGTGGAGAGAGGGATGTTTCCTCCTCTCCAACAATCCATCTTCCTCCTCCTCTCTAGCCTTCCTTTCCCTCGCCCTGAAGTCTCAACCTGTCACCAACTATAGCTATAACCAAATAAAAGTAAAAATGTTGCAATATCCACGGCAATCTCCGAAGGATGCCGCAGAAACATTCTGCGTATACCGATTTCATCTGTAGGATCCAGATAAGACCATCATTTTTCGTGTTGACAGACACCCCAGAAATCAACCCTACCCCTAAACACCCAAACACTTCCGACGCCATTGGGCAGTGGGGACGTGCGACTCACCCAAGTGCTGGGCAACTTCCAGCACCAGGCGGGGCTTGCGTCCCTCCACCTCCAGGGCATTGAGGATGGACGGGAGGTTGTCTTCAAACTGTACGTCCACCACAGCACCAATCACGGCCACGATCTGGCCGTTGCCCACCTTGGCCTTGGCCTGGGCGGCAGCATGACGCCGGCTCTCCGGCTCTGCACCGGGGCGGCAACAAACGAGAAGGTCAGAGACCAAAACCGCCAAAACGAGAGAACATTCAGCGGCAAAGGACACAATAAGAATGACCATGCTCCAGACGTGCCTCCGACTGGTACGTCCACTAAAAGCCCACAAATCAAGGCCCGTTCATGCAGCACCGTCTGCTAATGTCAAGAGGATTCTGTGCTTCACATTAACCGTGGCAATCAACTCAAGGAGTAACTTTGCACGCAACCTTTGAAGCACAAATGTCTCGGCGACTTATAATGCAAGCAGACGTTGCATGAATGGGCCTTTACAACACAAGGGGGGAGTCCTCAAAAAAAGGCCGATCCTGGCGGTCGGCCGTACTGGAACAGTGCGGTGGACCAAAATTCGCCATGGCTTCTGAACTAGTAAAATCTTTAGACCATTCCAATAACTGCCTTCTACATGATGCCATCTTTATCTACCGGCTTGTGGGACGTGTCTTCAGCGTGTGCAGTAGCCCTTTTCAGCGAAATATCAGATGCCACGCGCGAGCTCACAGCCCAGTGACCCGGCACTAAGGGAACAAGCAGTCGCGAGCTTTAGGCTAGGTGGCATAAGCTACCACCCATTAGAAAGGGTATAGCCATTAACATTCATTTATCCATTGAGTGGCACGCAGCATAGAGCAAGACGGGTACCCCCTGCAGCCAACTTTGAAAGGGTCTGGCAATTCTGAGAACCACCACCAGTGTTGACTCTTTAATACAATGCAGGCACCACCAAGTAAAAAAAAAAAATGTTAGAAAAAGTTTTATAAACATGCCAGTCAGACGCATTTCACACTAATCAGAACATATAACTGGCATCAAGGAGGAAGAAGAAAAACCTATGTTCACCCAAGCCCTTTCTTGTGCTAAAGTAAAAGCTATGCATGCACGCAGATAGCTTTGAGAGGTGAAACCGTAGTATGTGCAAGAACAACTTGAGCATTATAGAAAAATAGGAGCGTACACTAGCAACATTTGCTTTGTTAAAATCAAAAAGCCCACGTAGCTCTGGATGGCTAATGAAACAATCTCATTGGCAGTCGTAGTGAGCTAGCACAATTTGAATAATATATCGAGTGCTTCAATTTCATGCCCGTCCGAGGGCTAACGTGCAGAAGGCCCATGTTTGACCTCTTTCAAGTGCTGTACCATGAAGAAAGGTCAGAGGACAGGCCCACATCAACCGACTGATTATGCCAACATGTTCAACTAACTACTACGGATGGGGCACTCTTCAAAAAAGACTTCCGATGCTCTTTGCACCAAGGCAAGCCAAGCAAAGCCAGAATGGCGTCACCCAACAAGATCAAAGAAGGCCGCCGTGTGTTCCCCTAGGTTGCCGAGCAAAGGGCACCTCTAAACTTTCTTTTCTTTGCCCTTTTTTTTAAATTTTGAGTAGCAAAAGGTCGAAGAAATTTTCTAGCGACCTCGCAAAAGGGACTTAATTGCTTCGAACCGAGAAATTGGTGAATGGGTACGACATAGAGGGGAAAGAGGTCAAAGCTCGGCCCGCTCACACCGGTCACGAATACCAGCGGCTACGCAGGAAACCGAACAGCTGTGTCGTTTAGGGGAGTTCTCAGCAATAAAATATCGTATTATGCCACTTTGAGACATGCGATGCACGCATCCGAACACTATCTGAGCGAAGTCTCGATGCCGGCATCCGTCGAAGGCATGGCGTGCAGTTCAACACTACACACCCAGAAAAAAACTAGTTCCCCACTTTTCTCGAAGTCCGGTGCAAGGTCACCGTTTTTAATGTAATCAGTTCGACAGTCTGCTAATAACAACGGCACTCTTGCATCGGTACTTTTTACAGTGTCAGCGTTCCACGGCGGCTCGGTTAACCCTAATTGACCCAACATTTGCACTCAAGGGCAGGCAGGGTACAGGGTGCCTTCGGGCCGGGTTGGGTGGATGAATAGAACTCACGTGTGGTGCATAGCGCTGGGATTAGCCTCGAATTGATGCCACTGACTTTGGCGAGGGAAACGGCCGGCTTGGCCGACTTCAAGATGCTCGAGCAAGCTCTTCCCACGACGCTCAACATGATCGTGTCCTGCTGCACACGACGACGAAGGACGAGGCGACCGCCGGGAGAAGAGGAAGGGAGCGAGAAAAAAAAATGAACGTCGGGCCACGTGATCTCAGTCACGTGACATTCAACCGGCTCATTGTCAGAAAGCAACTTGCGTCAAATTTGGAGAAACTTTTACTCTCACGGAAAACAAAAATAAATGTATTACTCTTGGTATCAGCTCACCATAAATAAAACCTATGTTTTGGTGTTAACAAATCATAAAATAAAACGTTTGTTCTTTAGTTGTTGTTTTTTTTGTCTTTTTACTTGTTAACGCTGCTCTTCCGCGTTGTGAGAAGTTATTTTCAAAATAGTGCTTTCACAAAGTTCAGTGTAAAAAATTAGGAAACTATTATATATGACATATTAAACTTAGAGACAAATAACAATTTTAGATTTCAATTGTTGAAAAGTTACATATTAGCTAATGGCATTAAACCCATTAAACAGTCGTCTTAGCACCCTTGGCCAACAACATGTGGCAACGGCAGGCGGAAGGATACAAACTTTCAAATTTTGGCTCTATCGCGCTACCCGCGCTTCGAGTTGCTGTTCTTCGCCTCTGAACCGGACATTTCATAGCGATTCGAAAAGCTTTTTTTTCTTTTAAAAAAACAAACGTCCGACTGCGCCGTCCAGTATGGCTAGCGAGGCACCAGCCAAGGCGTCAACCGCCACACTGGCACTCTCCGAGATTCCGTCGAATCTGTCGCAGCTGAGCGTGCTAACTTTGAGGACGGATATGGGGATGTGTCGCGAGTCCAACCGTCTGACCAGTTTCGCCAGATGGCCTTTCCAAGAGAACTGCGCCTGCACACCCGCCAAGATGGCCCAGGCCGGCTTCTACCACTGCCCCATTGACAACGAGCCCGACTTGGCCCGCTGCTACGTCTGCTTCAAGGAGCTGACCGGCTGGGAGCCAGACGACGACCCCGTCAAGGAGCACGCGCGCTCCATGGACTGCGCCTTCGTCCAGCTCAGGAAGACAGAGGCAGACATGACTGCCAGGGAGTTCTTGCTTCTGGAGAACGCACGGCACCGTAACCGAGCCACCAAGCTCAAGACCGTTTTCGACGCCATGGTGGAAGAGAAGCGGCGGCTGGTAGCACGCGCTATCGCCGCACGCCGACGAAAGCGATGAACTCTCCCAGTGTCGGAGCGCTCTTTGTGTTAATTATTGTCCCTCTATTACCGTGATCGACGCTGTTCTGGACAAGAAGCTGAGACTGATTGTACGCTGTCGCCGCACACCAACGAAGGCGATCAACTTACCCAGCTTCAGCCGCCTTCGAGCTTCTTGCCCTGCGTTAGTGCAGCCCAAGAGACCACACCTTTCACTATACTGGCACGTCAAGAGTGTAGCCAAGTTCCGTGATACTAATAATAAAAATAATGTACTGGCTCCCATGTTCACGCAGTGCTTACCTTGTGGGCTCACTTGCTGGAAACAGTTTTAGCCAAAACTGTGTGAAAAAAAAGCACTGCCAAAGCTCCCGCACAAGTGGAGGGGCCTGTGAAGTCATCTCAAGTTCCTACGTGCCCCAGGCCTGCCAGGCTTTCTTTCACACTGTCTTAGCAAAGGTGGTTTCTAGCAAGCCGGCCTTGAAGGAGCTCTGAAGTCAATTCCGAGATCGTCCTTCTGTGGTTGCAACTCAATCTAGACACTCCAAGAATCCCAATAAACCCAGAATTTGAATTGTGTGTTAACCCAATAAATCCAAAATTACAATCCTGGTTTAAAGCGTGTTCAAAGGTCACGGCACACCCATTTTGGGAAGAATTTTCTTCCGAGTGAAGTGGTTGACGAAGGGCGCTTGTCGGCAAGTTGCAAGCAATGGCTTCGCCCGCGGAGAAAAAGAGGGGTCTCATCTGAATATGCAGACTCTTCGAAACGAGTTATAATAAAATCATTCGGAATCTGTGCAAATTGTAGGGTTTTCATTGGTCCGCCCACACAATGTAGTCCGCAAGAAAAAAAAAAAAGTACACCCACGTTTCTTTATTGCCCCGAGATGAATAGGCAGTTTTGTAATATAGGACTTGGGATATGTGGGAACTACCTAACACATTTTAAACAATATAGGATCAAAAACAACCTTTTTCAAAAATGACTTCAGTGCCCCTTTAGCTCGCAGAACAATGCAATCGCACAACATACACGAAAGCGTCTTATGTACCTTTTTATTTTCGATGATTTACAAATATATCAAGGCACAGGATGATCTCCAAGATGTAATAGAATTGAAAAGAAAAAAATGCTCTGAATGTCTGAACAAAATGTGGTTCTCTCCGGTTGAATGCAGGACTGCATCGCGGTGCGTAGGCACCACGTTCAATGTTGCGAAGGTTGCCGCAGAACACACTCAACCAGTGATCCAGAGACAGTGACGAATCAATGCACGATGGCAGTCAGAACAACAGAAAAAACTACTAAAAATATCAAAACCAGCACCAAAAGATCACTCGACACACTTGTTTTTTACTTTCAACAAAGCCCGAGGCTGGGTCTCTGACCTCGCATGATTGCTTAAACAGAATGTACAAAAACAGACAATGGCGCAATGAGACGAGACGGCTATTTACAGTATTTACAAGGAAACCCTAGATCTGGAAACCATGGTGGCCAGTTCGGACCAAAGGCCCACACACAAAAAGAGAAAAACCCTTACAGGTGATGAGATCTTTTGTACAATATTCTTCAGCCTAACTGACACCAGTGCAAACTGGACAGAAGCTGGTCTTAAAACAAACAAAAATAATCAGAAAAAAAAAAAAAGGTGATAATGTGTAGTGTTTTACCTATACCGCCTAGAAGACAAAGCCTGCACATTACGTCGTCATTCTTCAGCTTCGTCGGAGCAAATATTGGAGAGGAGGAAACAGCCAATCATAGAGAGCCTTGTGGGTGGAGCTTGTTTTGCTATTCTAGACCTGCAACAAACTTGCACTTGATGCGCACTTGATGTCATCGCTCTATGCTGGTGGCCATTCATCCTCGTTTCTGCCGAGAAAATCAGATTCGGTAACGAAACGGGCATGCGGCAGGCACTATGTCCTCGGTAGCAAGGCGACCGCAATGAATGGTGGCGGTGCAAGCCCTCGACGCCCGGGGAGAGGCGCGGGCTCAGTCTTCTAGGCGGTACCAGTTGTGTCCCTCGTGATCCGACCGGCCCGCAGGAAACGGTGAACGGTTCGGGTCGGCCGGGGCCAGAAGCGAGGTCGGTGCTGTACACGGTGGCCGGGGATCTTCACTCGTTCTTCTGGCAGTAGAGCTCCTTAAGGGACTTGAGCTCGTCGATGAGTGCCTTGTTTTGGTTCTCCAGTACGGCCACCCTGTTCTCCAGACACTTGATGTACTCCTTCTTCTTGCGACGACACTCCTTGGCCGCGTCCCTGCACGGGCGTTTGGGGCAAGCCGTGAGATGGGCGCCGACCTTGGAGCTCCCAAAAGTAGCTCCGCAGTCGGAGGAAGCGTGGCAACAACGATTCATGCAGGAACGATTGCAAAATGCTAAGATGCGTGACTCAAAACCAAAAGTGCCACCGCGCCCGTTTCGATACGAAAAATAAACCGACCGCCCCAATGGTGCCGTGTGCCCAGCGATGGGGAACGGAAAGCGCGTGCAACGTTCTGATCTCCGGTAGTCGTCCGCATCGCATTATACTATAATGACGCGTCCTCATTCGCTCGAACCTGTGAAACCTCAGTTTTAGAGAACGGTGCTTGTTTTCTCCTACTCTCTTTTTGCCAAGAGAAAGGCGATCTCAAACTCCTAGATAAATAAACTGGGCAGTATGCTAAGCCCTCTAAGAGGCAAACACAGTTTATTTTTGAATAGTGTTTAGAAGCTCCTAACACTCGGATTGCAAATCCGCAGCCGCAGCCGCGCGAAGAAATGCTTCAACTCTCGCAAAGTTAGTTTCTGCTCCAATGCAATGCGTGGTTCTTTCTAAAAGAAAACTATTACAGTACGCTCGCAATAATTCAAATTCGAATATTCTGTACTTCTGGTTAATTCAAACAAGTTTCCAAATTTTGGTTGTCGCGCTACGTTTTTAATGTATTCATAAGCCGCTTAATTCGAAAGGTGTTTTCATGCAATTCATAGGTACTTTTTGTGCTCGCGGCCCCATTGATTGCACTACCTTCCAAGCCCCGGTGCACTGCAGAGAAACCACACCAGCGAAGCTTGCTTCCGCAGGTGTTACTTCTCCGCAGTGCACCGGTGCTCAGTGAGAAGCGAACTCAACGGGGTGAAAGCCTTGCATACGAGGACCGTGACATGGCGGCGTTTCATAGGTCCACGTCCCAGCGTACGTGAAAGCTGCTACGAAAACTGCCGCGCAGTGCCCGTTTTCATCGCTCGTGCATCCCCTAATAGTTCACATTAGACAACTTCTAGGCCCGACGAACAAACATAATTTTGTTTCAATCTGTCACGTGCCGTCTAAGCAGTCCACGATATACACCATTTTTGCGGGATATATAAACTTGCACCATATATTTCACGAATGTTTCAAGCGTGGCATTCCTGCTTATGATCAGCAGGCCTCCGTAGAGGAAATCATCAGATATCTGCCTTGTACGTGTAACCATTCATATGGTAAACCATAATTACATTTGGCATCGTATTTAGATTTCGGTGCCCCGGAGACGCCAGACGACACTTTTAGATCCGCACCTGTTCTTGAGTAGGCGCAGCTCCCGCTTGCGCGAGGCCTCTTCGGCGAGCGACTGCTGGCTCTGCAGGCTCGCCGCGGGGGCCATGACCACGCTCTGCGTCAGGCCCTGGTTGGAGCCCCCGCCACCCGTCGTCCGAATCTGGTAGGCCTGCAGGTCTGCCGCAGACACCGTCACTGCAAGACGACGACGTCGCAATCCGTGAAACCCCGGCCCGACGAGGAAAAAACGGCCACGGCGAGGTTCTCCCCGGAAATTTTCCGAGGTGCTGACGTCGGACAATCTCTAGGGTGTATTTCCATATCAGGTATCATTTTAACAGGTCCGAGCCTACCATCGGTGCGCGACCATAGACAAAAAAGCTCCCTATAAACCTGCATTATTGTTTAAAATGTCCATAAGCTTCTGCACTGCCTCGCTGCTTCGATGCAAAGACTGGGGAGGAGGTTTTGTGGATGCCATTTAAAGGAGCTGTGCAACAATTTCAGGGCTTTGCTTAAATAATTGTGGAAGTTGATGCCTGACACTTCTGCAGTGAACTACAGAAAACAGATTTTGCCTGGATACCCTAGTTTTTATTTAAAGAAATGAAAAAGATCCAGGTTTTTGCCGCCTCTCAACTCGTACATCGTCTTCCGGGTCACGTGCGTAGTGACGTCACTTGAGTTGGCGCGGGGTTCCGGAAAAGTTCTCTCTTTAGAGCCATCAGCGAGCAGCGAGAACTCCTCCACTCGCGACCGCGTGACCACGTGCTGGCGGGCGCCTCGCGAAATATACGGTGAAAGGAGGAAAGTCTCATCCGGGTCCGGCCATAGTCGTCCTCGCCCGCCCGGCACTGTCCCCCTCGCCCTCCGGCTTCTGGGTGCTATTCGCGGTTTTGTGGACCTAGGATAGATGGCGCCACTAAAACTCCGTATAATAAAAGTTTTGTCGATGATACCAGGATTTTGACGCATTTATATATATGTTGGAACGACAAGATTTATAGAAAACTTACCTTTTATCGAGCAGGTATTAGCACAACTTGCTATCTTTTTTACAACTACCCAAGTGACGTCACGCCACTTGTTTCTCATGGCCGCCGCTCGTGGCTGCAGGTCGGGGAATAATCGAAGTTTTGCCTCGCTATTACGCGGCGGAATCGCAACATTTCGATGAAAGGAGGTGTGTTTTCTGCCATTTGTGACACAGTGAACAATATCAAAAGCAGAAAATGCCAATTCTTTCAACATTAAAATCGTTGCACAGCTCCTTTAAGGTTGGTAGGGGTTCCGTGAGATGGACCAGAACCCCTCCTTTACTATATAGACCAGCGAGACAAACGCTTTGCTCTGCTGGTCCCCTCCCGCAGAGTGAGTTTCCCAGAACAACCTGCCCACCTGGCACAAAGAACTGCCCATCTTGTCCCTGGGCGTACTGCACGATGGTTCCCGCCGTGGCGGCCGAACCCGCGTTGGTCATGGTCAGGGTCTGCAGCCCCTGCAGGCTGCCTTCTTGCGTCACGGTGGCCAGCTGGATGGCAGACGCCGGGACCACTGCAAGGGACCACCCACGTCGTGAGAAACGGGAGACCACCGAAGGACAGTGCAGATGCAACGAGTGGTCGCAATAAATAGTGTACATTGAGGGAAGTGAAACATTAAGCTGGCTGAAACAAACTAAACTACAGTAGGCTCGCGATAATTCAAACTTGGATATTTCGTGCCTCTGGTTAATTCTTCAAACGAAGTTCAAACTTCTGGTTGTCCCGCTCTGTTTTAATGTATACATAAGCTGCTCAATTTCAAAGTCGTTTTCCTGTAAATCATACTTTTTTGTACTTGCGGCCCCGTTGAGTGCACTTCTTTCCGAGCACCAGTGTGTTGCAGAGAGGCAACCCCCGCGAAGCTTGCTCTCGCAGGTGTAGCTTCTCTGCAGTACACCAGTGCTCGATGAGAAGCGCACTCACGGAGTGAAAGCAGGGCACCATGAGCTATGAGAACTGGCACCACGCAAAAATTTACATAGCAACTTGCGCGGATGCTGACGTGACGGCATGGCATAGGTTCCCATCACAGCGTCCGCGCAAGTTGCTATGAAAAGTGCTGCGTGATGGCCGTTTTTGTCGCTCATATGTCCCAATAGTTCACATTAGACAACTTCTTGGCCTGATGAACAAACTTAATTTTGTTTTAAGTAGTCATGTGCTGCCTAAACAGTCCACGATAAACAATATTTTTGAGGGATAAATAAACTTATCTCATACATTTTAATAATGTTTCTTGTGTGGCATACCTGCTCATGATCAGTAGGCCTATGTTGATGAAATCATCAAATATCTGCTTTGTATAGACCGTTCCACTAGGAAGAGCAGAGATAAAGAAAAGCCCTCTCCCGCTCGCCCCGCTCGTCGTCTGCTCCACCGAGTGGGCTGTACCTAACATCTGGCTGGCGTGCACACTCGGTTTAAAATTGCGTCATTTTGGAAATTTCAAGCGCAGATGCGCCGATTTTGGTATGCAAGTTATCGTGTAACTAACCGGGTCCAATTGCGCTGTTACCTGCGTGCAAATAAAAAAAGAAAAAAAAGGGAAACTGTGTCAGATTGGCTGGACTCTCCGGCAAAAAGTAAATCTGGTTGCTGTACCTTTTTTACTATACAAGGTTCGTACTGTTGTAGGCCTTTAGCGACCATATGTGGAAGTCTGAAATAATAAATAAAAACGTGCTCTCCTGCCGCAATACACGCAGTAGTTAAGGGTAGTACTGCCGGCCGAGTCCACTGTTATTTAAGTAACGGAACAAAGATACGCTAGTTGATCATTTACAGAAATAAAACAACAGAGCGCTATAGGCTGATTTTGGAGTAGCCATAACTATTCCAAGAATGCGAACCACTTCACAACGGCACCCACGAGCGAGAGTTCTATGTTCGGAACAGCCCGCCGGTACAGCCCAAAGATGGAGAATGGCAATCTCCCGGTTTGTCGTCTGCTAGCGGAGTCGGGCGCGTGCCCTCGCTCTCGTTTTACCCCGCCGAACCCGCTGAATTTCCCGGATGTATGGAGAGGGTGCTGTGGTCGAAAAAAATGGCACCGCCTTGACAGCGCTAAATGGAATGATCTATATCGGGGGTGGCCAGGCTGGCCTGGCCTAAGAGCCGCAAACAAAACCATGGAACTTCAAAGAGCCGCGGGGGGGGCAAGCTTAAGTTTTGTTTGAAATCTGACTGTAGGGGCACAAGGCTGTACGCCTGTACGTATGGGAGTACAAAGCTGTCAAACTGCAAGCTGTGTGCTTTATTCTGATATCCTTTCTTTTTTTTTTTCTGGGGAAATGCGGAAAGGGGCAAAAGAAGGGGCGGGGGGGGGGGGGGGGGGGGGGGTGTCCCCTACGAGTGATCAACGAGCCGTGTTTGTACCACCAAAGAGCCGCATGCGGCTCGCGAGCCGCGGTTTGGCTACCCCTGGTCTATATGTAGCCATTCACACAGCAAAATCTTCACTTTTTTTCTCGCATTAAATTTAGATAAATTTTTGATAATTCAAATGAAATTTGTGGCTTCCTGGAGTGTAAATTAATGAAGGTCTATCGTACACATGACAAAATGAGCTTTCAAAGTCTGAGCATTTTACGGATATCTTACTTCGTACTCCTCGTTTTGGCTGTGGATCGACGCAACAAAAGCAGTCTGTGTCGCAGCACTTCAAAAAGGAGGTGAAACCGTTGAAGCCAGTAACTCGGAAATGAAGGGCTTTTTTTTTTTTTTTTTTTTTTGCAACGACTAGCCAGGCATTTCGGCGTGGCCCGCGCCCTGAAAGTTTCTCGGCCGCAGCTGCACCCGAGGTTATTTTTTAGATTAACAACTAATTTAGAAGATCCAAGCTTTCGCTATCCATCGGTGCGCGGCTACGTGCCCCTCTATTTGCACGATTGTTTACAAGGTCTCTAGGATTCTACGCCGCTTTACTGCTGCTTCAACGCCAAGACCCAGAAGGGTTCCTTGGCCATAAGTGTAGAAAGGAAGGCGCCTCTCAAAATCAAGTAATTTTAAAGCGCCCGCTCCAGAAAACCAGAACCACGCCCACTCTACTCCGGTCACTCCTAAGCCGGTGTGACGGGAGCTGCGTGCTCATCCGACCGGACGTATGCTTAAACCTATTGCCGGACAATCTTGCAACGAAGGCCAGGCGGTCTATCGGTCCGGCGAACATGTGGCTCCCGTCGAACCGCCGGCTGAAAGCAGGTACGCATATTTGCGTTTCGCCGTGCACGGTTGCGTCGCGTTTTTTAACAAATGTTCCTGAGGGAATGCACCGGCCCACTGGCACCATCTCTCAGACAACCCTGGAACTGCATATAACTGGACCGAAGGACTTGTAGCATTTGCAAGATCAGAAATAAGCACGATCCGCGAGAAACGATCGCTTATAATATTGTCAGATTTATTTCGAGGCCACTGTCAGGAGATGGTGCTAAAAACTCGAGAAGATAAATACGCGGATCTAAAGTGTACTGGGGCTACCCGACAGACTGTGCCAGGAGAGCTGTCCTGTCACGAGAGGATACGAGGGAGGGCAACGCTCTCGAGCACGCTCGGACGCGAGTGCGTGAACCAGCCTTTAGGGGGTGAACGGAGCATGGCAGCAGCTGGGCAGTACAGTGCCCGCAATGCATCTTCGAGCGTTGTGCTTGGCGTCCTATCCCACCCACGCGTCCAAAGAGGTCCCGACATGGTGACAAACTATGATGCAGAAGCCGGCGTGTCCTTGAGCTAATCGGCCAATCGATCCACGGTTAATGACAGTCGGCCCCATAGTTCGTCAGAAATACATGAAATTGTTCCGCACACTTGCCTCAGTGCATATTTTTTGTCGGAATGTTATTCCCGAACAGCGTGGTTTCGTGAACGGCCGCCCTGCACAAACAAGCCTACGTTCCTTCCCAAGTCAAGTAGCACCACCTGTACATGGCAGAGGACTAGCGGATGTAGTGTGCTTTGATGTGAGCAAAGCTTTTGATGAAGTAAATCATTGACTACCGTTTAGTAAAATTTCTAGTTACAGTCTGTCTACTGAGTACCGTCGCCTGTGCAATAGCTATCTATGTCGTAGAGTGAACTTTGTGTGAGCATCTGGTTGAATATTCACTCTTTTTTTTTTTTATCTACTTCCGGCATTCCCTGAGGCAGTATCCTTTATCCTTTACCGTCTTTCATTTTTGCGAACGATTTCGCTTCTTGTACCAAGCACATGTAGTTGTTATTTGCCAATGATATTAAGTTTTTTACAATGGTCAAAGTGGTTGAAGATTGTAAATGTCTTCGGCATGATATAGGTTCTATTATCGACATGGTGTCTTTCAAATGGCCTATTCTCATATGAGTCAAAGACGGTAGTTAAGTCTTTTTCTAGAAAACATAAAATTCGGAATTTTTCATATGCATTAGATTTAACCGATATTAGCGTTGAGGTCATTGTGATCTGGGAGTTTTTATTAGTATAGCAATTATCTTGGATCATCACGTAAGTACAATTACAAATGCTTCCTTTAGTGTTCTAAGAGTCATTACGCGAATAACACACAGTTTTTCTAAACCATTTGGTTTTTTTTTATGTTTGTTTTCTTTAATGCTGCATAATCATGTCAAATATGCCTCAACTGTATGAAACTGTATTGGAAAGACTATGGTAATTCAAGTATAGAGCATGTTCAATGTAAATTCATTCATGTATTGTTTGATAGTTATTTTAAACCAAATCATTTCTACAGCTACTTAAGGATTTGCGATAGCGTGAAATTCGACACGTTGCAGAACAGCAGAACAATACTTGCATTGATATTTCTGTACAAGATCATATATATATGGCATAATTGTGTCGCCGGCGCCACTAAGTCACATCTACTTGCTTGTTCCTCATAGGTCTAGTAACTTTATTCTTCACTTTATCATTCCTATTTATATCACATAGTACCCATGAGTCATGACATGTCTTCGATCGACGTACAATCAGTTAGAGTAGAGAAGATTTGTGGGAATGTTAGCCCATATACTTTTTGATAAAGAGCGTAAATTTAAAAAGTGTGTTGCTACTATTGCTTTGTTGTAACTTTCCAGTTTTTTATACTGTGCAAGCAATTGTACTACCATTCGACATCGATAAGGTCATCACAGAGGAGGTGTCAAGCTGTTTGCAGAGCGCACAAAATAAATAAAATAATAACAATAACAATTCCATCGCATATCACGACTCTGGCGGTCAGGTTCCGGCAAAAACAGACAAAGAAAGCGAGTGCTGCCGTCGTCGCGGCGTCCCAGCTTCTGGTTGCCTGAGCTTCAGTGGACTGTCGAGTCTACTGTGTGCTTCAGTGGACTCGCAAGTCTACTGCAGTGGACTGTAGAGTCTACTGTGTGTTTTAGTGGACTGCCGAGTCCACTGTGTGCTTTAGTTGACTGTCAAGCCCACTGTGTGCTACAGCGGACTCCGCCAGGTTCGTGGCCAGCGACGGTGTGACACTTGTATGACGTCCTCTGCTAGAAATTGAGGGACCACTTTCGAGGACACCGTAAACGCACCGGTCAGAGACGACGCGTCCCAGGCGCCGTAGCGGCGGCGCCCACCTTTGAGCAGTCCGGCGGCCGTGTGGTACTGAGTGCCGGCCACGGTGATGGTGCCATCCGGGTCGTCCTCCTGCTCTTCCTTGGCCTCTTCCGTCAGCGACGCCACCGCTCCCTGGGCTTCCGTCGACGACAGCTCGTTGAGGATCCTGCGGTACGAGGGCCGCCGCGCCAGGAGCTCCCTCCGTTTCTTGGGTTCGTCTTCTCCCGTCACCATCGCCGCCTGGCCCGTCGCATCCAGCTTTCCCGCCGGAATCAGCTGCGGAGGGCAGACGGCATCAGAGGAGGAGGAAAGGGGGGGGGGGGGAGGGGGGTACGCAGGACGGAGGGACGTTTTCGTCGCAACAAAAGGTTTCCTCCGCCAAAGTAGCTAACACGAAAACAAGCACGAGAGTTTTAGGGAACAGTCTCGAGCTATCCGAGCATCTCTGTCTCGTACAGCAATAAACATTATGTTGCACTAGCCGACCTGCTTTACTACGGCAGGTTGATTGATGGTGATGGAACTGCCTTGTCAGCTAGGCACTCCAATAGCAGCTGCTCCAAAACATGGCCTTTTCAAACCCTTTTGTTTTAAGCTGCTGGCATTTCATAAAGATCAAGTTACATGAGTCAAAGCCTCTCCCCTTCAGACACAAGACACAACAAGCAGTGATAACAACATTGTTTGCCTGGAGGATAAAAAAAACCTCGGGCAGATAACAAGCTTTTTGTTTTTTTACCCTTTCACTTTTTTGCATTTTTTTATGCACACCTTACTCGCCGACAGGATGAAAACGGCAGGGAACATCTTTTCGAATGCCCATCCTTCGGCACAGCATTCTGTCGTGCTTAGCGTGTGCACTGACGCTCAAAGGTAGTGTTGTGCAAATACCCAAAATTTTTAATAGTAGTTTCAAATAACATGCTGTTCGATATTCGCTTCGAGATAAACTGCGACATTAATACTTTTCTAGGCGTTGATGGCGGCGAGTTAGCCCTGTTGAGTGCGCTTCTCGTCGAGCACCCGTGCACTGCGGGGAAGCAATACCTGCGGAGCTCGCGGACTCCGCTTTGTGTTAGGTTGTCATGCCTTGACAACCCGCACTCATCATTCATGCTTGTTTAATTGTTGTATTCTTCTGCCAAATTAGGAATTGAAGAAAGAATATCTGCGTATAGCAAGCAGACATACGAATTCTCTCAATAGACCAATCTCACCAGCCAGTATGACTACGCCACCACTGCCACAATGCATCGAGGGAGCTTTAGTCTTTCTGCACCTGCAACAACCTTGCTGGAGCTCTGCGCGTGTGGAGCATGAGGCGGCACAAGCCGTCTTGTGAACTGCTGCCTGCCTCCTGCGAACTAAAGTTATGGCAGTGTCACGCATGCACCGAACGCTTGGTGAGATCGGTCTATTAGGATAGCTACGACAATTTTGGCATTTATATGCCGGAGCTAAATTAAAATTAACTGAGCTTAGAAGTGGACAAGTGGAAGGTTGGGAACCACCTTCAAGAGTTCAGCTGAATGTTCGTTTAAGCATGGTGCATGGTAGTGAAAGGCTCAAAGAAACTATTAGATTCAAAAATTTCCAGCCAAAACCACCATTCGCTTTGAGCTTAAATTCCACTATGCACACGCGACTACCCGAAACTCACCATACGCAAAGCGTCCTCTACGCCGAGGCGGGACATGTAAAGCTACTCCCTGCCGTTCTCATCCTTTCGGCATCTACAGTCCCGAAACAAAATACATCGATACGAAGAGAAGGGACGCTGCCGTAACGCGACTCATGCGTGACATGCCATGCTGGCGCACCCATTCAAACGGCACCTTTGAGTGACGGCCCCTTCCCTTTCCCCAACCTTCAACACCCAGTGACACTGAAGCAGATGTTGGATCTGCCCACCACACGGTACACTTCCAATACAGCAGCAGCAGAAGCAGCAAAGGTCCAGAAGGGAGCGCACAAGAATTATCGCCTCGAAGAAGCAACGACAAAGGGATGCGAAGCACCATGCCGTTAGTGACCGTCACAATTGGGGGGTTAGTAGGCGTTACGAAGCACCGGAGTGCGGCTGCCAGCACGACTGCAAGCGCCGGACAGACGGGCAAGGCATGCGAGCGAGGCGTGCGAGCAGCCGAGGGCGAGGGGTGGGGAGGGTGTTTACCTGCACGGGATGGACGCCGGCGTCTCCGTCGGCACTGTGGATCACTGAGCCCTTATTTACCAAAATAACATTCTTGCCCAGCTGCAAAAAGCAAACAGACAAGAGGCCCACTTGGAGAAAGGCAGAGCAGCGGCAGCAAGGGCAACCCCGCACCCTCTCCCTCGACGAGATTTTCTGCCCTGCCAAAGGCTCGGCAAACAGGCCTTTACGTATATAAACCCTCAAACCTAAAAGAAACAAGTTCCTCAAAATTTCTCTAGTGGAAAGAATAAAACAGTGAGAAGACGAGACAACAGACTTATATCAAAACGCTTGTTACAGATATTCCTCACAATACACGACGCTTCTTTGTTTCTGCTTCCCACACAGATGACAACCAGAAGTTTTGCTACCTTCTTATACTTTTCATGGAGACACTCCAGAAAAGGAAATAAAAGTGGGACCATAAAACCATGAAAGCTTTCAAAACAGTAATCTAGATGGCATGGGCTACCACCCTTGTTGGAACAAACTCCCATTGCCATTCGTCTCGCCATTTTAACACTGCATGGAACAAGCTTGGCACGACATGCCAGCTCGGCGCAGTCTTGAGAGTCGGTTGAATACCAAGTGGAAAAGAAAACCTCTACTGCTGCCCCCAACTTGAGCCGCGCAAGGCTTAATGGTTGGCCACATGCTATAAGTACTCGAGAATTAATCCACTAAATAGTGCTCCAACTTCAAAGCGATTGGAAACCGATGAACGAGGGTGATTGTACAAAATAGCGCAGGCTGAAACTTCCAAGGCACTTTTGAGCAGAGAGAAAAAACAAAGCATTAGGACAAAGACTGCGGCAGCAGGGCAAGTGCAGACCCGTTAAAACCTACAAGACCAACATAACGAGTCCTCGGGATTGCAGCTGAAAGAGAATGAGAGCCTTTCGACGGCGATTAAGCCAGGGTCTGGCCACCATTCCCCAGAGAGTAACAACCCAGAAGGTGGTAGGGCTACACAGGGGCAAAAGTGCACACTCAACAAAACCGACATAAATCATGCGCAAGGACAAAGAGCACTATGTGTCGGCTCGATGGCTCCTTTTATTGGTACAAAGCTGCTCAGCCATAATGTACCATGCATTCAATCGAAACATTCCTTGTCCTCTTAGGATCAACCCTCGACCATAACCTTCAAAGAAGTACCGACAGACATTTTAACTTGCAGAATTCTTTTGGCGCTCTTGGATGCATCGCGCTTGTTGTAAAGATAAAGTCACTAGTAACACTATACTTGTGCTCAAACTTTTGCTGTAATATCCTGTAATATTTGCTCTAATATTGCATTACACACTCAGCCACTGCAGTGTGTAATTTAAAAAAATAAACCACTCATTGTTGCCTTGAATACATGTGACGCGGGTTTCAAATGGCAGTTTCAGTTATTCACGCAGCGGGGCACTCTGTGCCTGGCCAATGCATTGGATTATCTTTTCCAAAGAGATTCGCCAAGTTTTTATAACATTTCGTAGACTATTATCTAATGCTTATGCTTGCTACAAAGCTGCCTGCCGTCGGTATGTGTACAACCTGCGGAGATGGACTATCGAGATCATTCTTCAATGTTTCAAAATGTGATAAAGAATGTCACTTTTTTTTTCAGGTTCTCAAGGTCGATTTTGGTGACATTTGGTAGCCAGCAAATTTTAAAAAGGCTTGGGGTGTGTGAAAATGAGCTGCGCACAATTAACTTATTTGCCCGTCTGTTCTCCATGACTCGGGCATTCTACCTGCTTTCTTATTCGCTATGTGTCGCGACTGTGCACTATTTTCTTTTTCTGGAAACTGTTGCATTAGGCAACACGGCCGTAAACATTATTAATCCTTTATACATATCAGTTCATGACTGCCCGTGTCGATCTAGGGAAATGACCATATGCCTCGTGTGAAGTTTAGTGAAAAAAGACGAGTATATAGGTTCACGACAATCTAGGCTTTTACTATGGCTAAGAATCCTGTTAAATTGCTTGCTCTTTTTATACTAAAGAAGTGTATCATTCTTTTTATATTGAAGAGGTGTATCCTAAGTGAGTATGAAGTAAAACAGTGACACAGTCGCATGCATTCTCAAATTGAAATGTTAAAGCCACGCAATGGCGGCAGGTGAACTGGCACCCTCTCTGTGTCGGCAACCTTCGTGTCTCTAGAAACCCAGCGTCATACTGAAGAACTTCCTTGTATTCTCGTAACAAACTCACTTGATTATGGCACATGACCTGAGGGTACTACGGACACCGATTTTGCCTGCCAAAACTGTACGCCTAAAAATTTGCATAGTCATGCGCTAGTATGCCCAAAAGGTGCAAAGAATCTTAGGATTTCCCCTAACCCAGTTGAAGAAACCTTCGTCTGAACGATCGCAGTAAGAGCTAGGACAGGCTAGCAAGAACGGACGCGGGGAACTGCGTGGAAAATTGCACGGAAGCATAAATAAAAGCGCTTTTAAGCCGCACCTTTGCCAACTTGCAGGTAAACACCGGGCTTTAACGTCGCCCCAAAGTCTGCATTACCACTCAGAAACAGAACCACGGGTATCTTAAAAGACACCACCGGTTGAGAGACAGGAAATTCGTGGCACGCAAGAAAAGCGACAACACACGAGGTGCCACAGCCGGGCACCCCAAAAAGAGCCATTGCGCCGAACAAGACACACGACACGCCCATACTCCTTAGAAGGCCACCAAGTCAAGATATGGTGCCCGTAATGCGTCCTCGACCGGTGCGTTTGCCGCATCCTAAAAAGTGGTCCCTCGATTTCCGCCCCACGACGTCACAGAAGAGTCACACCATCGCGGCAGCAGTGGTGGAAGCAGCAGACGCCCGTTTTGCCACAGGCCGCTCTCCAGTTCAACAGATGGAGGAAGCTTCGGCTGCCAGGAGGTGGGACGCCGCATTGACAGCAACACTTGCTTTCGCTAATACTGTTTGTTTGACGGAAGCCCTACGACCAACCGTCAGGATCGCGACATCTGGCAGCGTGACGATCCGGCTTTCGCGACATCATTTGCCACCACTCTGGAACCACTTTCGACGCATGGGCAGGATGGGACGCTAAACGCGGCGGTCGAAGACACAGTCTGGGCACCGCGGTCGAGGGGAAAAGACGGAACTGCGGGCCGCTCGGAGCTGCCAGCGAGTGCCTACCGTCTGGAGGGCGGCGCCCCCGGCAGCCTGGATGACCGACTGCTGGTTGGGCTGGATGACCGACTGGACATGCATCTGCTGGTTGGGGATGGACACGTGTACAATGGAGACACCGCCCCCCGGCTGTTGAACTGCCAGCGCCTGCGTTGTGGAGGAGGGAACCACCTGCGATGGACGTGCGCCCGTTAGCCGTTGAGCAATACCGGGCACGAAGTGCGTAAACCATGCGGGGCTAGAACGACGCCTTCCGGATTACGAGGCCGTAGTGCTGGGTTTTCTACGTCTAATACCGGAGGCCGGCACGGGACATAGATCAGACACCTGCAAAGACGCAGGTTACAGCCGAATACTTGCACAGCAGGCAACATAGAAAATCCAAAACTCCAGCCTTGGAGGCATTGGCGCCAGAAGCGCCATGAGGAAGCAACAGCTAGACGAGAAGACACGAGACATCCGAGTGCTGCATTCCTTATCGATCCGGGTGATGAAAAAAGTGTGACGGTTAAGCGGCATTTGCACGAGAATCCCCGGGGAGAAATTCGTGCTGCACGACACGGCAGTGCGACGTCGGCTCTGCAATGGAGGGAGGGATGCTTGGGATTGTTGTTTCTTAAACGCTTTGGCGTTGAGTGTAGAGACCGCCGAATTCGTCTGTGGTTGTGTCAGGAGCGGAAGCCGCTAATCTAGATTGCAAACCATGAAAGTCATACTGCGAACGCTGACATTCATCCCTTCAGTACCTTGTCGGTGTGAACGAAGGAAGTTGAGGAGGGAACTGCACCCGCTGTCGACGTCACGCACATTTCTCCACGGATTTCTCTCTTGTGTGAACACCGCTTTAGGGACTATTCCTACATGAAAAGTCGCATGTGCATAGACGAGTCTCTTTAGGAAGCTTTTTTTTTGTCTATGTCTGCTAACACTGCAGTGTCAAATAAGTCTGCTCTCTGGTGTTGCAAGTACTTTTGTCCAGAATCGGTGTCTCTACGAAGGGCCTCTGTCGGTGGTGGACAAGAGCTGGCCAATTGATGCTGCTGGAGATGGCACTAGCGGTCAGTTCACGAAATGGTTACTTAATGTGAAACAGGCAACTGGTGCCATCTGTGAGCCGCAGCCTGCAGCGGGATGGTCTGCTATGAATAAGGACAGTGACCCAACGGCCCATTCGCACTTGACTGTCTTTCGACATTACGTTGTGACGACCGCAAGTCTCCACAACATCTGTTGGAGATGTTGTCATCTCGTTAGCACTGTTGTCTGTCTTGTCTTTACTTTTTTCTTGTCTTGTTCCACTATTTTAAACATTGTTTTTGTAGGAAAAAAATAAAGGTACTATTATTATTAAACCAATACGCTCATCAACCAACTAGCCCAAACATACCTTTTAGCCAACACTTGTTGTTTCCATGTCACGTGCAAATTAAGCTACTTCTTGATTAGGTTGCCCCGCTTCATACAACGCACGGATCTCCCAGTTACTTGCGGTCCTAACTAAATGCAAGTCTTGTCAACCTAGTTGAATGCAGGCAAATGCTTCTGTGTGAATGGGCCTTCAATCCAATCTTACAAGAAAATGCTTCTAACTTTTTAATCAAGAATTTTCGTATAGAGATTCAACTGTTGGGACTACCTTCTGGTCAGGTTTCAGCACATGAATATGCAAACCACTTATGCTCTGCAAAAGACCCTCAAACATTTTCTCAAGTTGACACTGTACAGTTGACCACAGCACATAGAGGATTAGAGGCACACTAGACATGAGTCAACAGCTTCTAGAACCACTAGAGAAAACAGGCACTTGTTTCGCTTTCACATAAAAATATGCCCAAAGAGGACATCCACCACCAATCCTGGTCCAGAAATGGCCGCACGAAAAACAAAAAATTAGAGAGAACAGTTCACATGGGCGAAACCTTTTAAAAAAAGCAGGACATGCATGCCGACCATCCTCTCCGCATAATCAGTCACTTTAGAGAGTCTAGATTAATCTGTTCTATGAGTTTATTCTTGAATTGACGAGACAATTGCTATTGTGTCGTAGGTTACTTCAAGTTTCTACTTGCACTCATTAGTGCTTTATGACAAGCTTCCTAACATCGCACGACCAACCTGGACAACGCCGCACACAACATTCATGCGCAATCGGTTCCTACACTTTGCCGCGTATAAATCGTGTTTTTAATTACCGCGTTTGTATCGTGCAAAGGCAGCAAGCTTCGAGTACAACACAGAGCAGCAAGCATGCAATTTCAAGATGCAGGAAGAGCCCGAAACCAACGAAAACTCTCGCACCCACACTTGTGACGACCGGTTTGTTTCGAACAAACCTGTCCGCCACCAGCGGTGCCTAGCGCAGACGCCTCATGCATAAGACAAAGGCGGCAATCACCACAAGACCGGCGAGCACCCATTGCACCGATCTTCCTCCAGTGCAGTTGCAAGACCCACGTAGCAGAAACAACCAACCAGCAGCCACGGTCACCTTCAAACGCAACGACCCCGAGCAAACAACCTCCTCCCACGGAGCTCAGATGGCCACCGAAATTTCGCAGAACTTAATGATCCCACCTAAAGTGAGCATCAAATTTTGGCCCCGTTTCCAGTTTGATCTTCCAACACCCGCTGCCGCGACAAAGCCATCATTTTACCGGTACCAAAGTGTGGAGTATTACGTGGTTCAAAGTTAGTGCGCTGCCTGTGAAGCACCTAGAGTCACTCGGCATCTACAGGTTTTCCAGTTTGGCTTGCCCCAATGGGGTCTTCGTCGGACACCTAGTGTAATGTCTCTCGCCCTGTCCGCCGACTTGGCCGGGCGGACCATCACGCAACAATACCGGGTGTGTCAGGTAGCGGCCAGGCTCTTTAAATCGGCCACAAAATTCGGTTTCTTAACCTATCGTGCTAAGATTTTGTGCAGCGCTGCCCACAGGTGGTGCACTTTTCTGTAAAACTTACAAAGAGCAAACTTACCTGAGGAAAAAGTAAAAAAGAAAAAGGCTTAACTCCTACGGAAATGCACCCAAGGTCACCAGTCTTCACACCCTACTGATTGAAAACCGGTGGCTTTGCTGGGTCTCCATAGGAGTTAAGCCTTATTCTTTCTTTACTTTTTCCTCAAGTAAGTACACTCTGCAAATTTTATAGAAAAAATGCACCACCTGTGGGCAACGCTGCACAAAATTGTAGCGCGACAAGGTCGGAAGCCGAATTTCGCGGTCAATTTCAAGAGCCTGGCCATTATTTGAGACACCCAATATTTATCATCAATGCCATTAGTCTGCGCGTGACTTGTTCACTGTCTGCTATCTTGATTGAGAGGTCAGATTAATGAATATAGATAGACCTGAAAGCACGGCCACACCACCACTCCGCACTGCTGAGGGCACCCTTTGGTACTGGTAAGGCCAGAGCCGTTTATACTGAGAGAGTTTGGCCGATGGGCGGAGCTTGTTGGCCGCTAGAACAAGCGGATTTCGCGATAACACAATATGGCGTTACTTCTTTGTCTTGTTCATTCCTGTGAAATCGCGTAGAGTTCCTATGAGTCAGATCCACAATATGGCGGACGGAAGTAGTCATCCCCCGGTTGTCAGACTAAGCTGCTGTGGTTGTCAGACTGTCAAAATCTCCTTAAGAAGGCCAAACTCTCTCAGTATAAACGGCTCTGGGTAAGGCTGGTTCACGCACTTGCGTTGGAGCACGAGTGTGCTGTGCTTGTTTGTAACCACTTAGGGCGATCTCTCGGGCAGACCCGACAGATGGCACCAGATACAAAACTGTGCAGAATTTGTGAGATCAAATCTGCATACTACCTATGAGAAATTTATCCTCATAACATTGTCAGAATCGTTTCAAGCTCACGACGAACGAATACAGCAAAAAGAATTTGGAAATATATATGCAGGTCGGAAGCTTTCCGGATTCACCCGAAATATTGTGCAGCCCTGCCGGCGCACTCTCACCGCAAGCGGTTACAAACGAGCGTGGAGCACTCGATCACACCCGACACAAATTTGTCGACCAGCCTCCGGGACGATGGTTTAATTGTGACGGCACTAAGGTGCGACCCAGAAGGTTGCGCTTCGGTGCAGGGTCGTTGCGTCGGGACAGCCGGAAGCCGGAACCTACCGAGACTCGTGCGGGTCCGGCAACCGGGCTGCCCAAAGGGAATTCGTAGGGTTGGCGTACGGCACCTGGAACGTGTCTCCGATCGGACCGAGACGCGTCCCGAGCATTGCAGTCGGGGTGCGGCAGAGAGAGGCAGGGGCTCCGGCCAACAACTCACGTTGAGCTGCTTGACCTGTGCCGGGGAGGCAAACACGACCGTGCCGTTGGTGCGCCCCTGGGACGAGGAGACCGCCACCACAGTGGAGGGAGCCGGGCTAGAGCGAGAGGGCGCCGCCGTGCTCGTGCCGCCGCCGCCGCCACGGGAGATCGAGGGCGCAGAGGTCACCGTGGCCGAGCCCTCCTCCATCAGGACTTCCATCTACGAGGCCACCAACACGTCACCCCCGGGTGCCTCGACCCCCACCCCCTACGGGCTCGTCCCGACTTCGGCAGGCATCCGGGCGAACGACCGTTAACTGCGCGAGGGACGTGCAAACGAACGCATCCTTTCATGGCCGTCTTCAGGGTGGCGGAGCTTCCCTTCGTGAAATGCAACAAAGTGTTAATACGACCGGAGTCTTCCGATACGCATCTGGTCACGAAAGTTCTCCCTACTAGTACGTTCTTTTGTGAAGTACAATGCCCCTCGTTTGCAATTTGAGGATTCGAACGACAAGAGTCCTTCGAGGCACTTCTGGTCGCAAAACCTCTCCTCGAAGCTACGGAAGCTCTTTGTATGCTACGAAACATGATTTTTTTTGCGGCGTTGGCATCAACGATGGGGCAGAGGGCCGACAATTCAGACCAGCACTTCGGACCAACTCAATTTGAAATCATCCCACTGAAAGCATTCCTCGTTAATGTAAACGTCCGCATTATACCAACTGCTCGAGCTTCTTCCTTCGCAACCATCTCCTAAAAAGACGAGACTGTCGCCATCGTGAACCCCTTTCCTGAAAATTCTGCCGGCGGCCGAGCAAAGTGGAGAGCAATTTAAATGCGCTTTCTATGTTGGCACATGCAGCAACACTCAAACCTCATTCGATTTTGCAGGAGTAGTGTCCAGCGAGGACATACAATAAGTATGCTGCCCCTTCCCCCCCCCCCCTCCTCTCAAGCTCGTGTTGCATCTCTTATGCAGATTCAGAAAATGCCACTAAATCAGGCACCCCGATATGTTTCATACGTCCAAACTTTTCTGCCTTCTACGGCCACAGACAGGAAAAGAATGGTAGGGAGTCTTCTTCAAATGCTCAGTCTCCAGAATGTGCACGTCACCTTCCATCGCGCTTCAAATGTGTGCGTACACTCAAGGCTCACTTCACGCGATGTTCGAATGTTACTCAAGGTATATCGCTAGAGGCGGGACCACCGAAAAACCTCCCTGCTATCTATGCCTTTTGATCCGCATTACCCCCTTGCTAGCTCACCCCCGTCTCTGCAGTATCCCATCAACCGAGTGATGGGTAGCCTGCTGCTAGACCTAGAGTTACACCCAGCAGTCTTGCAACAGGTGCCAGCGGCAGAGCTCCCGATCACGCTACCATGAAAGAGGAGAGTTGTAACAGAACAGGTCTTTATTGCATGGGAGAAAGCTCCTGCGACACCTCCATAGAGATCACAATCTGAAACGGCGCAGGGGACAAACAGAGCAGTCTTCCATGCTTCTCGTCGATGTCGTGAGGTCAGTGGAATGCACCGCATGCGAAGAAGTCCGATGAAGATTGGGTGTTGCGCAAACACATTTACCACTTAGCTTTGAAAAAGCGAGGGAAGGTTGAGCAAAGGAAAAAGCAATGGCCAAGGAAATCTAAATCGAGCGATACATACACACAAAACAAATTAGATATATCTTGATGGGCAATTTTGACGGAAGCAATGAGAAAATATTGACGGGCTATTGTATGCGTTCTGTATAACATTTGAGGTAATTGACCCTCAGCAATTAGTTGAAAGGCGACTCTAGATGAGAGCAGGCAATAATAAGCAAGACGATGAGAAAAAATTAGTTGGGAAAAACGTTGGCTACCTCAATGGCTAGGCGCCAACACGCGTAACTTTACTGAAACGAGAAATCGGAAGAGGCAGCATCAAAAAGCAAGCAAATAAATATGCAAACTACACAAGAAAGGAAAAAAACCAAAAGAAAAAACGGGGAAGCTGCTGCGACCGGAGGAGCTTACGAAACCACATGACGTGAGCTCGTCCAAAGCGCACGCGCCGTGGATGACGTCATCAGATGACGCACGCCGCATTTTAGGAGCGCGCCTACGTCAGCAGCAAAAGACCAGCCCAGCCAGAAGCAAGGGCAAAAACAACACCAACCTCCCCCCCCCCCCCCCCCCAGCTTTTTTTCTTTATTTTTCGCACATGCGCACTGACTGCAGGTGCGCGAAAATTTCCACTGTCTTGTAACTCCTTGAAAAAGAAGGAAAAAAAAAATACTCGTAATAAAAAAAAAAAGAAAAAAAGTCAGAGCTTGAAGAATACATTACGTGGATGCGTGAGCAAGTTTCTGAGCTTCGCCGACATTAAGAACCTTTCTAAATTGATCTAAGAAACAAAGGGGGGAAAAAAAGAGTGCAACCCAAAACAGCAAATGCCACAATCGGCGGCGATTAGCCACGGCGTCGAGCGATCTGCGGTATCTAGCTCAAGGCCACGGAGCTAGCAACAGCGCAGAAAAAGGAACGCGCGGCACCATTCCCCGAGCACGACGAAGAAATCGACGAACACAGGTCACAGCGAATAAACATGGGTCACCGTTAGTTGAAACGCACACTGGAGTGCTGAAACAACCATCGGGGGAGGTCGCATTGGCTCGACGCGAACGGATATCGAACCACAACCGCATCGAACACGCAGTTCTAACAAACAAATCAACGAGCCTGCATGACCGACCTAACAGAACGAAAGGTTTCTTCTAAAAACCCGACTGCGTGAACCCAATGCAAAAAATTAATTTCTTCGCTCAACGGCGAGTCAGCGCAGCGCGGTAGCCACGCCAGCACCATTCGCCGCCTCGCCTCCAAGGCCGCCAACACTCGAGCGCCGTCCATCACTCAAACACAAGCGCTCTAAACATCGAAGCATTCTCTTCCCGACAACCGATGTCAACAAACTGACCGATATAAAACAAAAACGGACCCTACTCGCGACCACAACCTCGACTAGGCCTAACGCACACTTCTAATTTCGGCAAAGGATCGCGGACACTGGCAGTCTGCCATATTTGCGGGGATTTACGGCGAACCGCCTCGTCCCATATCCACACTCCACTTGGTCCTGCGGAAAAAATCACCAGTCCACCGTGGCGATCGCGCGGACCCATCGACCCACGATCAAAAATATGACGCCGCGACATCCCCGAAACACAAGCACGCACGAACTGTTACTGTAGCCGACGCAGGGCACTTACCGGTTACGTATTTCTCGTCACCAAGTTTGCCGCAACCCGAGTGGGTAAATTGGCAGAAACGTAGGAACCACGTCAAAGTACAACGTCGTCGTCACTGAAAGCACGCCCGCATCACCCTCGCCTAAGAGCGCCATATCCTTCCGCGACACGTCACCACCAACGGCCGCCATTGGTCGAGCCAGTTGCGACGCGCACGTGACGAGTAGAAGCGTCACCGCCATTGGATGCGACGCGCTGATTCACAGCCATGACGACACTCGGCAAATTCGCGACAGCAGACGAACGCTTTTTAGAACGCTCAAATAAGATCATCTGCCTCACTTTTGAGTCGATTCGGATCCTGTCGCCCATTAAGTGTCCTGCTTAGAGTATATTAGGCTGGAATTGAGAGGTCAAGGCGCTGGAGAGATATACGACAGGAACTATATTTCTTGTCGGAGAGGAGCGATCGATCGTACTGAGGCAGTGTACATGTCTGGGGGCGGTGTCGGAAATGGGAGCGGGCGCGGACAGCACGGAGCTCGGGCGGTATCCTGTCGAGAACCTTGAGTTTGATTTGCAATAGTAGTAAAAAAAAAAGAGAAACAAATGGAAAACGGCAAAGGGCTCCGAGCTTCGCAACTGAGATGTTCAACGGTGTCTTTCCAAACAATGAGCAGCGAGGAACTGCAATTTTTCGCACATGCAGCAGTCACTCCTTCGTAGCATATGTTGCCCCGTCCGTTGGCCTTTTAACGCGTACACTGTAAACTTTTAAACATGTAGAAACATGGAATATGCATCCAATTTATTGACGTTGCCGGAATAGAATTCCACGTCGATTTATCGAAAGCATTGAAACGCTGGCGTCGGTTTTATTTTTGCAGTACATACATGCGCGAAAAGCGGAGCGCGCGTGTGCGCGCGCTTCGTTCATTGTTCAGCAGAGTTGGAAAGCTGGGAACGCTGCTTTTCCCGGTTCGAGCAGATCAGCCATGTAATAGATTGTGCCAGCCATCCCTGCGAAAAAAAAGAAAAACAATATTGCGGAGATAAAAAGATTTTTGAACTTTATGCTTCTAAGACTTGAAAATAACCACCCTCAAATGTTTTACCTTTTTTTTTTTTTTTTTTCAGTATATTACACGTGCACTTACTCGCCCTGCAATTCAAACATAATTACAAAGCTCCCAGCAAAGGGGATCGTTAGCGATAATCTACAGTCGGGCTCGCTTTTGGATAATTCGGGGCAGTGACTAATCCACTTACACAGTACTCGCGGGAGGTGCAACAGAAACCGCCTCAACTAAACAATAAAAAGGAAAAAAAGTGCAGTCACACAGACGCGTAATGTTTATTTGCATCAACACCAGTTTCCCACAGCCAGAGTATCTTTCGAAGAATCGTGAAGCAAATTTGCAGTTTTGGAAATTGATATTTGGTCACCCCCAGGGAATGGGTTAACTGGGTTCCTAAAAACCCAGCAGCTCCCCAGAGTGGTCTCAGGGGTTCCCCATTTCCTCATCGGTCTCCGCCCCTATGTAAAGTGATATTCCTGTTTAAAGGGGCTGTGCATCGACACTGGGTAGGAGTATTTCTTACTTTACACCAGCTTCCTGGCACTAGTGGGACCCAAGAATACTCGAACGCAACACCACTGACCAAGAAGCGTCTTGTCGCGGCGGAATTCAAAGGATGAAAGCGGAGCTTTTCTTTCAGTCTCTCCTTCCGAAGCCACCTTTTGCTCCTTCGCGAAATTTGATAACGGAGCTGTGGGGACAATGGCAACAGTACGATCCCCGGGAATGCGTCATTGAGCTTTGCGGTGACGATATTCAAATGCTGTTCACACAGTGGACTCGAAGACTGCGTACACATTTGATCTGGGCTCGTGACAATCGATGCCTCGACATGCATTCGGGTAGTGGCCCATGTCCAATCGCTGCAACGACGACAATAACCGAGCCATAACAATGTCTGGAACTCAGCACGCGTCCTGCGCTTTGCCAACCCCAACGCGTGGCTATGATCAACATTGGTGGCATATAATCGGCTCCAGATCACGTGGCCGCTTGTTCTACCGGGAGGCACTCACTTGACCGAATGACGTTTTAGCGAACGCCCACGTTTCATCGAATGACACTTTAGCGAACAGTTGGACACCGCGAAGCAGCTTTTCCGGGTGGGCCAAGTGGGTTCACATTTTTGTAATGAGCCGCCGCAGACTGTCGCCGCGAAGCGGCGAAAGCGCAGCGCGGCAGATGGGTTAACGCGCGCCCCCGTTATTCGCTAAAACATAGATTCGCTCAAATGTCGCTGTTCGCTGAAACGTCATTCGCTCCTGTGATATGGACCCGGCGAAAAATGAATGCGTGTTTCATAGGTCCTTAACATCAGGGATCCGTTTTAAGCGGTATTTGCGCAAAGTACAAAAATTGTTGCATCGCCCCTTTAAGCACTATTTTAGATCCGAGTCTCCCCAACAGACACATAAAACTATAAGCCAAGAGGAGGGCCTGTAGGCTTCTGCGCTGCTCTGCTGAGTCAACCCCGAGATTGGGAAGGGTTCCTTGGATCTCAAATGAGAGGGATGAAGTCCTTCAAGATCCAGAAGTTTGAGACGGGCATCACGGCATTAGAAACCAATCGAACATGCCCAATAAGCATTTAATGTGGGGTGCAAATTTGTCTGCTTCTTGCACAGGGTTTGCTTTGTCAGAATGCCGAGCTCTCACTGGCCGATTGGAAAAAGTAGGTAGACCACGAGGCAGGCACATAGCCAGGATTTTGTTTCAGGAAGGGGGGGGGGAAGGGCCGCCCATGAGAAAATGCTGTATGAGGGGGAGGGGGGAGAGGAGGTCCCAGCAAAACGGACAATTTCGGGCCTCAAAAGATATTGGGCAGACCTCAATGCTAGGTCCTCGAGGCAGGCACGTAGCCCCCCCCTGGCTACGTGCCTGCTTCGAGGACCTAGCATTGAGGTCTGCCCACTATCCTTTCAATCAAAGCCAATCGGAACTCGGTGTCTTTCTCACTTCACCGCAACTCCTGCGCAAGGAGCAGACGACCTGCTCTCCGCATACGAGTCGGATGATGCTGTCTAACCATGAAGAGGGGGTGTATGAACTACCATGGCTGCAGGGTACGGCGATATACCTCCCACAAAAATCTCAGAAGGCCGCGCGCGAAGTCCTTGCACCAGCAGCATCTACGATCTACATGTGAAACTGAAAAGAGTGAGAGGATAGTGCAGTCGCTCGCCTCCCAGTTCGCCTCTGTCACCTGCTATGACAAGTACTCATTTCGACGCCGCAAACGGTGTTGAATGCTTTGCAAAAGGCCTACCAAAGTCGATAAACCGGCGTTCGCACCAGAGTGGCCAAAATGGGGGGCCCCCGGTGCATCGAGCTGTTAATTCCCTATTGTCGCAGTGTGGCAGTAGGTTCTTTGGCCTAGCATACTGGAGGCACCCCATGCAGCATTTTACCCTTTTTGGCTGGCACTTGGCTGCCTCAGTTCACATTGCCGCCAACTTCACTGTCGCGAGCATTTGGAAGACGAAATTTTGGACGTGCACCATTTGGTTGCAGCAATATTTTTGTAACCGGTTTCGCCGCTTTTCACGTCTACGGCATTGTGTTTTTAACCCCTACACGCCCTTGTCTCTCGTCGAGAGGTTTAGTCCATGTTTTGTGAGCTTTGATGAGGGAGTGCCCATTGGTGTGGAAAGGCGGAATGTGTAGTCGGAAAAGAAAACAAAGCCTAGCCTCAGAAACCAGCAGACGTGAACAAAGATCAGTGCCTGTTCCATGCCTCACGAATGAGAAGATATACCGATTTTGTAAGCTTCAATGAGGGTGTGCCCGTTCGTGGAAAGGCGGAATGTGTAGTCAGAAAAGAAAACAAAGCCTAGCATCAGAAACCAGTAGATGTGAACAAAGACCAGTGCCTGTTCCATGCCTTACGAATGAAAAAAGTTTATTCCGAGCATCGGTTAATCATAGTGAAAGAAATCGCTTGGTGGACCCTCTAAAATAGAACTCCAGTATTTTGTCCAGTTTTAAAACTCGCTCGAAAAACAAAGCTGTGGGTCGCATGCACCAATCTCTTGCCTCTATAAATTCACATGACTCTCCAGGCAAAAATCTATGCTTAATAGGGACACTGAACTTCTAAGCAGATGGTCTTTAAGTGCCTCGATCGAACATGTATGTGGTGGCTTACGCTGCCACAAGATACCTTGAATAAATGTGACTCAATACGAAAACCATCCATGTCCCCGTACGTCGCACCCTCCTGCTTCGTTGCATGTCACTGTGCCGTGCCCATGTCAGTCGTTCTCCCCGACTTCACCAACTTTCTGACAACTTCCCTGACAATTCCTGGACTTTTCTAGCTGATTCCCTGACAATTCCAGGTTTTTCTGGTAAGTAGACACCCTGTTAAAGGGTAGAGCAAAGAGAGTACCTATGCAGATGCAAATTTCAAAGCATTAAAAGGTACCGTAAAATACCGGGCAAGTGCCCACTCAAACTTCAGAGATAATCACAAAAAATGGGGGATGGGCGCTTGTCCGGTCATCAATTTTACATGTAAATGTACTGTGTGTATCTTCTCAGATCTTACAAATTTGGGGATGGGCGCTTAAAGTGGAATGGGCGGATGCGGGGCATTTTACGGTAAGACCTGGAAGGTGTGTGTCATATTGTATCGTTCCATCCTTCCTTTCAACTCGGCAGAGGACACATCCAAACAGAGCCACTGACGTAGGTGACACCAGGCTGAGCTTACCTTCGAAAAGAGAGAACGGACGATCGGCGATGCGACAGTTGTGGTGTCCATAATCGAAGCACCACTCAGCAAACTGCACCAGACATTAAAGAAATACATACAATATTGTCACTTTAAACACAGCAAAACGGTTTCAATTTTGCAGGCAAGAGGAGACAAAACGCAAGGATGGACAATATTGAACATCAAGACTAATTTCCTTTCACACTAAGCTCAGTTCTTTACTAGAATGGTGAGTAATTACTCGAGGTGCCAAAGCCAAAAATGCCTGCAGAGTTCATTTTCATCCTCAAAGAATCCACATTCAATTTCCATTTGCACTCTTTTTTTTTTTTTTCTAAGCAAAATATGTTTTACTCATTGCAATATCCTATTCCTATTGCACCGTAGCGGGCAGAGAACAGTTTTAAAAGGTTGCAGCATTTGCACCAAACACTCTTGTTCACTAATCCAGCTCACGCTCTCTCAATTTTCCTATTCAGCTCAGAGTGCCACAGTGAATAGTGTGGACATGTGCTTTTGTTTTGCTTCCTATGAGCCCTGTGCTGATTCTCTCCCGCTAACACAGTAAGTGATAGCAAGGAATCCCCACCGCCGATACAAAGCACAAATTATATTTTGAGTGCTATCTAACATTTGGCAACTGCTTCCACCGCACGAGCTAAAAAAAAAGTTTGGAACATAGAAAAAAAAATTTTTTTTTTTCTACTTGGTTATGACAGACGTTTTCAAAATACATGTTGGTCGAAAAAAATATATATATTTTTTTCCTGCCTAATATCTATGCTAAAATAAGTTTTTTTTTTTTTTTTTTTTCGATTTGCAGGCAAATTTTAAATTGTAGCCCTGTGGAATGATGATGGCAGTATCTGTACCCAACTAGTGTGCATTCTAAGGCCTGTTCACACACTTGCATTTCACTCCAACCGACTGAGACAAGATCGGCTTTTAAGCCTCTTAGGACGGCTGACGACCGGATGCGCAGCAACGCAGCCGGTCGTACTCAATCAGTCGGAGTCAAATGCAAGTGTGTGAACGGGCCTTAAAGCGCTGTTCACACACTTGCAACCGAGTAAGACCAAGAGAACGAGACTGGTTATTAAGCTTTTTGCGACGGCGGAGGGTTGGATGTGCTGCTGTGGAGCAGGTCCTATGGCTTCGTAAGAGGCTTAAAAACCGGTCTTGTCTATCTCGGTCGTACTCGGTTGCACGTGTGTGAACGGGCCTTAGGTCCAGGGAATTGGGAGCACACACTAGTTGGGTACAAATGCTATCATCATCATCCCACAGGGGTACAATTTCAGTTTTGCGCGCAAATCGAAAAATTTGTATTGTGGGCAAAAAGTTTTTTACAACAAACATTCATCCTGAGATTTGCCTGTCTTAACCAGTTAGAAAAAAAAAATTTTCCCAAGGTTTAGTGTTTTTTTAAAGGGTATTCACCTGCTCATCACTCAATGAGCAAATGTCGCTATGCAAACTTGAGTTTCAGGAATGCACGAGAATATTGAGTCTAGGTTCATTATGAAGATGTGATAAAGGTTGTACACTCCTTAAACTTTTCCTTGACTGCGCTAACAATTTTTAATAAAACTTCAAGATTGGAAATTAAAATTACTTATAAGACAAGCATGACAAAATGATTGGCTGTACATACTAGAGGTGTCTCCTATCCCAATTTTAAGACCATGACGATGTGACTAAATGTTACGGCATTTGCGCGTTTGTGTAAATAAACTTGACAGGACAGTTTCCACTAGTGTTATTTTCAATAGGTTCAATGAGATGGCGACACCAGCACCAAACGCCCCAAGCAAGAGAATTTGCCGTTGTTGTTTTCTCGAGCTTGCACAGACGGCAGCTCGCAGCATACGTCGTTTGCCCGACGTCACTGAGATCGGTTTTGCCGGAGAATGGTCTGTGTGCGATTTCTGTTGGCAGCGCTGCACGAAGGCAAAGGATGTATGACGTAGTGATGCCATAGCAATGTGCGATGTCTCAACGCCGCAATGTCTCTATTCAGCGATCAGAACATGCCATGTGACCTTGTGCTCCAGAAGCCCCAAAATCAAACCGAAAGGTCACATGCTCTCAGTAAAGCCCCCTGATGTGCTCGAGTTTATTTCGCAAGCATGTAGCATCAAATGCGCCAATGCACAATGCTCATGCCTTGTGCGGCCCTTGGAAGCAAATGGTGGTGCAGCATTTGCTCGTGGCCTGTGTCTCAAATGTTCACACAACAGTGGTTGTCGGTACTAAAACAACACCAAGAATTAATTTTATTCGGGTAATTTAACTCCGAGAACAGGTTTGGCTTCCCCAGGCTTGTATCACCCGCTTGACATCGTGGCCGTTTTTTGGAACATCTTGTGTTTTCAAAAAGCATTGCATATCTCAGCAGCATGAAAGCTCAGTCTATAGAGGGCATTCACTGGATGCCATATTTCAATGCACTGTTAAAGGGGCACTGAAGTCATTTTTGAAAAAGGTCACTTTTGATCTTAAATTGTTTAAAATGTGTTAGTTCTCACATTTACTAAGTCCTATATTACAAAACTGCCTATTCATCTCAGGGCAAGAGAAAAACATGTGGACAATTTTTTAAAATGCACTTGCATTATATAAGCACAGACGCTGATAATGGCACCGGCCAGAAGCCCTCTTTTGGAGAGGTCTATACTTTGTTTCATCAATTATCTGTGCTGAAACACAGTGCTGTTTTTAGCATTTGTTTCATTAACCAAAAAGAGCGATCCCGTGAGAACCGTGAAAGTCTACAGCGTCGCAAATCTAAAAAATACAAGGAGACACAAGTTCGGCCAAGTTGACACTATATATGGCTTGCAAGTAATGTCACTGCATCATGCTGGTGTTCATTCCAACTTGTTCTTGACATAAAAGAAATTCAGTGGTATAAACTGTACGCTTCAAAAGGTATGTGCTCAGCAGCAAGGCCACCAGAGTCTCAATGGCGCCTGGTGTGACATCGGTGCAGGCAACAAAAAAACTGCGCTAGTGTCTTCAACTGCACTCGCACTTATGATAAAATAGAGCTGTGGTAGGGTACAGTCTATGCGCTCGGGCCTAGAGATGCAATAGTCCGTGAAATTTACAAACACATAAAAGATGAGCCAGTGAATAGCCGAGATGTGTCAAGCGGACTCTGCAAGCCATCAGAGTCACTCCAGCACTGAGAGCACGTGCCTTTTTGGTTTGGACTTGCGATTCGCAGAGCTCGAGGTCAGTACTGAACTGAGTGGGACAAAGTAACTCTGGGATAGCTCGCTGCACCAGCCTCGGTCACCGCTTCAAAGTGAAAGGAAGGCGTGCAGTAGCGAGGTAGCGAACATGGCCATGGCATCACTAAGTCGTACATACAGCCTTTCAGATTGCTCGAACCCGATCCCTGGGTGGCAAAGAATTCTCAGTTTTCCTGCAAACCAACTTCGGCAGCGCAAAGTGTCAAGCGAACAACACATAAGGCGTACCATTTCCTTGGAGTTACTTCCCGTGGCTTTGAGGCCAAAGCTATATACCAGAGACCAGGCACCTGCGCAGCTCGAGTGCCGCTCAAAGCTGTACACACGTGCTCTTCATTTCTTCTGAAATGCCGCAGAAAGTTGTCCCCAAGTATAAATCATTTCAGAAAAGGGTTGCTGGCCGGTGCCACTTTTAGCGTCTGTGTGTATAAGGTGCATGTTCTGCTTGTGCCATTTGTTACCATTCGAATGCTCGCTCTAGTTGAGCATGAACAACAAATGTGTGAAAGAAAACAAATACAAAAAGCCAAAAAGAGAGCATTATTAGCGTTTTGATTAAATGCCAAAGGTGCATACTTCATTTCCTTTTCGTTTATTTTTATTTTTTATACTATATTAGCACGCATGGGCAGATCTGACAGCTTATACACCATTCCAATGTTTACAAAATCACAGCCCAGCACACGCTTGTTCGTTTATTCAGAAAGTGAGCAAACACCCACCATACACACGAGTACTGAATATTGTACAAATAAATTACAGGCGAATCCCCTTTAACAAGCAGGTCCAGCACCACCCAAGGCCTCCACTAAGCTGCGAGTTACAGTAAAAGTTACAGTGAAATGAGATACAGTGCAATGAGTTAGTGAAAACGAGTTGCAGTAAAATGAGATACGGTTGCACGCTTTAAAGGGGTCATGAAACGCTTTTCCAACTTTTCCTGTTTAGCTTTCCTCCTCAACTCATAAATCGCGCATTCCACCAAACAGTTCAAGAAGACGAAAAGAGGAGAGTCCCCTCTTGCTCGGAATCTACCCGGACAGAGCCATTGTCCCCCTAGAAGATTAGCCCGTCGCTCAAAATTCAGACAAAATTTGCTTTCCCCAACCCGTTCACCCCGAAGCTGACAGTGCTGTGGAAGCTATGTGTTAGTTGGGCCAGCCACACTTGTCACGTGATCACGCTCCTTCATGCATACCCACGCGCAGAGAATGAGCTAGGTCAGGTGATAAAAGGGAGGCGGCTGATTGGTCCGGCAAGCGCATAGTTTCCACCACAATGTCAGCTTAGGGGTGAAGGGAACAAGGGAGGTCCGGTTTCGTGTGACGTGCGTTTGGACCCGATGACGCGCTTTTGGGACCGCGGATGTATCACAGTGAAAAGGCAGAGAGCTTACGAAGGGGAGGAGGTACGAAATAGTCTGCTGTGTTTTCAAATTTTCGCACTGAAAGTCAGGCTTTTGACTTTCTACCTTTTTTTCTTTTGGCCCACTGAACGATGTGTAAAATCCCAATCTAAAATGATTTTTCTCGACCCAAAATCCGTTTCATGGGCCCTTTAACATAGCCCATGTGGCTGCTAAATCTCATGGTCAACAATGCTCTTGCCTACCAGAGTTACATCCTTACTCCATAATTAAACCTGACTGTGGCTCATGAAAGCACTTTGCACTGATAATTTGAGTGGTATTGCTTATAAATTAAAGGTTTATATTAGATGCACATGCAAAAAATAATAAAATTAAGTGCTCGTCTTTTCGCCGAGCACGAAGGCTGATCACGGCATCACAGATGACCAAGTTTCCTTATTTGGTCCAGGAGTGCTGCAACCCTTGCCAGCAAAATACCTACAGCCATCTCATGAGGGCACCTGAAACTGTTGTCTTTGTCCAGTCTGTTCTAACCAATCATTCTACCGTCACGCAAAGTACACGCCCATTTCCGTTGTACTTCTTTACACGTGTCATGTCGAGGCCTGAAGCTTTCGTACTAGGCAGTGGTTGGTGTAAAACCTACCGACAAAACTATGTTGTGCTGAGTCTTGTCATTGTTTTCCTAATTCCTGTAACCCTTCATTTTGTATTTCTGCCCTGTGGTCCTTCTGATAGCTGCCTCCATGTCTTAGGTGCCCCTCCCTTTCGAGCAAATTGACAGTTATATTGAATGATAATCGAGAATGGCATCCCTCTAAAAAGTGATTCGACTCCATACTTGCAAACAGAGCCTGTCAAGCTCAACCAGTAGAATATTCAGGGCTAAAAGTTACACTATACGTCGACGCAGCTAACTGCAAGTGTTAAAAAAAAAAAAAAGCAGGAATGAAAAAGCAAACATTTTCTACACGTAGCAACACCAGCTGCAATGCAAGAAAGAAGCAATTGAGGAGCCAGACAATGCCCAAGTAGTAGCACAGAAACAGCTGTTACACGAGAGCTGCACTCGTTTATTTTGCCTCGCCTAAAAGCTTCTCAGCTAAACGCTTGTGCCCTTTTCACGACTACTCACTGCACTTCGTTTGAAGTTATTCTAGCTTTCAGAATGGATACATTCTAGATTTCAGAATGGATACATTCTAGCTTTCAAAATGGATACATTCTAGCTTTCAGAATGGATACATTCTAGCGTTCAGAACAGACACAGTCAAGGTCCCTGTAGACGAATGCAACCACAATTTGGTGCGGGGTACGCTGGTAGGACACCGACAACGTCCAGTGACAGTAAGTGAAACCCCAAGCATTTTGTCACTCCGTGAACAACATCCAACAAGGGTTTCCCCAGGAATGGATTTTAGGGGGGATGTCTACATTTTTTGTTTGGGGGGGGGGGGGGGGGGGGGGGCATTGAGAATAGAGGAGTTGTTGCGAATTAAGGAGGTGTCTTCAGAAAAACAAAGGAAGCTCAGCCACCTCGTTACCTAAAATTATTGTTGCTGGCAATCCAAAGCTGTATCCAAAATCACAGGAAATGCATTTCCGTCCTCAAAAAATTATTAAAAAAAACGAAAAAAAAAAAAAAAAAAAAAAAAACAGTCTGCGGTTGTTTTCATGCTTCCATCATGTATCCTGGGAGTCAAATAAATTGAGTTGGATCGATACCCCGAAGCAGAGCTAATTGAGTGACTCTAGGTAACACCACCTAGAACACACAAGGCTTGCAAACATCCTTCTCTTCCTCCACGGAACGCCATCACAGTCAGATGGCGACAACTCGGCAACTTGACGCGTCGACTGGACACGAGGCTTGGCCAAACTAGAGTCACTAAATAAGCTACGCTTTCAAAGTACCGCATTCCCTTTCTTTGGCAATTTGCCGACAATACAGTCGCTCTATCCAACAATATTTTGGTTCGCTGCGGCGTCATTGGACAGTGGCAGTCACGTGAGTCACTATCATCATCATCGCATTTTCTCAATGTCACCATCTTTGGTCGCAAGAGGTCCTCTGCCTGCTACTGTTTACTGTTCACTGCACGTGCACGCTGAAGTCCGTCGCTCAGCACGCGCGTTTTCCATGTTGTGTCGAGATACGAACAACATGACCTTGATTCGCTGCCTGCGGCAGCTGGCGCAGGCGACGGCTACAGCTCGGCTTGGCTCGGCTAGAGTCACTCCTCCATCTGTGCGTGGACCCAAGATGGCGGTGCCTGATGCGCTTCAGACGCATAGTTTTGGAGTTTCGGTACTCTGAAAGCATAGCTTTATTTAGCGACTCTATGCCAAACGCCGATGCATCACTCGCGTCCAATCCGCGTCTGCGCTCAATCTTGCCATGATGATGTCACAATTCTGGCGAGCAGGCTTTGATCGTTCTAGGTGGGGTTGCTCCAGATATGCCCACCTTGGCAGCCCTGTGGAGGTACTTGAGCTCCCTGGTAAGTTGGTACATGCGCAGAAACGCGTAGGCGTTCCCGGCCACCCCGTGGCAGATGCCGTAGCCCTTCTTGAGCAGGCCCCGCCTCCAGATGACGTCGACGCTCTTCCGCAAGGGATCCAGGTACCGGGCATCGTCGAACACCTGTCGCCACAATTGACACCACAACGAAGCAGCTCGTCACAGGAAGGCGGTGCCAAGGTCGTGACGGCGTGCCGGCACGGCACAAAACGCGGCGTGCAGATGTGTCACGTCGTCGCCGGCTCAGATCCCGGCGGTGTCGTGGCAGCGGTGGTCTGGATACGTTGTGGCAGATGACAATCCACCACAAGTGGCCCTTTGGCTCGACAGTGCACGGAAGCTTCAGCAGCCGGTGGTTGGGAAGCCGCGATGACGGCCACGCTTGCGTTCGGTCATACCTTTTGTCGGGACTTCTACCGCCAACCGCCGAAACCGCAACATCCGACGGCACGACGCTCTAGCTCTTACGATGTTACTCATTGCCATTTCTGGACCACTTTTTCTGACCACTTTCTAGAACTCCATTTCTGGACCATGAGGTGCCAAACACACCGGTCCAAGACGCGTTTTAGGCGCCGTACGACTATCAAAGTCGCTTCCCGAATGCAGTCTCATAGCTTTCGGGACTGATTTGCGCGCTTGCGATTGAGCGTGATTGAGTGCGCTGTGCTCGCCTGCTACCACTTTCGATAGAAGGATGCGGTGGCACGCTGGCACAGTCTGCCAAAAAGATTGGAATGCTTCATACTCTGCGTACAAGGTTTAGCGGCGTTTGCGAGATTGAGTCTACGTGCCATCTAGAGAAATGATCGCCTATAACGATATTGGATTTCTTTCGAGCCCACAAATAAAAAATGATGCATGAAAGAAATTGATACAGGCTCCACGATGTCGACAAAGACAAGGGAACACAGAACGCGTCCCGCACAGGCCACATTCCGTGCATCGTTTGGGCTATATTTTTTATTCTTTGTTTTATCCACTGCTTTTCTCTCTTCAACTCTTACAGTGGTGGTCCAGCCATTTTAGGTTTTGGAACGATTTTTGGAACAAGAAAAATCCGATTTTGGAGCAATTTGTATCACATAAATTACCCTTTTTCAGCAGGGAAAACTTCGTTTTGGAGCACCATGGTATCACGAAAACTAAACATCTTGGAGAAGCACGAACAAATAGCAGTTCTGTGTTGTTTTTCATTGGTGGTACCAATGCCTATTCATTAAATCAAATCCTGCAGCACATTAAAAACCGCAGGTTAGCAGTAGTACTGCCCTTGCAAAGTGGGGCTGCACAGCTTTCAAACAAGTCCACAACATAATATATTACCACAAACCTCTTAAATACAAAATAGCGTTTTGTTTGTTGCTATTTATTCTAGCAGAGGCCCTCAATAAGCGTTTTACAGGACTGTGGTGGAAAGAAGTTATTAGGCTTTACACAATCATTATATATATATAGTGAACGAAGAGGGAAGAGTGATTATTGAATTTATTGCATTAAAGTTAGGAAAAGGGAAAGATCTGGCAAAAAATTGGGCCAGGGGCGGCACCAGCTCTTTCTCTCTCTCCTTAACTTTAAAACAATAAATTCAATAATTACTCTCACCCCTATCCATTCACAATATTACATCTGCCCTTGTCAATCTTACCTCACCCCCATATCTCTCTCTCTCTCTCTCTCTCTCTGTGTGTGTGTGTGTGTGTGTGTGTGTGTGTGTGTGTGTGTGTGTGTGTGTGTGTGTGTGTGTGTGTGTGTGTGTGTGTGTGTGTGTGTGTGTGTGTGTGTGTGTGTGTGTGTGTGTGTGTGTGTGTGTGTGTGTGTGTGTGTGTGTGTGTGTGCGCGTGCGTGTGTGCGCGTGCGTGTGTGCGCGTGCGCGCGTGCGCGTGCGTGTGTGCGCGTGCGCGCGTGCGCGTGTGCGCATGCGCGCGTGCGCGCGTGCTTGCGTGCGTGCGTGTGTGTGTGTATATATATATATATATATCAGGGTGTCGAACCGAACCAAAAACCGGAACCGAACCGGTATTTTTTTTGGAACTGAACCCGAACCGTTATATTGTTATCAAGATGAACCCGAACCGGAACTGAACCGGAAAAAAAATAACGGTTACCGGCTCATGTCAAAACGGTTCGGCCACGCGCTGTTGACAATGAATGTGCTATCAATGCCATTTGTTTTTTAAGTGCCGTCAACTGACACACACCTCACTTACATATTTTTCTTCTCCACTCAGTCTTAGGGTCCGTTCACACTCTTGCAACCGAGTATGACCGAGAGAGACCAGACCAGTTTTTAAGCCTCCTGCGATCTCTTAGGACCAGCTCCGCTGCATCGCATCCGGTTCTAAGAGATCGCAAGAGGGTTAAAAACCGGTCTGGTCTCTCTCAGTCGTACTCGGTTGCAAGAGTGTGAACGAGCCTTTAGGAATATAAACGCTGCATCCATGAATCTTGACATAGGAACCAGTATTGCGCTGGTCGTGGCTTGCACGGAAGAAAGAGAATTGGAAGGCTGTGCAAAAAAAAAAAAATCGCGTCACGGGATTTTATTTTCCTACAATCTCGTAAATCCTAAATGCTGCTGTGTGCTCATTTCATAACACGTTTCCAGAACGCGCGAGTTCTTGAAGCTTGCTTCCATCGGAATGAGAAAAGAAAAGGCTGTGGAGTTCGATAATAATGCATCCGGTTTCATATAGGCACTTAGAGGCTAACATATTTGTGAGACAGCGAACTCTTCTATTTTAATATTTATCCTATTACGTCCTTCTGGCGTTGCGTTCGGTGAAGTGTTTTTCATATTCCGTATCTTGTTTAATGAAAACTTCTTTAAGGGTCTAATTTGAGTTACAGAAGGCTAGTTCAAATAAAGAAAGCTGTATTTTCTCCCCACTGTTCCTTCAATTGCTTACACGCCGAGGTGGCGGGATAGTTAGCGAGTTCTACTTGTAAGTGGGTTTGTAAGGAGGTCGCGGATTTTACAGCTACTGCGTCGGACCCAATTAGATGAAGTTCGAATACGTAAACGTCGGTGAGGTAACCTTTGAGTGCACATAAAGAAACCATTCCTGGTAGAAATCCCTGAGCCTTACACTACGATGTATCCCGTTTCGTATGTGCAGATTTCAGATGTTTTATTTGTAATTTATTTTGATGTTGCAATTTGTCATTTATAATTTCCGAACCGGTTCGCGAACCGGTTCAGCGCCCCGAGCCGGTTCGCAAACCGGTTCGCGGATCGAATTAATCGAACCGGAACTGAACCGGAACAAAATTAATTTACCTGAACCTGAACCGTAACCGAACCCGTATTTTTTTCGGTTCGACACACTGATATATATATATATATATATATGCGCGCGTGCATGTGTTTTTGTGTGTGTGTGTGTGTCACAAAAATCTGGATTTCATTCAGTAATCTATAAAGAAAATAACTAACCTAAAGACACCCATTTTATTTATGATAGAACATTCCCAGTCGAAAATGCCACTGCCACCAAGTTGCCAGTCAAAAATGCGATTCTTCAAAAGAAAAGGATTCGTTCATGGATTGATTAGCTCTTTCTGGCGCAGTTTGGCACTGTTTGGTGCAATTTGTGTCTTTAGGTGCAGCAAGGCGCAGGCAAAGAGGAATCTATCAAAATGGTGCAATTGGCGCAACTGGATTACCCCTTCTCTTAGTTTTATTGCCTTATCTTTTGTGTCAATCTTTTTTATGGATTTTTATTTATTATTTGCATCTAAAACCTGCCACTCTGGCCGGTACATTCGCATTCAAATAAAAATTTGTTTATCACTGCAGAGCAGCTGCACTGATGGTTCGGCGGCTACGATATCCATACCTCGGCAAACCTCACTCATGAGGGCCCTCACTCACCCTCACTCACCCTCATCTTCACAGATGAGGTGAGGGTGAGTGAGTTTCTGAACCAGGAAAATTCATGAGTGTGAGGGTGAGTGAGGGCCGTGAGGGCTGTGAGGGCCGTGAGGGCCGTGAGGGCCGTGAGGGCTGTAAGCGCGGTGAGGGCCGTGAGGGCGGTGAGGGCCGTGAGGGCCATGAGGGCTGTGAGGGCGGTGAGGGCCGTGAGGGCAGTGAGGGCCGTGAGGGCGGTGAGGGCGGTGAGGGCCGTGAAGGCCGTGAGGGCCATGAGGGCCATGAGGGCGGTGAGGGCGGTAAGGGGTATGAGGGCCATGAGTGCGTGAGGGGCGTGAGGGCGGTGAGTGGCGTGAGGGCCATGAATGCGTGAGTGGTGTGAGGGCGGTGAGTGCGTGAGGGGTGTGAGGGCCATGAGTGGCGTGAGGGCAGTGAGTGGCATGAGAGGCGTGAGGGCCGTGAGGGCGGTGAGTGCATGAGGTGGTGTGAGGGCCGTGAGGGCGGTGAGTGCGTGAGGCCCCCTTCAGATCGAGCATCTTTCTCAGCAATTTTGGTGTTAATGGCGGGTTGTTCTCTAGCTTTCCCTAGATCGACACGAATTGCTGAGATTGGGTCCGGCTCGAAATAAGCAAGCAACTCGGAGCAATTCGAATACGTTTGAAGCGGCTGCATCTAATCAGGGACGCAAAATTTTCACGTGATACCTCGTGCCGGTGATGATGACACCGAAAGACTTGGTTCTCGTTTGAAATCGATCGTTTTTTAGAAATAAACTGTTTCAGAAAGGTGCATTAGTATTTCTAACGGGATTTAAATGCATAAAAACACGTTCATAACTCGTAATTGTGTCTAAATAGTGCAAGAAAAATAAAATTTTTTGATGACGATGGCAAATTGCATCAATTGGTTGCTGCGTGTGATCGCGGGCGGCGCGTGTCGCTGGTGTTGCGACGTAAAGTTTCTGGCCGAAATTGCCCCATCTGAAGCTGGCCTGAGTGGCGTGAGGGCCATGAGTGCGTGAGTGGCGTGAGGGCGGTGAGTGGCGTGAGGGCCGTGAGGGCGGTAACGGCTGTGAGGACGGTGAGGGCCGTGAGGGCGGTGAGTGGCGTGAGGGCGGTGAGTGGCGTGAGGGCCATGAGTGAGTGAGGGGCGTGAGGGCCGTGAGGGCGGTGAGGGGCGTGAGGGCCGTGAGGGGCGTGAGGGCGGTGAGTGCGTGAGGGCCGTGAGGTTCAGTGAGGGTGAGTGAAGGGCTGAAGGTGAGTGTGACTGTGAGGGTGAGGGTGAGTGAGGGGCTGAAGGTGAGTGTAGCTGTGAGGGTGAGGGTGAGTGGGGGGCTTAGGTGAGTGTGGCTGTGAGGGTGAGGGTGAGTGAGGGCGACCTAAAATGCCGACCTCTGACGATATCTGACCGACGCTCGTTATGACGCTTGTTCATGGCAATCTTTTTGTGGGACACGCCCCATAAAACACAATCTGCTCTAATTGGGAAATACATATGCAGATCAAAATTTAGTGCTCTCGAACTACCCGACCAATGGTGCCGGCGAGTTTTCTTGCTGTTAGCAGTCGCAAGCGAGCACAATAACACACTCGGTCACACCGCAAACGGAAATGTGTGAAAGCGTGCCAAACTGGCAGGGGTCGAGGAGGCGGTAAAACCATCGACTGCTGCGTCCGTTACTTTCTGTCTGCACCCAACGTTGTGCAGCACCGAAGACACTGATCGTACGGAGTACAATGCCATGTGGCATTCGACCCTCGTAGAAATGAGGATGCCATTTCTGTCTTGCACTGCACGCACCATCACTGTGAAGAGCTCCCAAGTCCCTCCCTCGAGGGCAGCTTTTTTCATTAAAAAAAAAAGACACAGTTTGGGGTTTTCTTACGGCAAAATGCTCAGCTTTTGGTGAAATGGCAAACACTAGTAGGTAAACAAAATAAACCTGGGTAACGCTTCGCCCGTGACGTCACATCTGTTTGTGACATTCAATCTCTTTGCAGATTCCCTCAGCCAAATGCCCCCGTCCCAAACCGGAGCCATAGATTCGCTCCTATGATGCACCGTACCGTCAATGGGTAAATGCACTCTGATCCGTACGGCTGCCGTCGGCCATACATACCTCAGCAGATCGGGATGCGACAAGGCACTACCCGGGACGTTCGTGCATAGAAGGTGTTCGCTGGGCTAAGATGCTGAAGTGCAAAGTGCCATGGAACCGACTCTTGCAAGCAATCTCCCACCGCTTCGTTGGTCCCTTAAAATTTTAATTCTAGCTGATAAAGAAATTCGATTGAACTAGGTGGATAATTGGTGCCACTTATGCTACAAGACCGCTTTATACATCGACATACAATTTACGAATAATCTGGAGATCATGTAATAACTGCAGGCAATTCACGTATGTATACTCGGTGTCAAAAGAAAAATGCGCCTTGTTTATTTCACGTTGCGCAAAATAATTCTTACAAGATTAGGTTTTCGGCGGCAGAAACTATCCTTATAGTGTTTGAAATGTGTAGGCCTTAGTAAAATAATGTATCACTAATCTCAAATGCACCTACATATATATCCTATTAAGGGGAAATTAGTAATGCTTCGTGAGGAATTGGACTTTGTTTTACTACGGTTCTCGAGGTGAAAACGAGTACACAAAAAAGCAAAACGATGACATGAACCATGAACACATGTTCAGGCACACTTCCCAGAGCAGTGTCAAAAGCCTGAGCTAATGAACGAACATATGAAAATGATGGTTCACGATTCGCAAGAGGCTTCCATGTGCGCATGCGTCGTAATATCCCTCCAAAACTATGGGGGCCTAGATTGCGCCTTCAACTGGTGAACTCCGTGCTTTGCACCGCCCGGTGCGTCGAAAAGGGTCCCAAAGTGGCAACACGTTACATCACACAAGCCGGCTACCGTGATGTGGGATGTCGCGATTTAGGTGGCCCGTCCTAGAAGTTCCAGCAAGAAGTATGAGCAAAAGCAAGTGTCACTGCCATTGCCGCATACCCCACTCGTGGCTGTTTGAATTTCCGTAGACCATAAAGGTGAAGGGCGACCTAGAGGCCACAGCAGAACGAGTGTCCGCCGTGCCCACCTCCGCTGCCGTACCACCACAAGGATCGTGGCTGGCAACAGCGTGACACTTCTACGACCTCAGGCAGACGCTGAAGAACCACAAATGAAGACGCGGTAAACACACCAGGAGTCCAACTTTGGTACCCACGAGAGTAAGAGCGAGATCTAATTCAGCACTCCTGAAGAGAGTGACGATAGCATTCCTCGACTGTTCGTCTGCCAACTTGAGCGAAAAACGCGGCTCATTTGCTACGAAGCATCATTCACCGACGAAAATAAAACGAGAAAACACAGTACATAGTAGCCCGGAAAAAGAGTAGATTGCCTGCTACGAACCGAGCACTGAGACAAATTAAGATGGGAGACAGGCAGATGTTGCGATCATCCACCCTTTTAACAGCGGAAGCCATTGACAGCTTACGCCTCATTTGCAAACCTCAAGTTATTCTGATGCCGTACACAAGCTGATATCGACCAGTGGGTGAAGCAGTACCAAGGAGAAGCGCATCGAAGATTGTGACACCTCTCTCGCTTTTTGTATGTTGGTGAGACATTCTCAATAAAATATTGCCCAGTTGTGAACTCGCAAACGGGTCAAAAATGTCTCATTGGTCAATTACGCGCAAAGCGTGGCGCCACGTCCAATCGGCAGCCGAAAACGCTCTCGCTCTCACCTCAAGCAAAATCGGACCCCAGTCGCATTCCAGGTACCGCATCAAAGCAGCAGCTCTCGATGAACTGCATCTCTTCCAAACACAAGCGGCTCTCCACAGACGGCTAGAGCAACGGATGAATGGCGTCGGCGGCTATGGTCACTGGCCGGATGAAAACGATGGAGCGTCTCCTTCGGACACCCCACCTCCTACGCGCTCTCGTCTTTCGTTGTGTTTTGGCTGTGCCTGCTTGCTCGATGCGTAATCCAAGGTAGGAAACTCGCACAAGAAGCAAGGCAACCGGAAGATTTCCTGCCATTCTCCTCTTGTCGGTGGCCATAGGTGCGGTACCGTGTTTTCGGGGTTAATTTTTTCCCCACAGTTTGGTGCATTTCAATGTCAATTTTCAGTGTAGGAAATAGAAGAACGGTGTTTATCGGGACTCGTGTCGATCAAGTGGTCCGTGAGCACGGGATTTCCTGAATATCGCGGAACGCACGCATGAGCCAAATACTCGGAAAGCGACTCGATAGTACCGACAAGCAAAAGAAGCAACACAAGGGGTGCAGTTCAAAGACAAAAAAAGAAGTATAGCCTCACAAACAATTTGGTGGGGGTTCTGTTTCGGGACAACACAAAATAAATATGTAGGTAGAATGTTATTTTTTGTCTCGTGAAGTTTCAACTTTTTTAATTCAAAGATGGCTCCAATTTGGGTTTTCCCCGGTTTTCTCACTTTCATGAGACTGGCTCGGGGTAAATTTTCGGGGTTCATCAGTTTACTGTAGCAGACAGGCTCGGATCGACGACTGTAAGAAATTGAAAATAAAGCTTTAATCGGGTACTAACTTGAGCCAGAAACCAAGGAATTAACGCGTGTGGGGAAGCAACAGCAAGCGTCGAAGGCGGCAGAAGCGAACGTTGAGGTGTCGGCGTGACGACATCCACCAAAAACACAAGACCCCAACTGTAGACCGCCGTCGACGGCGGCCTCACCGTGCGAGCCAGCGCCAGCAGGTGCGCCGCCCCGGGTGCCCCGTGGCACCAGTGCACCAGCTTGTCCGTCTCGCTCCCCAGCGACGAGGGGAAGTTGCCCGAAGGGTACTGCAGCGACACAAAGGCGTCCACGCTTGGGCGAACCAGGTCCTTGAGCTCCGCCTCACTCAGCTGGGCTCGCACCTGCACGCATTGACCGCGCCTGAAGTTACGCGACATGCCGGAGGGTGCCCGGAGCCACCAACCAAGCCGTAAATTAGAGCGACTACACCTCATCTACCATCTTGGTGCCTAGAATCGTGGTTGCCGGTTATCCAAAGCCCTACACGAAATCTTGGGAAACTTCTCCGTAAATTTTAAATCAGTCCGCAACTATGGAGTTTGCGCAACAATCAAAGAAAGAAAGTTCTGTGCATTTCGGCCACTTTGGACAAGCAAGGCGTAGAAAAAAACGTTGGTGGTCCCGATGGAACCACGTTCCTGTCGACACTATTACACGCAAGAAGTGGCAAACCATTCCTCACAAGGTCTGTACCTTGTTGTTTCCTAGCTTTATTTCGCACAAAAACATAGGCGTCACGCGTTGTATAAGATGAAATAAAGTCGAACAAGCACTCAAACAGCTTCAACTCGTCGGGGCAAAGAGGATACTCCTAACTTGTAGTCTGTTTCCTTCCTCCGCTCTTCCGCCACTCTCTTTCTCGTTCTTTCTCTCAAGACCACCGACGTCAGCTCTCACTATTTGCCACGCTCCGTTCCCATCTTTATCACCCTGTACACGACAAAAAAAAAACGATATCGCCTGAGCTTTTTGGCACAGTACATCAGGAAGTTGCATTTTCAAGTGCCATCCGCCACCAATTGCACCCGCCCTGCGCAAAAATGGCGGCACCCACGAGGTATTCGGGGAATGGAGTTGCCGACACCCTAAGAACAGCGGGGTCATTCACCTGCAGCAGCATGTAGAGGATTCCCGAGAGGCCGTGGGCCGCTCCCAAGTAGTATGACTCGTGCCACTGGTACATGAGAGGAAAGCTCGCTTTTGTCCGTGCCGACAGCCGCTGACCGGACTCCAGCACCGAGCATACCACCTGTGCAGCACAAGAGGATGCCAGATCGGGAATGCCGACGAGGCTTTGAGCAAAACTGGGGAGTCAACAACCGAGAGGGGAGGTGTCGCAACACAACGCCTTGGGTTTATCTCTAGGACGCCTAGGGCACACAGACCAACGTTACTGGATCGGCTAAGTTGACAAGCTTTGAGAAAAAAGTGACGCGCTGCCATTCGCTGTTGCATATAGCGCTCGTGTCACTGCCCGCCCGACTTGCTCGGTCTGACCCGCCTCGGTGCCCTTGGATACGCTGTGAAACACATCATTTTTTGTGCGGGTTCACAAAGTGTATTACAAACGACTGGTGCCAGTATGATAATGTCTAGATTGAGACAACATTTCTTGGGGCTTTTGAGGCAAATTCAAGCCCGCCGGGCTTTCATAGTTTTGGCAGTCTTCGACATTCGGCACCTAGGCAGGCCAGCTCGGAGAAATGACTGCGTCTATCGTGGTTTCCAGCACATGGACCATTGTGTTTTGGTCGTTTGCGGACTGAGATACTGCTACCTTCCCTCTTCTTGTGTCCTGTGTTTGTGTCAGAAGTTCAAGCACGAACTGCTGCATACATTCCAAAGCTATATTAGGAAAAAATGCCAATTTGAAGACGTCTTCGTCATTTAAAGGAAGCAGGCTGTTTTTGTATTTGTATTCGGCTATGTCGAGGGGGCCTACCTTGGTCCCTTGCGTGTGAGGGCCATTTCATAGACGTGTGACAAAGGGGGAAGAATTTCAAGACATCACTTTCGATCAGCTGATCAGCGCAGATTCATGTGTGTACTTCAAAGATTTACGTTTAAACGTCCGATAGATATTAAAGCTGTTATTTTTATTGTACTTGCTACAGCTTTACGGCAACAGTGTTCGAATTTTGAAACACTCTCGTTGTCTATGTGAAACGAGTTTGTTTGTGTAAGCATGTATGCATGCTCCAGTGTCTAATAGAGTGACGTGCTTGTTGACGCGTTGATATGAGTAGTTATGTTAACTACTCTTTTCTTACCGTTGCAGTTGTGCTTAAAAACAAGTTTATGATACTGTTCTTTTATTAATCTCATGACGTTTCTGCAATCTAGTATTTCAAGTCAAAATAGAGACATTTCTAGCCACCTCACTGAGCCCCTGAGAATGCGACATAGAAAGGCTGAAGTGCAAAGACAACTGTGAAAACTTTACTGCACAACTACTCAGCCTCTTTGTTGTAACACGAATGCACTTCTATCGTAGAAGTTCTATGTAAGAGAAACCAATCAAAAGTAGGAGATGACGGAGAAGGTGGGAATAGCAAACAAAGCCCGGCTCCGTGATCGTCAACTACATGTATTTTCAGCCTTGGTATTATGCATTCTGGTCGCAATTTTTTCATGGAAAAAGAAATAAACAATGCACAGTATTCATCTACAATTTTAGCCTCGCCGAAGATTTGTTGTGGCAACAAATAAAAGGTAGAAAACATATTTTGTTAGTGTTTCTGTGTCAAATATGTGGGAGCATTTATCGAGAACTGGCTACGGCACTGACAACGCATGCGAGCTCCTGATTGTGGATGCTGGTCATAGACGAATATGAGAGACAAGTTCGACATAAATCCCGTTTTACTTTAATGTTACACGAGCAGAAAATCACATTCGGAAACTCGACCCAAAGCTAAGCCCCTAAGCTCCTATCCATTGCATTATACCGTCTAAAAATCATAGAAATCATTAGTGTGCACATTTTCAATCATGTGGCCGCAGCAGAATCTATTTGCTGAGTCAATTTCTTAAAAAGCAGAGCGCACGGGGCCACCGACATACCGCCGACTGCCTTCTTTCGCAATTAAAAGCTGGCATCCCGAGCTTGCCCAGAGCCTGGCCGGCCTTGCGGATCGGACGGGCTGCAACAACAGCGCCACCACGTTCGCACGTACGTACGGAGAGGGCCGGCTTTCCGAAGCGCAACTAAAGCGGAGCTAGTCAACTGAGCCGATCTAGTAACGTTGACACACACAGGGTTTGCATCACGGGAAGACGATCTCAAACTCTACTCAGTGCACCTTTGAAGAAGACCACTCACATCACGGATGACCTCGCTGCTCACTACAGCCGTGGCAATGTGTTTGCGCACGAAGAGGAGGGCGGACAGGTATCCCACGCGGCCATAGAGCAGCTCGTCCGGGATGTCCGTTTCCAAGGGCACCACGTGCTTGCTCAAATCTAGCAATCTGAAATGCACACCACAGTGGATTTTTCATTTCATTTAACGTATGCTCCCCACACACTGTGTATTTAACTCTGCTAGGGAAAATTCGAGCTTAGAAAAAGAAGTTTGTTTCTTAAGTAGTTCGCACCTGGTATGGACTCTGCACCCCGTACATATGTGTGTGTGCACATAAAAATATACTCCTTGCACTTCTAAAACAAATGCCTGCTTTATGTGCACACAACGAAGCTTGTGCCCATATTAGTAGAAATCATTATTAACATAATCTGTCATTCAAAAAGTCATTCACAAGTTGTCATACTAAACGATCCCAAAAAAAAAACAATGTATCTCCATGTGGTGAATGATGTTGATTGGGGCGAAGCTCTGGTGGTGCTTGTCTGCGTAGACGCTGAGCCGCAGCATGCCGAGCCTTTCGTTCGTTTTCATCCATGTCACGCTGCGGTCAAATGCTCAAATGCGTATATAACCACGTTCCATACCACACATTCTCTTTCTGACATGGATGAAAACGAACGAAAGGCTCGGCATGCTGCAGCTCACCATCTACGCAGACAAGCACCACCTGAGCTTTGCCCCAATCAACATCATTCACCACGTGGAGATGCGTTTTTTTTTTTTTTTTTTCCCTACACGAGCACGAAAGCACGTGCTCACGTGCTCGTGAGCATGAGCTCCCGACGCCGGACATCGAACGGACATACGGACATGGCTAGCCCCTAAGGAGCTTCGCCCCTAAAATATGACCTCTATAGATAGGCTGCACCACGTCACTTTCTACTTTTAAAAGTGGATAGTCTGTGGACTATAATCAGCAGTCTTTAGTCCGGGCAATACGGTATTCACCTCAAAGGCGTGTTCCGGGGACACATTACAAAAGGAGGTGGGCAGAAGCACCAAATACGATTGTAAAGAACTACAAAACATGGCAACATGTTGGCACAGTTACCAAAAATATGTTTTCAACCTGATATGCAATACAGTTGGACCTCAATTTAACGAAACCCGATTTTACGAGTTTCCCGATTTAACGAACAAATTCGGATTCCCCGCGCAGCCTATCCCGAAGAATGTCTTTCTCGACTTTACGAAGTTCCCGATTTAACGAAATAATTATTGGGTCCCGGTGACTTCGCTAAATCGAGGTTCAACTGTATACAAAACATTAATTTTCAACTTGCTTCAGAAAAAATAATTTTGAAAGAGCCACAAAGTAATTCACACACTTTGCACAACACAGGCATTCGCATAGTTCCCTCTTCAGGATGTATCTCTGTCACAGTCTGATCGGGAAAATTATTCTATTCTGTACGCTACACAATTCCATAATACAACACTTTGCCATAAATCCAGCAGAGGATCCCATTTCCTGACCTTCTGCTCAAGATTGGACAGCCGCTCTCCGAGCATTGGTTACAGACGCATGACACAAGTGCAGGAGCATCGAGACGCTCTCCCAAAAAGCAGGCTTGCACTTGCTACGTTCGCAAAATGCCTAACAAGCCAGGACAATGCTCGTCACGATCGTGAAAGATGTACTCAACAAATAGGATTTTGTTGTTATAATTTTTATTAATTGTGGCTTTTATTTGTGATGCCCATGTAAACACTTTCCCAGAGCATGCAGTCCATGACAGATCAAAACGACATCACCTGAGCTTCCCCCACTTTATTTAAAGCTAAGAGAGTTTCATTTTCAGGTGGTAACTATATTGCCAATTGCACCCCCTCTGCTCTAAGAAGCAAGGTGGTGGCACTCACGAGATAATTGGAGGAGGAAGGGCCGATAGTCAGTCTAGTTAGTTTAGTGACTCCAGATCAGGAGTGGCCGAACCGCAGATCCCCGCGAGTCCAAAAGCGGTTTGCTGCTTTCCGGTAACCTTACGTCCCTTCCCCCTCTCCCCAAGATAAGAAGGAAAGAGTTATAGAATATAAAACAGCCTGCATTCTGGCGGCATTGTACCACCAAACATGCCACTGTGATGCACATTTCTCAACATGGAAGGCGGCGAAATCAAAACAGCATGCGAGCCTCACGAAGAAACGCCTAACCGTGCTGCTCAGGACTGCAACGACACCATCCAAACCAAACCTCAAAGCTCTAGCTTGTTCCATGAATGGGGACCCACAATAAAAATACATCATCAGCAATCACTTCACAAGTGGAATTTGTTGTGGCCTTTAACTCGAAGGAAAGAAGTAAAAAAACACTGTCACTAAAGGCAAACTGAAGCGGTACTGTATTTGAGAGGAAACACTTCAATTGTCTTCAATTGACCTCCAGAATCACAAATATCAAGATTATTTTACAATTTGGTGCACGGAGGCTGCAGAAATTAATTTTCAAAGTACCACTGAAATCCCTTCTTTCAGGGGCGTGACGTCATATTAGGAGCTTTCGAGCTTTTGGAGTCCCCGCTTGCGCGCATCTACAGCGCCTATCAAAGTTATGCACCCGTACTCTGGATAATTTTAAAAAAGTCAGAAAGAAACGTCAGAACTGGTGTCGGTGCAGGGGAATATACCTGGAAAGCCTGCAATTGTTTGCGCTGCCCACACGAGCGACGCGCGCTTAAAGGCCAAAATATTCTAGTACGACGTCACGACTGGTCGGAGGTTTTTCCTGTTTTCTCGTGTTTAGTTGCATCTTCAGGGGAAACGAACCTGATATTCAGATTCACGGAAAAACAAACCTCGAACTCGTTATTTTTTTTTTTTTTTTCAAGAAGCGTTTCAGTTTCCTTTTAAAATGGATCCCTTTTTATGGCTCTTCGTATTAATCTATCGAGCCACCCCAGCTCTAGATCAACCCAAGAGCATTTCGCGATCCACACGCACTCACTTTTTGACGAGCTTCTGCGAGTCCTCTTCCCTGCCGAGAAGGTGGTAGAGAACCGCCCCGACCGCCAGGGGTCCCGCGTCCCCACATAGGAAGGAGAAGCGCCTCTCTTTCAGGCCCTTGAGCTGTGTCTCCACCAGGGGGAGTGCGCGCTTCAGGTACACCGGGTCCCCCAGGCGCTCCGCCAAGTTCATGTACATCAGGGCCACGCCTGCATGGACCCTTGTTTTGTGGATGCTTGTGCAAAGCTCAGTTTCCACGCCCTCGGCATTATGGGAGGACACTACTCAGGAGGGCCGACTTTTTAAGCCCTAGCAAGGAAGGGCACAGACCAAAACTGGTTTTGGAGACATTTTTTGAGCAGAAAAATCTGCATTTTGAAGCAGCTTAGAGCAGACAAGCTACATTTTGGAGCAACTTACAAGTAGTAAAACCCGCATTGTGGAGTACTTAAGTATAAAAAAAAATAAAACATATTTTGGAGTACCTAGGAGTAACTGTGACATCATTTTAAGAAACCATCTTAGACAGTTGAACAATGAGTTACAGTTCAAGTGACCTAGGTTAGTACTACTACAAGTGTTGGAAAGTATTGAATAGAACATTACTGGAAAATATCTGAAATCGCACACAGAAATATGTATAATTTTAGGAACAAATTTTAATTAAAAATGAAGGTGTACAACTCGGCAACATAACATTACATGCTATGTTGCATCATATATCGTAAATGTATGATGTATAATGCAACAGTATGATGGCTAGGATGTATGATACACTGAATCTATCGGATGAATGGATGTACAGATACGGCTGAAGGAATCGGGCGGTGGCTCGTACCTCCTCTCGATGAAATAGCCAAGTATGTCAACCGAGTTTTCACTTTCCACTAATTGTAGCGTCACCATGACCTTTGGCAGAGCGTGACACAATCTTGGTCGATTTCACGCTTTTGGCGCCGGTAGGCACAGAAGATTGTGAGGCTATCAAAGTGAAGTAACAAAACTAACAGTGTAGACGGCTAGTTGTGATAAGGAGGGCTGCAAGAAGTTTCTTCTCTGTACATTAATTGTGAAGGAACTTACGACAGTTCGTGTCAATTTCCCAGTAAAGTTGCTTAGTCGATGTATCAAAAAATAAAACAATGTTCAGAACTTTTTTTTTACCAGATACAATGCAGAATTTCTGGAGAGTGCCACTGTGAAGGGGATTTTGTAAAAAGTAATTTATTTCTCTACAAATACTTTTTTGATAAAATGAAAGCAAATTTCAGACCTTCTGTGTCTCCGGATAAATGCTAAGCTTTTTTTCAGAAAACATTCCTAAAATAAAAGAATTCACACATGCATTTCTCATTAAATTTCGATCAGGAAAAACAAAGAATGAGCCTTTTCTTTAGTCCTGTTATGAACTGAAGTTATGTTATGTCTAACTAAACTGAAATTTACACTGAAAACATGGAATGGGCAAAAAAGCATTCAAAATGTTCTGATAACTATCCACCAAGGTACTGAAAATAATAATTAGCAAGTTAACTATGCAGCAAAAATATAATGAAACTTTGTGGAAATATTCTTTGGATGTTCATGAATTTAAATATGACACACTTCAAAATCAATGTTTGTTTGTTTTTTTTGCAAAAAAAAATCTTATACCTAGTAAATATATTTTTAGGCCATGTTTTTTTCTTTCTTATAAATAAACACAGGGGCAGCCTCAAAGAAGGGTGCTCTCAAGGGTTGACTCCATTCTCAAAATAAGGAGTGTTCATTGTATGTCTCCCTTCCTAACTCTCTCCTCCACAGTTTCTCCTTTCTGCAATCTTCCATTTAAAACAAATTGACAGCAACCTTTATCCAAACCTACAATGCATGGAACACAGTTTTTTAGGAGTCAACATTTACGTTATCTGAGACGACATTAAACAGTTGTTTCAGGAAGTGGACGGCAACACATCGTTTATTTATTTTCCTGCTAAATTTAGTAGGGAAATAAATGTCACATGACACTACAACCTGACCCCGTGAGGACACATCACGTCAATTACAGCGGTGCTGTTAAGTGCTAGTTTCCCCAGGATCGTGTCCCCCGCAAAGAAATGTCGACACAAAACTCAGGACAGCTACCACCATCTATAAGCGACGGCGGCAACCAGACCTTTAAGCCTTTCCACTCCGGTTTTCACCAGAGGGGAAAGGCTGAATTTCTCTAGGCGCCGTCCTAGATGTCGTCCTCAAGGTCGCCCTAGAAGTTGTCCTTTTGGTCGTCCTAAACGTCATCCTTGAGGTTGTCCGAGAGGTTGTCCTAGAAGTTGTCCTTGAGGTCGTTCTAGACGTCGTCCTTGATGTCATCCGAGAGGTTGTCCTCGAGGACATCCTAGAAGTCATTCTTGAGGTCGTCCTCGAGGTCGTCTCAGAAGTTGTCCTTGAGGTCGTCCTAGATATTGTCTTCGAAATCGTCCTAGAAGTCGTCCTTGAGGCCGTCCTAGACGTCGTCCCTGAGGTTGTCCTAGGCGTTGTCCCTGAGGTTGTCCTAGACGTTGTCCTTGAGGTCGTCTAGATGTCGTCCCTGAGGTTGTCCTCTAGGCGTCGTCCTCGAGGTCGTCTTAGAAGTCGTCCTTGAGGTTGTCTGACCATAATACAGCTTCGCTGGTCTTCCTTCTTCACCAGAGTGGAAAGGCTGAAAGGTTTTCTTCATGCTAAATTCAGTGGCAAAATTGACGTCACAACCTGACGTCTCGCGCGGCACCAATTTTCCATGAAATTTAGCAGGGAAATTGACATCAGTGTCAAGTTGTGGTGTTAGGTAACATGATGTTGGGTCATGCAACGACGATCTTTGCCAAAAATTATTGGAAAAAGAAAGTTTGCCTTTTTTTAATTATTCCAAAATACCCACTTATTTATTTATTAAGTGCCATAAAATTTATTTTGAAACTGTCTCGGAAGAGTTCTAGCGCAGTAGTGTGAAAAGTGAAAGAATAGCGAGCGGTCAAACATGCGATCTCCGTCAGGTGAAGAAACACCAGTTTTCGCCTTGGCCAGTTCAATAATCATTAACTCAAAAATAAAAAAAAAAAAAAAAATTAGCCATCTTAGTTGTCTGTGCGCTCGTTCATTTCAGAAATTCCCCCAGAAAATGGTATTTTTTTTTTTATTAAAAAATTCAACCCCAAACCTGTGCTTGAATTAGATAAAGCTTCCATCTACTAAATTGGCTTATGACAATAAAAAGCTTACAAATATTACCCTTCGAAAGTCTTATGCGTTATACCAGGGCACTTGGGGCAAACAAGATATTATTGATGCGCCGAGAAGCCTAGCTCGGAATTTCACACTTTTCCAAATGCCCCTTTTCCACGCAAGCTATGCCTATGGCTTAAGATTTTTTAACTTTGATTCATCTTATTGTAAATGAAAACTTGCATACACCGTGGGAAAGTACAGCATTCTCTTAATTTAACGCCACCACGAGATGGTTCATCTTTGGCACTTTTTGTGCTATTTGTGGGCCTACTGGTCGAATTACAGGGTGAAAGCTTGACTCCTCCATCGTTGGCAAGTCTTTCCCGAATGAATGCCAACTCTTTTCTGAACAATGCCGGCGTGTAAATACAGTAGGTTTAGGGGAACATCACGCTAAATCTTTGTAAGGTCGAAGTTAGTTTTGCACGGCACTGCACGCACGAACCGGCTTTCCCACGTCGCCATCTATCTCTCATAGTGAAGCTCCTAACAGTGCATTCACACGTCGGAAATTTTTTCCACAGAGAGGGGCAAACATCATCGCGTTTCGAGGTCACATGCAGCACATCACGGATGCTTGCTAATCCCTGTACTCTGCCAAAAGCCAAAGATTGCCCCATCGTTCCCGCAAGAAAAAAAGATGGCATCAAACGACAAGTTCGATGGCGTGTGCAAAAAGTATGAGGCAAGTTTGAAGTCGTCACATTCAACAACAGCGTTAATGTTGACAGTGTGACATTGCTCTTGTGTCGTACTCATACAACGGAGATTTTCTCCAGGTAGAGGAATATACGTCACCATGTTTTGAAGTTATGTGATTCGTGTCACGGATGCTTGCTAATCCGCATACTGTGCAGATTGTCTGATCGCTCCAGTGAGAAAAGGAAGATTGCGTCCAAACGATGAGTTCCATTAGTTTGTTGATGTTCGCAAAAAGCATGGTGGATGCCTGAAGTTGCGGAAACTGGCTAGAGAGTTAACTTCTAATCTACTCAAGTGATCGGAATGAAATTTGCAGGGGAGATTTGACATCAGATGTAGGTGCATTGTGCAAACTTTCAGCTCTCTAGGAGAATTTTATATACCTGCATAAAAAGATGTGTCACTCTTCGTTAAGAAATCTATGATATGCAAATGAAGCCATTAAGCACCATTTTGACTGCTTGAATATAAAGTGGGGGATGTGGGACTTTGGGCTGTCTAGTTTTTCTGACTCAAATGTAAATATTTTAGGAAGAGGTATTATCTCAAAATATGAGATGCATATCTGTCCTATGTCCTTCGTATGAAATTTGCAGCAAAATGTGGAACTGAGAAAAATGCATTCAAACATTGAGCTTCTTTACTCCCTCACAATGTGTTGAAAATATTTTATATCAACATAAATATTTGGTGTATGGTTATCAAATCTAGTGTAAGGCTGAATAATTAGTTTCTAAAACCGAAAACCTCACATTTGAAAAATGAATTTTTAAAAAAACTGAAATTTAGGCCTATGTTCTTCCTTAAACGAACACTAACACCTCCCAAAATTTATTCTTAATGTTTTGCCAGGCGATTCACAATGGTGGCAGAAGACTGCCCAATTAATATTTTGCTACAGCGTCACGTATATTTTTAATAAACTAAAAAAACGCAACTGCACGAAACTGAAAAACTGGACTGGGGAGGAAGAAGTAATAGAGAGGAGGAGGGAGGTGGCGGAAGTCACATGGCTGTGACACTTTTTTTTCCCCAAACACATTTGCAGCTTTTTAGAAGTCACAAAAAAAAAAAAAAAAAATGGGTATCATATATATATATTTCTTTTTAATATTGCATGTGTGTTTCTGATAATGTTTTTGGTGGTTGTGTCTAAACCATAGAAAACGGCACGTGGCCACAGAGAAGAGAGTGAGCACAATTTAAACCGGCCAGTTCTCGATCGGCTGCTTTCGGTCGGAAAGGAAACGAATTTCAAGCCGCGAATTGTGTTCTGGTTCGTTGGGCTCTCTTATGTAATGTACAAATAAAAACCTTGGCGAGCATAAATACCCTGTCAGTGCGAAAAGAAAAAAAAATGTTTTCTTTATGTAAACCAATTAGGACACGCGTGTAAAAAAAAATTTACGTGGAAAAAAAAAAAATTTTCGAAGCAATATTGACGGCGCAAGATTTAGTTTAAACTCTGCGCGCAAAGTCTATGATTTCACGAAATGGTCAATGGTCATGCACTCTCTCCACCTCAACGTGACGGCCTGGCCAATCTACCTCTCCTCCACGCGCCCAAAATTCTGAGAGAGAAAACAAGTAGAAAGAAGGTGACTACAGACGAAATCGCATCTTGCACCGTCAATATTGCTCTAAAAAATGTTTTTTTCACGTAAAATTTTATTTTTGACACGTGTCTCCCAACCAGAACGTTAAAAAAAAAAAGCCCTTTTCAGGGGTTCTTTAAAGGGCCCATGAAACAAACTTTGGGTTGGGATAAATCAATTCAGATTGGTATTTTACTTATAGCACATCGTTCAGTGGGCCAGAAGAAAAAAGGTAGAAAGTTAAAAGCCTGACTTTAGGTACAAAAATTTGAAAACACAGCGGATTATTTCGCACCTCCTTCCCTTCGTAAGCTCTCTGCCTTTTCACTGTGATACCTCCGCGGTCCCCAAGGCGCGTCACTGGGTCCAAACCCACGTCACACGACACCGGACCTCACTTATTCCCTTCACCCCTAAGCTGACATCGCGGTGAAAGCTACGCGCTTGCCGGACCAATCAGCCGCCTCCCTTTCATCACCTGACCTCATTCTCTGCGAGTGGGTATGCACGAGAGAGTGTGATCATGTGGCAAAAGTGTGGCTGGCCCAACGAGCATGTTGCTTCCACAGCACTCTCAGCTTCGGGGTGAAAAGAATGGAGAAAGCAACTTTTGTCTGAATTTTGAGCGACGGGCTAATCTTCTAGGAGGAGAATGGCTGTAAACGAGAGTCCGAGCAAGAGGGGACTACCCCCTTTTCGTCTTCTTGACCTGTTTGGTACAATGCACGATTTATGAGTTGTGGAGGAAAGCTAAAAAGGAACAAGTTAGAAAAGCGCTTCATGACCCCTTTAATTGAACCCTCGTTTGTATATCCGAGATGTCACTTTTGTTTCCTTCGGAGATTAGCTCCTCACCCAAATTCATACAAAAGCAGCCTTCCTCTTTCTCTCCTGTCTGTGGCTTTGACAGCTCTGAGTAAAACTAATCACAGTATAGTCACGTATCTCCTTCTGATGCGCTGAATGGCTCACTGGGGCCGTAGCCTTTGCCGTTTGCCAAGTTACAGTGAGACAAAGAATAGTGTAGCGCAGAGGTTCTAAAATGGGGCTCCACAAAGCCCTCGCCTCAAACCCCCCCCCCCCCCTTCTTTTAAATGGCCTTTTCTGTTGACCCTGGCTAGGTAGTGCAAGCTACCACACATTATAAAGGATATAGGCATTACGATCTATCCATCCATTCAACCTTTTCACTTGATGCTTCTCTTTTCCTGTCTATAACAGTTAAGGTTGCCCTTTATTCCTCTCTGTCCCTTTCCCTTGCTGGCATGGGTCCCCCATCCCTTCGGTAGGTCAGCAAGGAGTTCCCCACACATCAATGCTTGAGAACCACTGGTGTGGCGGAAGTTCTCTACAAATGACGGGCCAAGACAAGGCAAGCAGATGATAATAGGCCAATGAAAGGGACCCAAGAATGATGATCTGTGTTGGGACACTGAGCGTAAGGCCTGTCATATGCAGATCCCAGTGCAGATTGGGCAGAGGTCTACATGAACATAGCTTGTTGTCCTTTAATACTTTGTACTCGCACAAAGCGTCTACACAGGGGGTGTTGAATACTTCAATTTCCAAGTTCTAGATTTTTCCTGCTTGTAGATGGAGACCTCTTTTGAGCCGAGATACACCTAGATATGCATTTGGAGACTTTCACTGTTTGTATTCGCGACTCCAATTCACTACAGGTGGCGCCACTCGTTTTCTAAAATGGCAGTTCTAGTGGGGGCACGGGTCGGAGATGCGTGCCGGTATACAGGCTGCTGAGCCTGTCTAGTGTGCTTGCTTCACTGAGTGACATTAATTATTCCTGCTTGTACGAGGAAGCTAGTGTGTTATGAGCGCGGGTCACCACTTTACCCTGAAAACAAAAACGGTGTTTAGCATAATATTTGCACCAGGAGGCGTGTTTGAATTCTGGAACGAAACAGAAACTAACCTCTATTTTGGATTTAATTTCTCGGTATCGGTGTGAAAATCGGATTCATTAATAACTCAAGATGGGACTTGCACCGTAATTATTGAGCTAAAGAAGTTGTTTGGGGAAACTTTATTTTTTGTGACATACGTGTGACAGGGTCTTTCTTACACCTTAGAGGTAATATAGAATATTGTATTTGTTAAAAAATCAGTGCTGATATTTGTGTGTTTTGGTACCTTTTCTCGCTCAGATAATTGTCACGTGAAATAATAAACTGCGGGCCTTTTAATGAGTTTTGAGGCATTTAGACGATTAATTGCTTTAACATTATTCCCAGCACAAGAATAACAAAATCAATTTAAATTTGACAAAATATCACCACGGGTGACGAGTGTAATACCCTTAGGGGGCGCCACCAAGCAGGGGAAAGTTGCGGAAGACGACGAGGAACGATCCCGAGACGCGGGACATGGGTGTGGCCCGAGTAGGCATCTGCATAGCGCATCCCATGCAACGTCAACAATAAACCACAAATATTGCAATAAGTTTAGAATATGTTAAAAAAAAAAAAAAATTAAGAAACGCTGTTCTCGCTATAAAACCCGAAGGCAGAATCCAAGTCAGACAGCAGAAGTGTGTTTTTTTTTTAAAGCAATGCGTGACGCATATGAGTTTATACTAGATCCAGTGTGACAGTTTGTATATCTTGATAACGATGCCAGTGTTTTTTATATGCTAAAAAGAAAACAAGATTAGACCTTTCTGGAAAGACTATTATGGTGAAATGGCATATTTTTGTGATCGTGGCGTTTATTGGGGGCCTATATTGCCACAATTCGTATTAATACGAATAGAATTAAGACATTTTTATACATAGTCTTGCAAGCTCTAATATGATTTGTCGCCAATGATCAGCGCACAAGTCTGGCAATCGAAAGTGTGCAAATTATCATCACTGGTGCCAATTGTAGCATTTTTAATTAACATGTTATAATATAAAAATAGTCTAAAATCAATTAAACATTCTAGCTCCTCTAAAAAATCAATGTAAAATTACATTAATTGTGGGTATAGCATATGAAGCTATCAAAGTCGTGACTTTGAATGAATATTTGTGGTTTTGCCAATCTCAGTCTTTCCAGTTCGAAGGAACGCCTACCCACTTGCTCGTCTGCTCACTGCAGAATGTTTCGTTGGCGTTGGAAGCCGGTGAAACAGTAGTAAGTTGTTAGTGCGTATACAAGCAATTGTAAGCACTGGGTGTTTGAGTGTTTCACACTGCTTGTGCACGGAGCCCACAATTGCAGTCTTGGATTGAAGCATGGTGACTATACGCATGTGCAGCGTGGAGCACGCAACTTTAACGCAAAAGCACAGCGTTTTCTTCTACTATATGCAAAACTAAGACTCTAATAAGCTACAATCCCATACCGGCTGCAGCACTATATTGGGACAGTGAAGAGTGTTGTTTGCATTCGGAAATGACATTTCGCGAGCCATGATCGCGAGCAGTTCCGCCGTGCCCGCTGAGCAGGAGAACCAGGGAACCCTTACTAGAGCGCTTCCCGTTCCCGCTGCGGGAGGGCGAGCAACGAGCTGGAGACGCAAATAGTCCTTGACCACCTGACTGGCACTCCTACAAAACAAAAATCAAATGTGCCAGTCTATTGATACTCTCAAAGAATGCATCAGCAACAAAGGACAAGGACATATTCGTTGGCATGAGACATGAACCAGGATGATGTCCCAGCTGAAAATTCCCATTAAATCCAATTGGAATTCCAACTGGTTTTAACTGGAACCAATTGGTTTTAGTGGGTTCCAGCTGGAACCGCACTGGCCAATGGGTCTCACCAATTGGAATTATTTTTCCAGTTGGAACCTGAATGGGTTCCCAATGGTTCCCAATGGTTCCCATTGGTTCCCGTTGGTTCCCATTGGCAGTGACCAATTGGTTGTCCAAAAACCCAATTGGTACCAATAAGTCACCAATTGGTACCAATAAGGAAATTCCAATTGGAACTTAATAGGAATTTTCAACTGGGGTATTGGTTTAAAGAAGTTCCAGCTTAATGACAATCCCCCTAGAAAATAGGGTAAGGGTGCAGGCGAGCTGGTGAATACTAAACAAATTTTCGAGACGTCGTTTTGCCCATTTTCTGTCTCTTCCATGTTTTGATGTTTCTTCTCTACTCCCGTCTCAAGTGAATTCAACATGGTTAATATGTTAATACTCCCACCTACTCTGCCATCTGCCCTCATAGCATTCACCATAGTTCAGTGACTTTCATACAAGAGTGACAATTTACCAACACACTAGCTAACAGTGGCGACTTCCATTGTGCAGGCCATTCATAAATTAGAAAGAATGCTGTAAAGTCAACGGACAACAGCCATGATGGCCTTCCGTCCGAACTGCATGTAATCATAGTAATGTTGATGATCGACTGATTAATCTATTCCACTCCGCTACGAGTTCAGTCAATATTCTTATTTACGTCTATGCTTTTCCACCTCAAGACCAAAGTAAGGAAAACAAAATGTTTCGGAAACATACACGTTAGCAAAAGACTGGACTTTCAGCAAACGAAACACCACCTGTGAATACCGCAAGATTTTATATATATATCTATAAATATATATCCCCAGTCTCTTATTGATTCAACGTTTGGATACCGATGCCTTGAACATAGACGACGCAATAACTGTCACTTCGCTGAAGAGCCTTCCACACCTGTGGTGCCGGTGTAGACGGAAGCGTCATTCCAGTCGGTGTGCTTGTCAAGGTTCTTCTCCAGCACTGCCACCAGCTCCAGGAGGTGCTTCCTGACGTCCTGCTCGAACTTGTGAGTGAACTGAAACAGAGCGGCCGCGATAATTACGGCCGTTTCGGCAGCGCGTTTGAAGGGAGTGCCGAAATGTTGACGCACCTTCCCGTCCGGCAGAATGACGTCTGAGCTACCGTCGTAGTCGGCGAATTTGTTTTCGAACGCCCGGTCAGTCATGCCTAGAAGTGTTCGAAGGAGACCGGCAAAATAGGGCATCGGTTCGGGGACGCATTGAAGTGTCAAGTTGTGAATCTCGCGTGCAAAATCACTTACTTCGTTCCAGCGTCTTGATGAGCGACGCAAAGAACGCCTCGCTTGCTAAGTGTGCCTGAAGTTTAGAGTGTTTCCAACTGCTCGATCGGGTCACGTGACATGCGTCCCGTTTGCAACACGCTGCGAGGGCTCCGAGGTGGGGTGCAGGTGGCGAAAGCGTCGACTTCGACTGGCGGATTTGTGTTGATCGTCCGCAAGCGCCTCTAGCCGCCGGAGCAACGCACGCGCATTTGAACTTCGTGCGTTTGCGACCGATCTGCACTGATCTCCGCAGAAGGCAACGTTAGCAGATGGCGCCCGCCATTAAAACGATATCCATGGTTTCGGTTGCTTTCTCTCTTAGATCATGGGCTCTCTACATTTGTTTACAAATTCTGGCGCCATCTATCAACGGTACTGTAGTACTACTGGTACTACCACGGCTACCACGGTACTCACGGTACTGCGAGTGACCGGCTTCAGCCTGCAGGTCGAAAGCTACCGACATGATTCCTCCTTCCCTTTCTTGAGGCAAATAAATATGTTTCATGGCCGATAGTTTTCCCCGCGTTTTCTGTCTTGCATTCGGCGACTGGCCCACCCAATGTTTCCACGGGCGGAGGCAGTCTGTTTAGTTCTTTTGAGTCGTGAGCGACGCTCGGCCACACGATTCCGAACAGGTTTCAGCAGAGATATAACAAATGTAGGTGTCTGCTGGTCTGCCTAGGAATATTAACTGCCTTATATATTGTATCTGAACTTTCAGTTATATATTATTCAGGCAAATATATATTTCACACAAAGTTGAAAATTACAACTCCAGCAGTCCCCCAAGAGATAGCCCACCTAACACCTAGAACAAAGTTTCAGTAAGAATTCCTAACATCGAGAACAACAGTTTCAGTAAGAATTCAATGTTAAACAAGGCTAGGTACACTCATAGTTGAAACTGCCTTTGAATGAACAGTCGTCAAACACAAGGGTGATCAACTCGTCATGCTCACTGTTGGAATGCGAGTCGCTTTACTGTTGCTGACCGATCGATGTTGGGACCCCTTTGTTTAACCGTGACTTACCCATTCTATCGGCGACTGAAATTTAAAATGGCGTTCTTGTTGTCCACCAAAGCAGAGAGGCTGGATATGACGGACAGGTCGATATCACGATTGAATGACGTTTTAGCGAACAGCGGTCCTTTGAGCAAATCAGTTTTAGCAAATGACGCATCACTCACACCACTTTGAAGCGACAGTTTGTGGCGGCTAAAAATGTTAACCCACCTGGCCCACCCGTACATGCCGCTTTGCAGCAGCCAATTGTTTGCTAAAGTATCTTTCGATGAAAAGTCGGGTGCAAGACCTTGTTCGGTAAAACATTATTCGACCGACTGAGTGCCACCCGGATATATGACACTGCATGCACTTGGAAGGTCGCTCACTTTATGTGTGCTCATCAATATAAAATGCACATTGTTTAAGAAGGTCTTCAGACAGCAAGTGCATTTGAACAAATTATTAGTTGAGCGTGGGACAAAACAGAGTGCATGCTTCAAATGTGATTGTTGGAAGCTCTTCACATGTGAAAGCTCTCTCGCAAGAGTGCACTCCAGCATAGCAGGTGAAATGACCCACCCAAGTGAAACCTCTTAGGCACTGCTTGCATGTGTAGGATCTTTCCTGTGTATATTTCGAAGTAGCTTGGTACACTCTACATTTTGCACAAAAGACTTTTGACAGCTGGTACATTTTAATAACATTCCTACTCCAATGCATTTACAGTTGATATGGCTGAATGTCGTGAAAAGTAAAAGCTTGAGTGCACTGCCAGTACTGGTAAGGTTTTGCACCCATGCCGGACTGGGTCACTATTTTTGCAGAATGCTGCTCAATGCATTTTGACCCTCGAAAGGTGTTTCGCCCACTTGGAACATTCTGACCGCTCAAATCCTTCATTGCAGACAATGACATCTGGGCAGTGCTGACACTCAATTCATTGTTTGCCATGAACAAGATGTGGGTGGTTGACAATTCTGCATTGATCTTATGATATATATATATACCAGGTGTTCATTTTTAATTCGAACAGATTTATTTTAAAAAATCCGTAAAAGATGCACTGATACAGTTTGTGCAGGTGAGTTATACAGCCAGAGGGACATATTATAGGGGGCTAATCATAACGATCAGTTGGCTAATTAATTAAAATTTGTTAATTAACTTTTTAATTAATGAAAATAGACATATGGTACCAATTAGAAACTTGCACAGCGTCACCGAAAACCACTAAATCAGTCATTTTCAGAAAGACTTTGAGCGCATGAGAAGCGTAGTAGTGCACTAAAGTTACCACTCCAACAGGAGCAGGTACAAGGCTGGGGCTAGATAAGAGACGGAAAAATCGCGCGGGCGCCTTACCGCAACCGCTAGCTTTGTACCTGCTCCACGAGTGGTAACTTTAGTGCACTACTACGCTTCTCACGCGCTCAAAGTCTTTCTGAAAATGACTGATTTAGTGCTTTTCGATGACGCTGAGCAAGTTTCTAATTGGAACCATATGTCTATTTTCATTAATTAAAAAGTTAATTATCGAATTTTAGTTAATTAGCCAACTGATTGTTACGATTAGCCCCCTATAATATGTCCCCCTGGCCGTATAACTCACCTCCACAAGCAGCAGTAGTGTAACTTTCACAGCTTTTTTTAAATAAATCTGTTCGAATTAAAAATGACACCAGGCTCGATCTAAAATGGACCGTAAAATTCGACACCCGCACGTAGCAATCTAAACTTTTCGTCAAAGGTGTATTTCACAGGTCAATTTTTTCTTGTAAATTTACAAAGCGTAGCTCTCATTCTGTAAAAAATAAGGCCAAGAAACTTGCCAGGGTCTACGGTGGGCAGCGACGCAAACGACGGGGGTCCAGTAGCGGGGTGTGTTTGGCGTTCGTATTGAGAGATGGCACTACCTCCCTATCGTGACGGCTCGCGACAACCGTGGTTTATTGAAATAAACATTATCTTTTTGAAACGTACCTTCGGCTAAAAAATAAATGCGAACAATAAAAGCAAAACTTAAAGCAAAACAACACGTCTGCATAAAGACGGCGCTTTTGCTGCCAACAGATTTCGTCTGCGTGTTGTCTGCTTTCTTCCACTGGTCGGCTGCACCTTCGGACGCTGCTCCTGACGCCATCTATCAACATAAACTCCAAACACACCCCGCTACTGGACTTGGTCGCCTGGGTCGTCGCCCGCTGTAGACCCTGGCAAGTTTCTTGGCCCTATTTTTTACAGAAAAAAAACTACGCTTTCTAATTTTACAAGAAAAAACCGACCTGTGAAATACACCTTTGACGAAAAGTTTTGATTGCCACGTGCAGGCGTCGATTTTTACGGTCCATTTTAGATCGAGCCTGGTGACTTGGACCACCCTATATACCAGGGGTGGCCAGGCCGACCAGGCCTAAAAGCCGCAAACGAAACCACGAAACTTCTAAGAGCCACGGGGGGGGGGGGGGGGGGGCAAGTTTAAATTTTGTTCGGACTCTGGCTACGTATGATTGCACAAGGCTGTACGACGTGTACGTATGGAGGTACAAGGCTGCCAAACCAGTAGCCGTACTTTATTCCGCCTGAAATCTCTTCTGTTTTTCCTGGGGAAATGCGGGAAGGTGGGGGGGGGGTCCCCTTACGAGGGATCCGCGAGCCGCACTTGGTCGACCAAAGAGCCGCATGCGGCTCGCGAGCCGCGGTTTGGCCACCCCTGCTATATACAGAAGCAACATTTCAACTCGAGGTCCTCAGCAGTGCTTAGTGGGCGAAATACTTTCGGAATGTGTGCTTTCATGGCCTAGAAAAATAAAGATGAGGTCTTTTGTATTGGACTTGCACAGCTACAAGTGTTGGACTTAGGTCACATGAACTCTGTGCAATTACTTGTGATAGAGAATTCACATCTCATATCAACACATGCCACATTTTGGTTCCCCAATATCCTGCTAAAAGCAAACAAAGAGCATTGAATAGATGTTGGCATACTGTGTAAGGACATGGCCAGAGGTGGCACAGAAGTCGGGGCCAGAAATAAAAGCAGAGTTTTAACACATTTATTCTCCAAATCATTTTGTAATACAGTGATGTCTCGTTAATATGTGCCTCATAAATATGAATACCCCGCTAATATATGGAAACTGTTTTTGGGGACAACTTGGTAAGTATGAGGTGTGACAAAAAATTCGGGGACTGATTTTGAAGCGTAAAAAGAGAGGGCAGCACAGCGATGCGCGCGTTGCAGTTGAAGGAAGGGACTTTTGTGTCTTGTTATACCAAAAGGCGTCGCTCTGTGAACATTTGGAGCTGCGCTACGCGAGCTTTTGTGACCATGTGCACGGGCAGAATGGTGATTTCACCCTACACTGCAAACCAAAGCAAGAGCGACCATCAATTCTGCATCAAACTCGGCAAATATAAAACAGAAACCTTACAAATGCTTCAGCAGGCTTGTGGCAAAAAGCAGTGAATTACAGCGGAGTTGTTAAGTTCCCCAGGATGGTGTCCGGTACCAAACAAATGTCGACACAACACTCTGCTTGCCGCCTTCACTCATAGATGGCGGCAACCTTTCCACTCTGGCTTGCCAACTTCTGGACGGCCATTACTTCATTCCCACCATAGTACAGCTTCGCTGGTCTTCCTTCTTCACCAAAGTGGAAAGGTAAAAGCTTTTTGTGAAGTGTTTTAGGCGACACTCTTGCTTCAGGAACGGCTGAACATCGCTAGAAGACGAAGAGCGGTGGGGTGACCTCATCCGACATCTTGACTTCAGTGACATTCTGCCATTCTTGAGGCGCGAGTGCCACTCAAAACACCTCGCACACCTCACTGCTTTTTGACATAAGCCTTCTAGTATATCATTTCAGAGGTATCTATTTTTTATTTGCCGAGTTTGACGTAAAATTCATGTTCGCTCTCACTTTGGTTTGCAGCCTGTGGAGAGATCGCCGTTATGCTTGTGCATGTGGTCAAACAAACTCGTGTAGCGCAGTTCCAAAAGGTTACAGAGTGACGCCATTTGGCATAATGACGCAGGAAAGCCCCCGCCTTCCGACTGCTGCCCGCGCGTCACTGTGCTGCCCTCTCTTTTTACGCTATAAAATCAGTCCCGGAACAATTTGGTCACACCTCGCACATACATTTTTGTATCATCATTACTGAGAACTCGCATTATGGACAGTTTTGGGAAGAACAGAGGTGTTCATATTAGTGAGACACAACTATACATCTTTCCAACACCAAAAGTCTACATATAATTGAAACTTACAAAGTCACATTAAAATCCTTTTTACAATAGTTACGGCATGCCCGAGGTGCCCCCTTAGGCACGAAAATCCTCAGGCACCCGCACAGATGCTTTCAACGCAAAGTATTCAGGTAGGCCTGCTTCCTTTCTAAATAAGGGCCACCAAGATCTATCAGGCTCAGACGGTTAGTGAGGGCTGTTTGGCATCTGCATTATAATTAAAGGTAATGCATTACTAAAAATCCACCTCCTCTCCTAGCACAACTTCTAGTGGCTAGAAAGCAGCATTGTACAGAAAGCACATACAGCAGAAAAACACTAACAGGGTAAAATGGACAAACAAACACCAGCACTGTCTGCCCTCTTTGACTGTCTGTGTCCTTGTGCTGTTTGTACTTCAAATGATGAATCAACTTGTCCAATTGTCTATGTTATGTAAAGAAAGCCTTGTGAAAACTGTTGACATAGGCAAGGCCTTCTCTGTGCATTTTTATGTCCCGGAGCAAAACACCGACTGCTGAGATTTGCGAATTTCCTGGCTATTTTCTCATAAAAACTTTCCTCGGTGCAGCTGACCTAGACAAGTTATGGGACATACCATTTCTAGTGTCTCATACTGCTGTGTACGCCTTCACTAGATAGTATTTGACCTGCTTCCACGGCAAGTAAACTCCACTCAACTAGGAGAAACTGCAACCGACCGAGGGGTACTGGAAACACTCCAGGAATTTTAAAAGGTCTTCAAACCAAGTTGCAGTGTATTCAAAGGACCACCGGTGCATATGGACGTTCTACCCGACGCCCAACCACGGTACTACAGAGCCCGCTCAGTACCATATGCACTGAGGGACAAGGTGGAACTGAAACTCCAACAACTTGGAGAAGAAGGCATCATTGCGGCCGTAGACCACTCTGTTTGGGCATCCCCTGTCGTACTACTGATAGAAGCCGATGGCAAAAGTGTCAGGATTTGCGGGGACTACAAGTTAGGTGTGACTCCTGCAGTGATGACAACCGAGTACCCACTGCCAAAAGTGGAAAACATCTTCACTTCTCTGCAAGGAGGAGTCAAGTTTTCTAAACTAGACTTCCGTGAAGCATACAACCAAGTACTCATTGATAAAGAAACCAGCAAGCTCCTGGTCATCAACACACACCGAAAACTGTTTGCTTACAACCGTTTAGCATTTGGCGTGTCCTCGGCTCCGGCACTGTTCCAAAGAAGAATGGAAGATACCCTGCAGGGAATTCCAGGCATATCTGTGTACCTGGATGATGTTCTGGTGACTGGAAAGACCAATGCAAAACATCTAGAGAACCTAAAGAAAGTTCTTCGCAAGTCTCGCTTGGCTGAAGCTCAGGCGAGAGAAATGTGAGTTCTTCAAAGAATCACTCTGCTATCTGGGCCATGAGATAAACGCAGAGGGGCTGAAGCCTTCAAAGAAAAATGCAGAAGCTATCATTGAAGCACCTGAACCCAGGGATGTCAGTGAACTGTCAGTGATATTGGACTTCTTTCGTACTACGGCAAGTTTATTCCGAATCTGTCCACAGTGCTTGCACCCTTGTACGCCCTAATGCGCAAGAACACCTGCTGGCAATGGACAGACACTGAACGAAAAGCCTTCGGCAAAAGCAAGAATGCCATCATGAAGGCAAGGGCCCTGACCCACTATGACCCATCAAAAGAGCTTGTTCTGGCATGCGACGCCTCACCGTATGGTGTGGCTGCTGAGCACTCGCATCGGAAGGATGGCGTGGAGTCGCCACTCGCATTCGCGTCCCGGACTCTGACACCGGCCGGGAGGAATTACTCACAGTTAGAAAAGGAAGCACTGGCCATTATTTTTGGTGTCACACGGCTCAGAGACTACCTGCTGTGTCGAAGTTTTGTGCCCATCACTGACCACAAGCCACTTGTGGGGATTTTTCAGGAAGACAAGGCAATTCCAGCCATGACAGCCTCGCGCATCCAACACTGGGCTCTTACTCTTGGAGCCTACAGGTACAGCGTCGAGCACCGACCAGGACGTCTCAACCGAAATGCCGATGCCATGAGCAGGCTGCCCTTGAAGACGGCAGATACAGATCCTCCGGAACTGGTCAACTTAGTCTCGAGCTTAGAAAAGCTGGAGATTTCAGTCAAGCAACTACAACAATTCACAAGCAGCGACAAGGACTTAAGCCAAGTGCTACAGTGGGAGGAAGAAGGATGGCCACAAAAGCCTCCGGACAAATCACTACAACCATTTTGGAAGAGACGTCAAAAAGTCAACTTGGACGTTTTAGTGATATATACAGCGTAAGGTCGGTCTGCCAGTAGGGGCGACACTGGTTTACACTGTAGATGAGCAATTTCGCCAGTGCAGTACGACTGCTAACCTGGGGTCTTTAACGTGCTCACGCAGTAGTGATACACGACCGCACACCGGTACGATGCTCATCCAGATCGAAACGGGCAGGGTGGGGCTCGAACCCAGGATCCCTGGGTTCTGCAGCGCGAGCTTTCGCTCCACGTGCGTCGAGCTGGGTGTGCACTTTAGTCCACTCGGCCACCGATTCCCCGGGGAACAGACATGATAAGCTAAGCGTGCATCGGAATCTCCTGTACCGAGGAAACCCGAGTGGTTGTGCCAACCCCTGTACGCCAACACATCTTAGACCTGCTGCATGAAACTCACCAGGGAATGGTGGTCATGAAAGGTATGGCGAGATCTCTTGTGTGGTGGCCGAACATGGACGCATAAGTAGAGCGCTGTTCACGACAATGTTCGCAGTGCCTCCAGAACTCCCCAATGCCACCAAAAGCAGAACCGGTACCCTGGCCCGAACCAAAGGAATGCTGGGAGCGTCTCCATCTCGACTACGCAGGACCATTCGAGGGGAGGATGCTACAGGTGTTGGTAGATGCGAAGTCAAAATGGCTTGAAGTCATTATTGTGGCAAGTGCCACATTTGAGCAAACCGTAGAACACCTACGTGACATTTTTGCAAGGTTCGGACTACCAAGGTCCATTGTAACAGACAATGGAACTCCATTCACTGGCCAGCCCTTCCAAGACTTCGTTCAAGGAAATGGGATCAAGCATCTCTGAACTGCCCCTTTTCATCCAGCACCTAAAGGCTTAGCAGAACGAGCTGTTTGCACGGTCAAGGGTGGACTCAAGAAAACAGAGGGAAGACACCTCAAGCTCCGACTTGCTCAATGGTTGCTCATGTATCGCCGAGCACCCCGTTTGAGCGAAATGTCTCCAGCAAAGCAGATGCTGGCTTATCCAATGAAAGCAGGACTGGACCTCTGTATTCCCAGGAGGAGTGAAGAGGCAATCCTAAAGCAATTGCCGACAGAATCTAGGCAACGGGCCGAGCAAGAAAAGGAAAAGGGACTACGCCACAAGAAAGGGAACAAGGTAGCAGTTCGCAATTTCGGCAAGGGACCTCGATGGTGGTTGGGTGAGGGTGACAACACCAGCGGAACATCCATTGTTACTGTGTCAACTCCGCAAGGGCAAGTGCGCCGCCACAAAGACCAAGTAAAGCCACACTTGACCACTTTAGCATCAAGTCCTGGGGAACAACTACCACCCGACAAGGACCAAGGCTACGCAACGAGCGAAGCAAGGACAGTGAAGACCTCAAGGACACCCAATATGGGACGACCCCCACGAACCGTCCGCAAGCTTCTAAGATTCACATAAGTAACCTTCAATAAGAAGGTAGCCTTCATTAAGAAGGGAGGAGTGCTGTGTACGCCCTCACTAGATGGTGCCACCGACCCGCACTGCAACGACTGCGCCGAGGAAGCCTAAGAAACTCTCATCAGAAGGAGCCGACTCTGGAACCGCGTCAAGGAAGGCTGCTGCCATTCCGGCCGCTTGTTGTTAATAAAGTATTATGTTATACCCGAACCCTGAAGTATCCGAAGTACATAACACATACTTTTGAATGTGTTGAATCAGCCTCCCAAACGCACGAAAAAGAGGGGACTTCACTCGCACTTGTCTTTCACTATTGTGCTTTCGAATATGGCAGGTCAGCTTCTCACTTTGAATAAAGGCTTTGGGACACATCTCATCTCACATCTGTAAGGTTTTCGCCCGTGTGTGTTCGAACGTGGATAGTCAGCCCTACGCTACGATAAAGGCTTGGGGGTTCTTTCGCCTGTGTAAGGCAAGGTCTTTCACCTGTGTACGTTTGAATGTGCCATGTCAGATTTCCTCTACAACTAAAGTCTTGAGTGCATACCATAGCTCACATTTGTAAAATGTCTCCCCTGTGTGACTTGAAATGTGGCAAGTTAGCTTGTGAATGCCACTAAAGGTTTGGGGACACTGCTTGCAATTGTCAGGAGTCCTGCTTATGTGATTCGAATGTGGCACGTCAGATTTGCATTTGCACTAAAGAGTTGAGGACGTAGCTCACATTTGAAAGGCTTTTTGCTAGTCCGGTCTTGCATGTGAGAGCTCAGGCAACTACACCGAGAAAGAGTTTACACGCATTGCTGAAGGATTTTCACCAGTGTGGGCTTCAATGTGATTGGCCAATGGACTATTTTTTCGGAATGCTGCTGGGCATAGTTGACACCCAAAACTTCTTTTTGGCTTGTGAATCTCAGCGTGGCACCTTAATTCTTCCTCTTTGGAAAACAACAACAACAACTGCTAGCACTTGAGTTGCTCATCACCGTGGTCAACCAGATGAGTGAGGATTCCACGGTGATCCCCAGTGACTTGGGTGCAGAAACAGCAATTGAAGAGAATGTCCGTCATGGGTTTTTTAGCAGCTGATCTCCTTCGGGCATTCACCTGCATCACCTACACAAACAGACATCATCATGTGTATTATAAAAAACAAACGAAAACACTTCTCCCCTTTTGCCCATTATTGTGACAAAGCTAGTGATAAAACAAAACCAATTGTGTGCTATTTTAAGGCAGGGGTTTTCAACCTGCGGCCTGTGAGGCGAAGTGCCCTTTCAATGGGCTGGATGCAAAGTATTAGCGCCCCTATCGGTTCAGGTGCATTCCAGGAGCAGGAGACTCAACGGGTAGTTTCGGTTTCACCGGGTTTTGCATCTGTCGTCTGTTATCGTCACCGCGTCGCCATTGCTCACTTCGCCATAAACTGCTCCATACTTCTGCGCGGTGCAGAAAATACTCTTTTCTTGTCGTCACTACATGTCAGACACAGCAAATAACGAAACAATTACGATTGTGCTGGCGAACGAAAACACCGCAACAATGAAACCAAATGTATGCAGATCGATGTATGCCGAACACCGTGCCAGCTCGCTGCATGGATTCGTTTGCAACCTTGAGGACAGCTACTGAGGCTAATATTCCAGTTTTATAACACCCTTGGTTCGCCAATCGCTGTTTTCAATCAGCCTACGCGGTATGTGATGAACGTTGCTGGACAAGAATGCGTTCAAGAGTAAACATGCAACTCTTGCTACATCGCTGTGAGTAAATTGGCCACGGGAGCAAGTGTGTCTTAAAACTGGAGTACTAGTCTCAGTGGCTGCTCTCGAGGTTGCAAACAAATGCATGCAGTGAGCTGGCACGGCGTTCACCGTACAACCATCCATATTCACTTGACTTTGTTGTTGCGGCGTTCCTGCTCGCTTCCCGTGCCAACAAAATGGTGATCACTTCATCATTCGCTGCGTATGTAGCGACGAGGAGGAAGGGGTACTTACTGCATCACGCATAGGTGTGGAGCAAGCCACGACGACGTGAGCAATGGCGGCGCAGAGACGACAGCAAGCAACCGATGCACTAACCCAGCAAAACCGAAACTACCTGTTGGCAGTCTCCTGCTCCCAGAGTGCACCTGAACCGCTAGGGGGGCGGTGCTATTTCGCATATTGCCCGGCACCCCCCTAAATGGGCAGAGAGCGTCTTCATTTTCTTTTTACCTTGTTTTACCTGCCCCTGCCTCGCGACTTGCCGTCCGGCCCCCTCCATGTCAGCCTCGTGATAACTCTGCCCGCTGCTGCAAAAGGTTGCTGACCCCAGCTCTAAGGTGACGTTGCACAGATGAACTTGGTACGCCTTTTGTGTCTCGACAGCACGAACACTGCCATGTGCAGTGTTTGTGAAAGAAAAACCTGCCAAAACTAGCACTCCAGTGGGCGTGGAACGTGAAATTTGCGTCTCAGGCAGTCACACACCTTGAACCTGCTCTATTGTAAATTCCCGTTTCCTCCCAAGCATACGCTCGCTCTCTTCCCTGTCACTGCCCGCACGCTCTCCTAACATACGTGTGAGCATGTTCACTTGGCAGCTCCTAGATAATTAGACCGCAGTGCTGAATTTTCTGTTACCCACCGAAGGCCAGCAAGGGGCACACATTGGACACGAGTGGTCTGCTGGTGATCGGCTGGCAATCGTGTTCAATCAGCGGGGACACAAGCTCCGGCCAAAAGCAGATGCAGCACTCGTATTAAACCAATTTTTGTGCAACGTTTCCCGTTACAGGAGTGCGTTACAAACAAAATGCTAGGACTCAGCCATACAACACACTCTGTATTAGAAAGAACAATAATTGAGATAGTCATAAATGCTAGGCACACTTTGACACAGTATTTGGTAGTTTGAGTGAATCTCTGGGCATCTAACTGTTTGACACATCTCAGTGCACCAAACATGCACCAAAAACACTGTTTCCTTTTCAGGTATGGCTAAAACGGCACAAATGGGCATGCTCTTAATTAGAGATAATGCCCACTTGGACATCTCTCCACTCAAAATCATCATTTTCGTAGCTAACAGCAATTAAACGATTACACCCCTTTTCTTTTTCAAATATGCTGCTGGAAATCAAAAAAACACTTTGCAGGCATCCAATCACTAGGTATCTCACTTGAAGATAACTGGCTTTGAAATGCCAAGGGTCAATCTGTTATCTTCATTCTACTTCCCTTTCGGTATAACACCTGTCCTGTAGATTCATCCAAAATAAAGCACCTATTAGCCCCGGGAGCAAACACAAACGTCGCTGCGGTCGCCGCGCCCTGATTGGGTGAGGTGTACCGCAACATCAGAGGTAAGATTCCACTTCGCGATCTTGCATCTGGTTCGCATCCCTGCCCCCGTTGTTTTCCTGGTTTGCAATCATGCTCACCTACTGTTTAGCGGAAGAATTTCCCTGTTAGCTTTAGCGGTGAAAATTTCCTCGCTAGCTTTAGCGGTAAAAATTTTCCCACTATCTTTAGCGGGGAAACGCCCCATAATTAAATGTGCAGTTACGCCGATGGCGACGGCGACGCCGCTCAACCCGGAAACGGGCGCCTAAGAGCTGCGTTCTAAAAAGAAAGTGTCTAAAAGTGTTGAGAACATATATCAAAACAAGCAGAAAGAGAATGGACGTATAAGGATGTAATAGGAATCTTTAAAAAAAAATTACGGAAACATTGAATTAAACAAAAAGAAGTCAAAACGAAGACAGAAACCAAAGTGCTGGTGGGATAAGGAGATCAAAGCAGCCATATCGCAGTGCCAAGAAGCATCTAGGGAGCATAAGTGGGCAAAGAAAAGAGGAGCCTTGCCAGCTGAAGTAGCATGAAAATGGGAGAACTTCCAAGAGCAGAAAAGGGAGGCATTATTAACACAGGCCAAAATTAGGAGTGCAGTGGATGATGTAAATAAATAAAAAAGGTAGGAATGCGGCAACAAGGTTTTACGAGTGCATTAAAGCGCAGGGGAGAAAGACAGGGTTTCTAACACTTACAGACCACACAGGAGGGGAGAGGAGTAGAGAGAGAAGAGGCATGGGAATATATTAGGCAGACAATCAAAGAAGCTTTCTCCCAGCTTGAGCAGAGGGGGCGAGTGGATAGCACTGACAACAGCAGTGTAGAGGACGAGCAGAATTGTGTAGCAAAGGAGGCGACCACAAGGGAATGGGACAAGGCAGAAAGTAAAGTTCCAGCAGGTACAGCGACAGGCCCAGACAACATACCCATGAAGCTCATGAAGACACTAGAAAAAACAAGTGAATTGAAGTTATGGCATGTGATTAGTCAGATAATTATGGGAGGAGCAGTTATTCACTGCTTCATCATTTATCGTTTGTGACAATATGTCTCTTCCGCCTTGTAGCTTTCAAACCTAAGAAGCGCCCACCCTGTGGTTTTTTCAATAATCTCCAAATCTTGAGTGGGCACTTGCTCTGTATTTTACGATTGTACAGGAGAACCTACCTCAACTCCTTGCAGCTGTTTGGGTTCATTTGTCCCATCTGTGCTTTCAGGTTCCTTCAGTGGGGGTGTGACTGCTGGTGCTGGAGAAACTGGCGAGTCCATGGTGGCCGTAGGTGGTGCAGCTTGAGGCACGTTCGGCGAGGATGTTGCGGAGTGGGTGAGATTTGTAACAGGTGTTGCGGCTCTTCTCTGCTTCTTAGTTCTAAAAAGAAAAATTGAAAATTCACACCGTCACTTCCCCAATTGATTACAGTGCAGGCTGACATCGAATGAGAAAACCTCTCAGTTTAACTGGGAGGGGGGGCAACTATTGTAAGTTTTCAAACAGTTGCAATCAGCAGTGTCTGCCTCAAACTGAAATATCACGCACAGACCGAGGTGAGGCAGTAGAATTGCTTTAGATTGAAGCAATCTCGTCAGCTAGTTAACAGCCAACGGGTATCATGAATATGCTCTCCCCCTCTCTCCTTCTTAGGCTCCGGCAAAAGACCAAAACAAAAAAAACTTTCAGCCTTTGCACTCTGGTGAAGAAGAAAGACCAGCGAAGCAGTACTATGGTGGGACGACCTCAAGGACGATACCTAGAGGACGTCTTGGACGACCTCAAAGACGTCTAGAGCAACCCCAAGGTCGACCTCAGGGACAACGCCTAGGAGACCTCAGGGACGCTGTCAAAGACAACGCCTACGACGACCTTAAGGATGACCTGGAGGACAACAACCAGGACGACCTCAAGGACGACCTCAAGAATGATTTCTAGGACGACTTCGAGAACAACCTTTCGAAAGACCTCAAAGGACGACGTCTAGGACGACCTGGAGGACGACTTCTAGGCATACCTCGGCAAACCTCACTCATGAGGGCCCTCACTCACCCTCACTCACCCTCATCTTCACAGGTGAGGTGAGGGTGAGTGAGTTTCTGAACCAGGAAAATTCATGAGTGTGAGGGTGAGTGAGGTCCGTGAGGGCTGTGAGGGCGGTGAGGGCGGTGAGGGCGGTGAGGGCGGTGAGGGCGGTGAGGGCTGTGAGGGCGGTGAGGGCAGTGAGGGCGGTGAGGGCGGTGAGGGCGGTGAGGGCGGTGAGGGCCGTGAGTGCGTGAGTGGTGTGAGGGCGGTGAGTGCGTGAGGGGTGCGAGGGCCATGAGTGGCGTGAGGGCAGTGCGTGGCATGAGAGGCGTGAGGGCCGTGAGGGCGGTGAGTGCATGAGGTGGTGTGAGGGCCGTGAGGGCGGTCAGTGCGCGAGGCCCCCTTCAGGTCGAGCATCTTTCTCAGCAATTTTGGTGTTAATGGCGGGTTGTTCTCTAGCTTTCCCTAGATCGACACGAATTGCTGAGATCGGGTCCGGCTCGAAATAAGCAAGCAACTCGGAGCAATTCGAATACGTTTGAAGCGGCTGCATCTAATCAGGGACGCAAAATTTTCACGTGATACCTCGTGCCGGCGATGACGACACCGAAAGACTTGGTTCTCGTTTGAAATCGATCGTTTTTTGGAAATAAACTGTTTCAGAAAGGTGCATTAGTATTCTTAACGGGATTTAAATGCATAAAAACACGTTTATAACGCTTAATTGTGTCTAAATAGTGCAAGAAAAATAAAATTTTATGATGACGATGGCAAATTGCAGCAAGTGGTTGCTGCGTGTGATCGCGGGCGGCGCGTGTTGCTGGTGTTGCGACGTAAAGTTTCTGGCCGAAATTGCCCCATCTGAAGCTGGCTTGAGTGGCGTGCATGAGTGACGTGAGGGCGGTGAGTGGCGTGAGGGCGGTGAGGGCGGTGAGGGCGGTGAGGGCGGTGAGTGGCGTGAGGGCTATGAGTGCGTCAGGGCCATGAGGGCCGTGAGGGCCGTGAGGGCGGTGAGGGCCGCGAGGACGGTGAGGGCTATGAGTGCGTGAGGGCCGTGAGGGCGATGAGGGCGGTGAGGGCGGTGAGTGGCGTGAGGGCGGTGAGTGGTGTGAGGGCCATGAGTGAGTGAGGGGCGTGAGGGCCGTGAGTGCGGTGAGGGGCGTGAGGGCCGTGAGGGGCGTGAGGGCCGTGAGGGCCGTGAGGGCGGTGAGTGCGTGAGGGCCGTGAGGTTCAGTGAGGGTGAGTGAAGGGCTGAAGGTGAGTATGACTGTGAGGGTGAGGGTGAGTGAGGGACTTAGGTGAGTGTGGCTGTGAGGGTGAGGGTGAGTGAGGGCGACCTAAAATGCCGACCTCTGCTTCTAGGACACCTAGAGAAATTCAGCCTTTCCACTCTGATGAAAACCAGAGTGGAAAGGCTGAATTTTGCACCTCCAACAAAATGGACGCTGCATATTTTTGTGTGCAGAGTGGGCTCCCAGTTTGTTCCATTGGCACTGGAATATGCAGACATTAGTGACACAAGAAAAAATCATGAGCCATACCACTCTGTGAAGGTGGATGACCAGCGAAGCTGTTTAGCACACGATACAGACCCACCCTGAGAGGCCAGAAGAAACTAGGGATGTGCGACAGGACCGCCATTCCAGGAGAGCGGAAGGAAAGGAAACTAGGCATGCAAACGGCTTGGAACGACAGCAAAAAGAGGGCGGTGCGAGCGTAGACATGGCCAACACGGGTTGCAGAGGCAAATCTTTGAAAAACCTTCATTATCTACCCCTACCGATCTTTAAGTTGTGCCTCTACTGAATAGGCCTCCCTATTGATAAAAAGATTTTTTACTGGAATTTTATTTCCAGTAAAAAATCTAAGTTTACTGGATTATGGGACTCTTCACTTCCGGTAAAGCCAGAATTTACCGGATTTGCCTGGATTCACCGGAAATTACCGGAAGTCACCATATCTATCGAAATTGAACAAAACTTGCTTAATGTCGAGAGTTGGGCTAGTTGGTATTCGTTGATCATAATGCAAAAACAGCGCAAACAAACACGGACGAAGGAGAAGAAACACGAAGACGGGGCAGCGCTTGTCCCGTCCGCGTGTTTCTTCTCCTTCGTCCGTGTTTGTTTGCGCTGTTTTTACATTATGAACAAAACTTACTCTTCTTTTTTTCGGAAGTTAACGGAAGGGTTTAGGAAGAAGCCTGTGAACCGTATGTTTACCAGATGTTGGACGATTTGGTAACCATTAAGGGGGGACACTACCCAGAAAAAACAATTTCTGCAAAAAAGTTGATTTTGAAAAATGTCATATTTATATCCACCAACATCTAGAGAGTATTCCCAGAAGGTTTCATAAGTTTACACTGCATATTTATATTTTTATGGATTATTTTCAGTCCACCATTGCTAAAGAAAAGGTAGAGGTTGGAGCCCTCTGAACACATTTTTCTCCATTCCACTTTTTGCCATAAATTTCACTTTAGGAAAACTATCGCTTTGTTATTACGTAACTTCGATTCATTTTTGAGTTTTTCTGGGGTACAATTTTAAGGGGAAGATAGCTATGAGCTTGTATTTTTTATTCTTGTCATTTTTCATGCCCAAAAACTAAAATTTTGGACCAAGGATGGAAATCTAAAAAAAGTTTGTGTTTATGTGGCTTTTTTGTCATGAACGATGGTATAATATAAAAATATAGCTTCATAGCTATCTGCTCTGAACTGTCCTAAAGCAATATAACACATGAAAACAACAAATTTATAAGTAATTTCAGAACGATAGTTTTCCTACGCAGATACGCCCACATTCACCTTTGAACATTTGCAATTTGTTTTGTACTTCACTCAGGTTCAAAAATTTGTCTCAAATTTTCTCCACAGCAACAGAAACTCACCCTGTAAATGTCATTTAAATCAGTCAAGTGGATAAAATATTAACCTTGTTGGGTCCCTTAAATCAGTTAGTTTATATACAGTCAAACCCGGATATATCAAATTCAAAGGGGATTGTAAAATAGTTTGATATATTGATAATTTGATATACAAAAATATTTTAACTTAAGCTCCCAGTTGAAATTTCCACGCATCTCTGTTAATACCGAGGGCCGCGACAAACAGGACCTTGCCAAATAGAGCCCCTAAGAGCCGCTAAATACAGTATAGAGCTTAGTTAATGAAGGTCACAAACACCGCCGCGTTTACACGACTGTGTTTGCGATCGTTTACGCCTGGCCATGATTTCGACACAAAGCCGGCAACAAAACACAAAAATAATGTAAAAAAAACGAGCCGCATAAAAAAAAGAAAAAAAACTTTCGATTCAAAAAAAGAAACATCACTAAAATCAGGCAGCAAAAAAAAAAAAAAACGGGCAAAGCAAAAGTGGCATAAGGGAAAGGTAAACAAAGATAAGGCATTCAAAGTGTAATTGCTGAACCGTTGTCCACACACTCAACTTGACAAACTTCTCTTTTTGCTTATTCAATTTTGGGGCTAAAGAATCTGGCAGTAACAGCAGTGTTCAGGGAAAGAGCGCACGCTGCCGTTCCAACAGCAACACTTCCTGCCCTCCTTATGCGCACAGGTGCCCTTCCCCTTGCTTTTGCCATCTTCCTTTTTGTTTTTGCAACTGTTTTTTTGTTGCGTCTCTCTGCGAGTGTGCGCTGGCTTGGCAGTCTGCCAGCCCCGCAATGCGAGCTAACGTATATGCTCGCAGCCAGCGCCAATCCGACCTGGGGAGAAGGGACTGGCGGCAGTGCTTAGTTTGCTATACTAGAGTGTCCTCGCCATGGGAGTTTGATAGAGAAAAACAATGTTCCTGTACTATGACATGCGATTTTCAAGGGGATCCTTGGACTGTTTGATATAAACAATAATTCGAAATACCCGGGTGTGATCTAAATCTAACCGAGCTCGACTGTAGACCCGCAAGTTCCATGTCTTTACTTCACAGGGTCGCTAACAGTAAAATAATTTGCACAACCAAACCTATAACAGTCCATGCACAGGATATTAAGGAAAAAATCCCATAAAATGCAACATAGTGCTGCCAATGATGGCAGTGAAGCAGTGATCTAAACACTTAGAGGAACTGAAAGTATGAAAAATAACTGGGCGGGTGTAAATAAAACAAAGCTTTTAGTACCAGGAAAAAGAAGTGTAGGGGGTAAAAAAGAGTGCAGGGGGTTGTTTTAAAAAGCAAACAAGCCATTTCACAAGTCGGCAGCACGCTTGATTCCCATGCCTCTTGCCAGGGTTCGATTTCTGCCAGCGTTTAGTCCTTTTTATCCTTTTTTTTCTTTGCATGACTGGAATGTTTCAGATAGATTGAAAATCTTGTTGTTCATTCAAGCTCGGAATGTTCTAGATACGCACACACTTTCACAAGGAGATTCTCGTGACTGCTTGAAAGCAGTCCCCTATCCATCGCCGTCAAATCGTGTACGGTGTCTTTTTCCTTTTTTGTTTCTCGGCACTAATTCACCGCGTTAAACTTTCATTTAAAGTTTTATTCATCCAGTTCATGTTTTTATTTCTGACATCACGAGAATAGAAAAAAAAAAACACACCACAAATGTTCAAAGAAAAACAATTCACACAGACGTGGCCTCCTTTGCCGCCAGCTGCTCCAGGCGCTTCCTGACCCTGCGGCCACAGTCCGTGAGATAGTTGGTCATCAGGTCACCCAAGGCAGCGACCCTGACAACGTCCACCTCGTTGGCCCTTGGGTGCAGTGCCACGTACCTCCCCAGCAGATCTACAAGGGCAACAAGTGCATTAGCCCTCAACAACAAATCATTTCCTCAAAATGAAGCAAGAAAACCAAAGACAATCCATTGGGACTAAAAACAGTTCATATCTACCACAGTATCTTGACAAATGCCCACCCAAACTGATAGCATGAACAGTAAATATATGAGGTTGGCCATCAGGGGATAAAACTGCATAATTTTAAAATAAAAGTAGAAAATACTCGGGCACTGGCTACAAACTCGCGCGATATGGGAACAGATACCGCAGACGCGGCAAACTCGCGTTCCTGCGAGGCTGTTTAAACAGGTTAATAAAATCGTGAGGGATTTCTGATTCAAGCACAAAATAATTTTTTGCATGTAAAATCAGAATTACAATTTCTTTACCAATGGACTTTTATATCGGCAGTTTGCATACATGCCAGCAACAACAATCAATAAAGCCACAAAACAAAAAGGGCAATGCCCAGCTGTGTGCGGGAACTTCAAATTCGGATTCCGGGAATAGCTGTTTTTCTTTCCAAAGTAATTTCCAAGCTTCACTTGTTTAGGGTGATGTCCAGGCACCATTTCTGAGGCATCCAGGAAAATAAAAACAAAATTGAAGTTTGAACTTTCAGTGCTTTTTTCATTAATGCAGGACAAAATACACAAGAATTATTATACAGCAACAAATATTTAAGTTAAACCATATTGTCACGGGTGGTGACCAAAAAACAATAGATGAACAGGAAGAAATAAACGTTTAATGTGGCGAACTTGTGCCAAAAATAAAAGAGTACAAAAGATAATAACAAAGCGTCGCGGGCGTCGAAATCGGCGAAACCGCAGGATCGAGCACTGGGGCGAGACTGACTGCGCTCGCCTGGCGGGATCCCTTATGTACCCTCGTGGGTTTCTGGATCGTTCGGCGTAGAAGGTTCGGCGCGTAGAACATTCTAACCGCGAATCAACAAGACGGTTCTCGAATTCACCAGAACATCAAATTACACTCTCAACAAAAATGTGTAGCCGCTGCCAGGAATCGAACCCTGGCCTTCTGCGTGAGAGGCAAGCGCGATAACCGTTAGGCCACGCGCGCGCTGCCTACTTGGCCAGCTGCGCGCGCGGCCTTACTCCCCCCTTTAAAAATTGCATCGTCCCGATGCAACCCAAAAACAAAACAAAGCAAATAAAAAGAACGGTAAACTAAAGAGTATTTGGAATACGTAAGGTCCACTGTCCTATCGAGCGTAGTACGGCTTCATGCGCACGACGTGGACGACTTCTGGTCGTGGAGGGCGGCGTGATGAAGTCCGTGTTCCGTCGGGCATCACCTCGTAGTTCAGATCCCCGAGTCGACGAAGCACTTTGTAGGGTCCAAAGTAACGTTTCAGGAGCTTCTCGCTGAGACCGCGGCGGCGAATCGGTGTCCACACACACACCCTCTCTCCGGGCTGGAAGTGGACGTCCCGACGACGAAGGTTGTAGCGGCCAGTGTCGACACGTTGTTGAGCCTGAATCCAAAGTCTGGCGAGCTGACGGACTTCTTCTGCCCTTTGGGCAACCACCTGGGCGTCGTCGCTTGCGTCGACAGCCGCTTCGTGGGGTAACATAGCGTCCAGCATTGTCGTTACCTTGCGCCCATGCACCAGCTGAAAGGGTGTCATTCCGGTGGTCTCTTGTACGGCCGTGTTGTAGGCAAATGTGACGTACGGCAGCACCTCGTCCCATGTCTTGTGCTCCACGTCGACGTACATGGAGATCATGTCGGCGATGGTCTTGTTGAGTCTCTCCGTTAGCCCGTTGGTCTGCAGGTGGTACGCCGTGGTGCGGCGATGGCTGGTGTGGCTGAGACGAAGGACTTCTTGCGTCAGCTGGGCCATGAATGATGATCCACGGTCTGAGATCAGGACTTCGGGAGCGCCGTGCTGGAGGACGATGGATTCAATGAAAAACTTGGCAACTTCCACAGCAGTTCCGGAAGGAAGGGCTTTCGTTTCGGCATACCGCGTGAGATAATCTGTGGCGACGATGATCCAGCGATTTCCCGACGTCGACGGCGGAAAAGGGCCAAGTAGATCCATTCCGATCTGCTGGAAGGGTGCTGTTGGCGGAGCAATTGACTGCAAGAGTCCGGCCGGCCTCGTCGGAGGTTTCTTTCGTCGCTGGCATTCATGACATGATCGCGTGTACAGGTGGACGGTTTTGGGGAGCTTGGGCCAGTAATACTTTTCACGAATACGTGCCAGGGTCCGGCTGTAACCAAGGTGTCCGGACGTCGGGTCGTCGTGGCAGGCTTGAAAGATCTCCTCCCGAAGGTCGGTCGGGATTACCAGCAGCCATGGCGAGTTGTTGTTCCCGAAGTTCTCTTTGTAGAGTACACCTTGTCTAATGGAGAAGGTCGGCAGCGCTCGTGAAAAAACACGTGGCATGGCACTCCCGCGCCCTTCCAGGTGCTCTATTAGTGCGCGCAGCTCAGGATCGTCTCGTTGACGCCGGGCCATGTCGTCGATGTTCACTGCGCCCAGAAAACACTTGTCGTCATCGTTGTCGCTGCTGCCGGAAGGTGTTGCGACGGGAGCTCTGGAAAGGCAGTCGGCGTCGCTGTGCTTGCGGCCTGACTTGTAGACGACGGTCATGTTGAACTCTTGTAGTCGGAGACTCCACCGCGCGAGGCGTCCTGACGGGTCCTTGAGGTTCGCAAGCCAGCAGAGCGAGTGGTGGTCCGTGACTACCCGGAACGGGCTCCCGTATAAGTATGGACGAAACTTCGTGATTGCCCAGACGACCGCAAGGCATTCTTTCTCAGTCGTGGAGTAATTTCTCTCCGCCTTGGTCAATGTCCGACTTGCGTAGGCGATGACTTGCTCGGTGCCTTCTTGTACTTGAACCAAAACCGCGCCAAGCCCTGCGTTACTTGCGTCCGTGTGAATCTCGGTTTCCGCATCCTGGTCGAAATGTCCAAGAACAGGAGGAGTCTGCAGTCGTCGCTTCAGCTCGTCAAATGCCTGCTGCTGTTCATCGGCCCATTCGAACTTCTCGGCGTCCTTCGTGAGGTGTGTGAGCGGTGCGGAAATTCTTGCGAAATCTCGAACAAAGCGCCGATAGTAGGCACATAGCCCAAGGAACCTTCGGACGGCCTTCTTGTCTCTTGGCGCTGGAAATGCTGCGACGGCACGAGTCTTCTCGGGGTCTGGGCGGACACCTTCGTTACTAACCACGTGGCCGAGGAACTTCAGTTCGTCATAAGCGAACCGACACTTTGACGGCTTCAGGGTGAGTCCGGCGGTCCGTATGGCTTGGAGAACTGCTCGGAGTCGTCGCAAGTGCTCGTCGAAGTCGCTGGAAAACACGACGACGTCGTCGAGGTAGACGAGACAGCTCTGCCACTTCAGTCCTGCCAGTACGGTGTCCATGACACGTTGGAAAGTTGCTGGCGCCGTGCACAGTCCGAAGGGCATTACTTTGAACTCGTACAGTCCATCCGGCATGACGAAGGCTGTCTTTTCTCGGTCCCTTTCGTCGACTTCGATCTGCCAGTAGCCGCTCTTCAGGTCCATCGATGAGAAATATCGAGAGTGGCACAGCCGGTCTAGAGTGTCGTCGATGCGGGGGAGTGGGTAGACCTTTGTCACCGTGTTCAGCTGCCGGTAGTCTACACAGAACCTAAGCGTCCCGTCTTTCTTCTTAACCAGTACGACTGGAGAGGCCCAAGGACTGCTTGAAGGTTGAATTATGTCGTCGTTCAGCATTTCTTGAACTTGCTCCTGGATCGCCTGCCTTTCTTTAACGGAGACTATGTATGGCGATCGATGCACAGGGCGCGCGTCGTCCTCGGTAACGATGCGGTGCTTCGCAACGGTGGTTTGGCGCACCTTCGACGACGTGGCAAAGCAGTCGCGGTATTCGGCGAGAAGGTTAATCAACTGTCGTCGTTTTGGGCCCGGGAGTTTAGGGTCAATGTCGAGCTGCGCTGGCGACGCACTGTCTTGCTGAGGTGGCGAGAATTCGTCAGTAATGGCGGCGACAGCGGCGGAGTTTTGGAGTTCCTCGACCTGGCCCACGGCTGCACCTTTTGTGAGGTGTTGCGCTTCATATCGGAAGTTCGTGACGAGGACCACAGTGCGGCCATCCTGAAGTTCAGCAACTCCTCTTGCGACGCCTATTCCTCTTCCCAGAAGCAACTGGAGGCTTCCTTCGAGCAGAACTTCGCCGCAGAAATCTTCGGTGATCCCGACGGGTACGAAAACACTCGACCGCGGCGGTAAGTTCACGTGGCTGGCGAGGACTCGGACCGCAGATGACGTCGCTTTGGGTTCCTCCGGTGGTGAAACAGGCTTTCGCAGCATCAACCGGTTTGCTCCGAGGTCGATGACGGCGCCATACTCGCAGAGGAAGTCCATTCCGAGGATAACGTCCCTCGAACAGTCTTGCAGAACGACGAACTTTACAGGGCACGTCTCACCGTGGATCTCGACGCGAGCGGTGCATCGCCCGACTGGTGTGATGAGGTGCCCACCGGCGGTTCGTATTTGAGGTCCATCCCACGGCGTCGTGACTTTTCGAAGGCGGCGGGAGAGCCTTCCACTCAAAACTGAGTAGTCTGCTCCGGTGTCCACGAGTGCCGATGCGTCGTGGCCGTCGATGATGACGTTTAGGTTGTTGGACACCGTTTCATGAGCGTCGTTTCGGTCTCCGGTAGCATTCGAGTGGGGGCCCTCCGACGTTCGTGGAGGATCTTGGCGTCGGTCGTCTTCGGCAACTCCACCTCCAGGGGTTGCCGCGCCTAGTTTCCCCGGCGTGGAGCGAGGGGCGACATGCTTTCACGTCGGGGTCGGTGCATCGGCGAAGCTGGACGTCGTGGTGAAGGCGATCGGAACTCTCGGCGGGACGCAGGCTCGGGGGACTGGGGTCGTCGCAAGTACTCGTCGATCTCCCGAGGGCGTTCACCATACCTGGGACGCGGGTCGCTTGGGTGGAATCCGCGCAGCCCGAGTCGTCGGTATGGGCATCGGCGGTACACATGGTCAGCTTCCCCGCAGTGGTAACACAGCGGGCGTCGGTCGGCCGTCCTCCAGACGTCTGTCTTCCTCGGCGCAGGTCGGTCTGGGTGAACGTGCGCCTGATCTTCCTGTCGTCGGGGATACTGCGGCGTTGGGGCGTCTCTTCGGGGTGGCGCCGCGGCTTGGCGGGGAGCTTGCGGCGGTCGTCGGGCTATGGCAGCGTAGCTCAACGTCGGTTCCTGCGGTGCCACCGTGGTGATGGGAACCTCTGGTTGGAGCGCCCGTTGTACTTCCTCGCGCACAGCCTCGGCAATGGAAAGTGTCGCTGGACGACTTGCGGCTGGCAGCAACTGGCGGAGTTCCTCCCGGACGACCTCCCGGATAATTTCGCGGATATCCGTACCAGGAGCGTGCTCGCCGCCAAGCAGCGCGGTTGCAGCGACACTTGGATGTCGCTGGTAGTGGGAAGCGCGCGCTTGGAGGGCGCGCTCGATGTTTGTCGCCTCGGTGACGAAGGCTTCGACGGTGCCCGGCGGGTTGCGCACGAGGCCTCCAAAGATGTCGTCTCTCACCCCGCGCATGAGGACCCGCAGCTTCTTGTCGTCTGTGGCTCGTGGGTCGGCACGGGCGCTCAGGCGGAGGACATCTTCTACGAAGCTTGTGATGCTTTCGTCGGGGCCCTGCGTTCGAATTCTGAGGAGATCTTCTGCCTTCTCCCGTCGGTGTAGGGTGGCGAACGTCCGCTGCAACTCGGCCACACAGATGTCCCACGACGTAAGCGAAGCCTCGTGATTCTCGAACCAATGCCTCGCAGTACCCTCCAGCGAAAAGTAGAGGTTCTGGAGGCACTGCTCCGCAGTCCATCCGTTGTGCCGCGCCACACGCTCGTAGTGCTTGATCCAGTCTTCGACATCCTCATGGATCTCACCGTGGAAGGGAGTCGGCGTACGGGGAGCGGCGGGCAGGTAGACGACGGCAGAAGCGGCGGGGGTCGGCGACTGGTCGGCCATCGTCGGCTTCGTTGGCTGCTTGGTCCTGGGCGGCAGAAGTCCGAATTCCGGGTGTAGGCCTTGGGTGCGACGACTGAACCGGATCTCGGTAGTGCCTTCGTCGGTTCTTCGTGGGCTTGGCGTCGGACTTGCACTGCGAACCCTCGGAGGGGAACGCTGCACGGGCATGCGTTACCCAGCACCTCCACCAATATGTCACGGGTGGTGACCAAAAAAACAATAGATGAACAGGAAGAAATAAACGTTTAATGTGGCGAACTTGTGCCAAAAATAAAAGAGTACAAAAGATAATAACAAAGCGTCGCAGGCGTCGAAATCGGCGAAACCGCAGGATCGAGCACAGGGGCGAGACTGACTGCGCTCGCCTGGCGGGATCCCTTATGTACCCTCGTGGGTTTCTGGATCGTTCGGCGTAGAAGGTTCGGCGCGTAGAACATTCTAACCGCAAATCAACAAGACGGTTCTCGAATTCACCACAACATCAAATTACACTCTCAACAAAAATGTGTAGCCGCTGCCAGGAATCGAACCCTGGCCTTCTGCGTGAGAGGCAAGCGCGATAACCGTTAGGCCACGCGCGCGCTGCCTACTTGGCCAGCTGCGCGCGCGGCAATATGGAACACTCAAGAATACAAAAAAAAAACACCTTATGTGAGGTTACTTTCTTCTAACGAAACCCGATGAGAATTCGCCCATAAATATTCCTTCTGGACCTCACAGTACCCGGGTATTTTCTGCCCAAGAATATGTTCAGATACGATCAAACATGCGAGTCCGGTTCGCATTTGTGATTTTCTTCATAGTTTTATATGCTACTCCCCAATATGTGGAGGTAACGAAATCCCAAATATTTTCTCAAAAAGACATATCTCTAAAGAAAAAAAAACATGACTGCCCCAAGATGATGATATCGCCGTTTTCAGGGGTTTGTTGGTTCTGTAAAACTGAATTTTTTAAGAAGCAGTAAATTATAGTTACTATATTCTTGAATGTTTACAGAATCCTAAAAAGTATATATCGCGCATAAGCAATTCACAAATTTGGTTGCTTTAACATTTTGGCCCCATTTTTGCGACTCGTTATCTCGTTATATGTCAAGGACATTAAACAAACTTTTTTCGTATGTTCTTCATAGAAGCGTGTCTTGTCAAAAAATAAATTGCTGGTCTAATTTATAGTTAAAAATATTTACAGCGTCTTAAACATATCCGAAATTGAAAAGTTTCGCAACTTCAATGTGCAATTAAAAAAAAAAAAACATCTTCGATCTCTTTAAAAGTTGGAGGAATCACACTCCTTTACGCTCTCGTAATATCTCATTAAAAACATGTACGTATCATTTTGTCTCTGTCAAAAGTTTTGCGCTTTGATATGCACTTCGCATGCGGACATAAGTTTGCCTAAGGCCACGGCCACAATGGCTGTTTTCTAATTTTTTTTTGTTTAGAACATCTCAGAGTGTCCTGTTTCTTACTGGTGCACAAGTCCGAATTATACATCTGGACCACTCTAAATACATCTATGAAGTGCACACAGCTCACTCAGGACAGCAGTTTGAAGCATCCAAGATGCAAACTGTGAGGAGCCCCACCCTTTGTGGAAACACAACCTCCCGCACGAGATGCTTGGCTCAATAGAAAGAAAATGACATGTATAACCAAGAAGCTCCCAATCCCAAACACACACAAAAAAAAATACTGCTTTCAGACGCTGTTTGCCTAAGTAAACTGACGGAGCTGGAAAAGTCGGGCTGGTAGGGTTTTTATGCATAAATGAATAAATAAATCCAAACGCAGACATGGGGAGACGGCAGCTCCAATTCCAAACTAAAGGTGTCGCTTGCTACACTGTAAGGAATGAAATGAGCATGCTGGTAATGTGTATACATTTCAGGAAAGGTGACTCTGAGATCATTTAACACCCGACCGCTAAACGTAAGTTGGATTGCGGTTGTTGCGCGGTTGACTATTCCTCGACCAGTAGAATCGGCGGTCACCCCTGCACATATGGCCGATATTATGGAGACGTTCAGCATGCATCATTCAAAGGACAACTTCAGTTTCCCCTTGATAAGCCTACCTAGGAAAGAGATTAACTTCCTTCTGTAGCAGCTTCTCTCTCATTTCCCAAACTGCGACGTTGTTCAAGAGGCACCACTTTCTGCCATGGCGTGAAATATTTCCTGCTTAGGTTTCTCCTACCTTCACCCTTTCCCCCCTCCCTTTAATATCACATATATACAAACTCACGGAACAATAAATGTTGTTGCTAGTTGTAAGTTTTGTCTGTCTGTCCTGTGTGTGATCCTTTCCTCAAATGTAATGCCACACTGGTGTGCGCAAACCTATACCCCCCGCCTTGCCTCCTTCCCCCCCCCCCTTTCCTTGTTCGTGATTTGCTGATCAAGGGAGTTTCCCTTGAGCATTGAGTGTAAATATTTATTTACTTATTCCTTCATTCATGTAAAAATGCATAAAAACCCTACCAGCCCGGCTCTCCCAGCACCGTCAGTTTACTTGGGTGAACAACATCTGAAAGCGAGTTTTTTCTTTTTTTTCTTTTTGTGTGTCTGGGGTTGGGAGCTTCTTGGTTGTATGTACTGTTTTCTTGCTATCGAGTGTAGTATCTCCTGCGAGGGGTTGTGTTACAGTTCGCACGACCTCGCAGTGGCCTATGCAACAACTAAGCACGAAGGGCGGGCTCCCCACCGTTCGCCTCTTTGATGCTTCGAACTGCTGTCCTGAGTGAGCTATGTGCACTTCATAGACGTATTTAGAGCGGTCCAGATGAATAGGTAATTCAAACTTGTGCACCAGTAAAAAACAGGACATTGTGCGAAGTTCTAAACAAAAAAACTGGAAGGCAGCCACGGCGGCTGTGGCCTTGGGCAAATATGTCCACGTGGGAGGTAAATTTCAAAGCGCTGCGCTTTTGACAGGGACGAAATGATGCAACATATTTTTAATGGAATATTAGTAGAGTGTAAAGGAGAGTGATTCATCCAAATTTTAAAAAGATCGAAAAAGTTTTTTGTTCTTTCCATTGCACGTTGAAGTTGTGAAACTTCTCAATTTTGAATATGTTTGAAGCGCTGTGAATATTTTGAATTATAAACTAGACCAGCAATTTATTTTTTGATAAGAGACACTTTTATAAGGGACACATGAAAACAGTTTGTTTAATATCCTTAACACGAAATAAGATAATGAGTCACAAAAATGGCAGAAAAACGTTAAAGCAGCCGAATTTGTTATCTTTTATGTGTGAAATATAATATTTTATAATCCTGTAAACATTTAAGAATACAGTAACTATAATTTATTGGTGGAAATGGAGCGTGCTGGTTAAGTTACGGTGTTTGTGGAGAATAACATAGAGGAGGAAAACCGGACGACACGTTTCTCCAACAGTTGGAGAAATGTGTCGTCCGGTTTTCGTCCTCTATGTTATTCTCCACAAACATTGTAATTTACTGCTTCGTAAAAAATAATCTTTTTTTTTAGCTTGCTTTTACATGCACTTAAACTTGACAGAACCGACAAAATCTGAAAAAAGTGTTGTTGTATGGAAGCAATCAAGTTTTTTGTTTTCTTTAGAAAACATTTATGATATTGTTTTCTCCATATATTGGGGAGTAGCATATAAAAATATGAAAGAAAAAAAAAATGCAAACTGGGGACACGTGTTTGAACTCATCTGAACACACCCCCAAATACAATTATTTCATGTAGCTGCTGAGAGTCAAGGAATCACGATGGAGATTCAACCCACTGTCGTCACCCTCATGTAGTCTTATGGCCACTTACTCCTCAGTGCCTCCATCTTTTCAGGTGAAGCCTCCCTTTTAGCCTTGGAGCCTGGTTTGTTCCGGCACGCTGTGCCGGTCACGCTCCTCGACGCCAGCTGCTCCTGAGTCCACAGGCACTTGGACCCTTCTATCACGCACTTCGAGTCCGATTTTGCTGACAGTGCCAAGTTGAATTTGGGCAGTGGCATGGAGACGCCTGGGCTAAAATACACCTGCAAAACACAACACACGTGTTCACAAGCTCATTTCCAGTTTTCGGTTAATCTTTCACAACCACTGTAGAATTGCAAATCTTGTACACACAATGTCATGATAACTTACGTGGCCGTCAATCACGTCAAACAGCTTGGGTTTAGTGACTGGAGGGACATTGGCCTGCCTTTGTTCCGGCACTGTTAACATAAACATCATTGGTGAGAGACAGCTGGAAAAGAGTTCTTCAAGCTGACACTGCATTCGTTAAATACACAGGCTGTTTTTTACAGCAGAGCTGTTAAGGGCTAGGTTCCCCAGGATCGTGTCTGCGTATGTCGACACAAACCTACCTGGACAGCTACCGCCATCTATAAGCGACGGCAGCAAGCACACAACCAGTATGGTTTCCGCCGTCGCTCGTAGATGGTGGCAACCTTTCCAGCTATAATAGAGGAATGGATAATTGGGCGTGTTGGTGGGAATTCATCGTAGGAAACAGAGCGAAAAACAGACGACAACGAAGAAGCACACAGTGTATCGAGTACAGCTCCGCTGGTCTTCCTTCTTCACAAGAGTGGAAAGGCTGAACTTTTTTGTTTAACGATTACAGATTTTTCTAAAAAAAAGCCATGAAAGTTAAGTAATTGAAGTTTGCGTAGGTGGGTTATACGGCCAGACGGACATTAAGCGCTGTTCACACTCTTGCAACCGAGTACGACCGAGAGAGATAAGACCAGTTTTTATTCCTCTTACGACGTCTTAGAACCAGCTCCGCAGCAAGAGTGTGAACGAGCCTAAAGGCTCGTTCACACTCTTGCAACCGAGTACGATTGAGAGAGACAAGACCAGTTTTTATTCCTCTTACGATGTCTTAGAACCAGCTCCGCAGCAGCGCGCCTGGGTTTAAGATGTCGCAAGAGGCTCAAAAACTGGTTCTGTCGCTCTCTGTCTTACTCAGTTGCAAGAGTGTGAACGAGCCTTTAGGTTTGAGAAAGAAAGCAGATAAAAACTGGCTGTTTGCCTCAAATTCACTAATTAACTTTTTATCATTCAAAGAAAAAGGTTTCTATTAGAATGTTGTTGGGCATCATCGAAAACCCCCTAATCACCCATTTTTTAAAGGATGCAACGCATGTACACCATTCTGAGGTGTCCTGAAAAGCCTCCTTATTTAGGTGCGAAAAAGTAGTTCCAATTTGTTATCGACTATGATCTTCGCAAGGCGCAGGCCCGCTTTAAGCAGCCAAAGCGACTAATCACGCCCATCGTCATCATGACCATGCCTCCAAAGAAGGGAAGAGCTAAGGTGACGCAGCACCCTTTGCCAGGAGCGCGATGGCCGTGCTATATCTTTATCAAAACAGGCGATCTGTAGGTTTTCGATGATGCCCTGGGGGATCGGCGCCTCTTAGTCATGAATATGCAAAAATGTTCCCTTTGCATATTTTCCAAAATGTTGAAAAATTGTGGGTGGGCACTTATAGTGGAATAAGCGGATGCTCGGCATTTTACAGTAATTCTTCCTCCTTTCACCCACTGGCACACTTGCTTGTCCAATTTAATAAAAAGCAAAGCAATTTTCTTGACGGCCTGTTGAGTGCCCATGAAACAAGATTCAGAAAAAAAAAAATACTTATGCCACAATTCTTTTCTTATATGCAGCATGAGAGAAGAAAGCCTACACAAGCTCTCCTACACTCTTTTTCCTCCTAAGCTACACACAGTAGAAGCTATGAATAGGTGAGCCAATCCAATGCAAGCTGGGAGCTATGTGACAGCACCCTCAGCGAATTTCCTTGTGCAGGCTGAGAATGCTTTAGTCGTCTGTTACAAGCAGCAAGCTGCTTACAAACTAGTGCGACTGTCTATGTTCCTGAAGAGAGCAGAACATTCACTTGATCTGAAAACTCGCGCAGCAAAAAAGTGAGTCGGACCTTGACGCCGACCGCGCCAGCCGCCCTTGCAACCGCTGCCAGTGATGTTCGCGCAAATGAAAGTAAATATTCCATTAAAGCGCAACATTAGCCAAGGCACTCTCAGCTACCTTTGAAGCCAGTTTATGTGCAGTGAAGTTCGTTTTTATAATCTGTGCATTTTTCAGAGTGGTCTATTACTAATACAATGTTCAATTAGTTGTACAGTTAGTTGTACAGTTTTCGTGCAACGTCATGTTTCACCTGAGCATAGTTTGACAGTCCCGCAAGAGGTCATGGGGCTGTGATGCCATGACCCTATCCACCAATCAAGACTTTCACGTCACGTCGCCGACGTCGGCTTGTCTGGGGCACGAGCTCCTTAACCCTGTCGCGTTAAGAGACTCACTGCTTTTGACGCATTTCACAAAATAACTGCTTACCAGGTGGCAATGGCTCGTGCACTACTATCGCTGGCACAGACACTGCTGGAGCAGGTGCAGCTAGGGAAGCACCTTCCTCCTGGTGTGGCCCTAAAAGAAAAGCAGTGGCAGACATAACATAGCGTTAGAGTGTGTTTGGCAATAACATCCAGAGCTGGCATACACCTATCCATACCAAAGCAAAAAGTCCTGCAACAATCTTGGCACACTGGCTTAGCTCAAAATGGTAACTGTCAGGGCACAAGGTTTGTACAGTGGCCGAGCCCAAGTTAAACTTGGCATAATTAGCAGAGGGGGGACGACGAGCAAAAAGAAGACTATGAAAGTGCCAACGGCGAGGGAAAGCGATCCAAAGAGAGAGAAGCCGGAAGACGAAAGCCGCGGAACTACCGTAATATCCCGAGTCATCGCCCATCCCCGAGCCATCGCCCACCCTATTTTTTGGGCCAATATCGATTTCCGAAAAAACACCAAGTCATCGCCCACCCCTTCAAATACCCCAGCGCAGACTCTGCGATCCCCGAACACCCATCCTACCTGAATGACGCGGCCGCGGACTTTACAGTTGGAGGACGTCCGTGACAAAGTAAAACGAAGGAGGGAAAGACACTTCTTTTTGTTTACGCATTTCCTCCGTGAGCGACCCCGAAGTGGTCGTGTGTCCGTGCGAAAAGAAAACGATGGAGATAACAAAATAAGAGTCTGTTAACGTAACCGCGGAGTGTTAGGTCAAAGTCTGTCTCCGCCGAAGTAAGGTCACCGCGAACCCGCTCCTTCTTCCCGCCCGTCGCGACCGCGGTTGTGCAATATTTTAGGCAAAGCCAAAGCGTAAATAAAGCTTTGCTGGAACGTCCTACACAGACGTTTGCAGAGCGTCCCAACCGTGTATTGATAGCCCGCCGTGCACGGACGCACGTATGTACGCACCAAACAAGAAAGTTGCGCAAGAGCTTGCAATTGACAAGGCGCCCGACTTGGCCCGACGCCAAAGTATTTGCCAACGCGACCGCCGTCTTTCCCGCTTTTCCAGCATTGCTCTTAGTCGCTTCTTTGGTCCGCGCGCTCGCTCGCTCGCTCGTTGCGCCTGGTCGGTTTTTCTATTTTCGTGTAGACTTTTCTGTTTTTTTTTTTTTTTTTTTTTACTAACTAGGACAACATAATGGTGACATTCTTTCACGGCACAAACGTTCGTGCTATATGCAGATCGGCGGTGTTTCTAGCGCGTATGCAATCAACGGACTTCGCTACAGTAAAATATTCTTTCGTGAGCATTCTTTTTTTATAAAACAGTGAAACTAAATCGAGTTTTGAGTTTGATGTATCTCTTGTGCATCAGCGCTGGCTACGCAGAGAAAAATAGGCGGTTTTTCCGCTTTTTTTCAAGTGTTTGTGCTCACCCACCGAGACATGGCCCACCCCACTTTTTTAACGAATTTCAGGCGGTTGGGGGGTGGGCGATGACTCGGGATATTACGGTATGTTTCTAGAACTCCCGGAGTGCGGGCCGGGGCACTTGGGTAAAGCAGCAATAGGTCTATTGCAAGGGAACAATTACGGACGTGCACGGCACCACTTCTTGCTTTGGTTCGGCAGGTTCTGGCAAAGAGATTCTTTTCTTATGCATACAAGAATATCAGGTTAAGACAGAAACCATCGAAAAAACAAGCAAAGAAATGCAGTATAGACAAATTACAACATAACCGCTTATAGTGCAGGACCGGGTATAACGCGGCTTTTTTTAAACCACCGGTTCGCCTCCCATAGAACTCTATGTAATTACATACTGCTTAAAATGCAGGCGCGAAGGGAAATACCGGTTATAGTGTGGTTTTCGGAACAGCCTGGCGACTGCGCCGACTGACCGACGCAGAGAGCACGCTTCCCTGTGGGACACTAGATAACAGCGCAAGCTGCAAGCGGCACTCGCGGGGCAAGGAGGTTGCTCGAAGAAGCGGGGAGAAGCGAAGAGAGAGGCTTCAGTTGCCATAGTGACGGAGGGATGCACGCATGTGTCGCTCACATGCGTGCGTCCCTCCGTTGCGTTGGAAAACAACCGCAACGACAGACCAATCGCAGGTCGAGGAGAAGTGTTCGCGCGCGTTGCATGCCGGCTGCTTCTATCCGCAAACATGGCGTCGATTTTTATCCTCGACGTAGACAGCGTAGAAGCTCATTGTTCCGCGTAAAAGCGCTATCCTTGACTGAATTCTATGATAACCCAGCACGTACTAGAAGGGAAGATCCACCTACTCGTGCGGCGATGTTGTGGCGGCACTCTCAAGACGGCAGAAACGCCTGTGTCGTTGTGTTTGTTTACTTCGACTACAGTGGTGCTTTCTAAGCATTTGTGCTTTCGAACATCGCCCGGATTTCTTATTTGGAGCATTTCATGCCTGTGCTCAAGTTGAAGGTATTACTGGCGCGTACCATATAAAGGATGCGAATTTTCACGCGTTTTCATCGCCGGAGAAAAGTGATTAGGGTTAGCAATCCGGAACGCTCGCAACGTCCGTCCGCAACCCATGACGCCGTTAAAAGGCTGCGCCAGGCAAAAGTCGCTCATTTCTTTCAATATGTGTGACACACTTGAGAGAGAAGTGTACTAGTCTGGTGAAATAAAGACTTTCCTCAAACTAAAGCTTTATTTTTCATCTAACA